GGAACTCTCTTGGGGACATAGCTAGTTCACCCCCCTAGAGCTGGCTAGTTCAAGAGCATGTATGAGTCAGGGAAAGGATCCGTCAATGCACTATGAGTGGTGTAGGAATGGTGATGCAGAGGCAGTGCCCTGACAGCTTCTGGTTCAGAGCCAGGATAGAGCTTACTCGGAACAGGTCGTCCCTTAATGGAAATCCTCACACTGTAAATTAGCTAGCAAAGTTGTTGCTCCCTGCAGATCCTGTTCAATAGTTGATAAAGTTGTAGGTAGGCCTTGCTACCTCCCAAAGGTTGCCTCTTGCTTCTTCATTCACTTCTGTGCCCACAAATGTCTGAGCCTGGAGCTTTCCTACAAAGCCGGCTGCTTTCTTTATCTCAATAAGCTATGATGCCGTGAGGCAGGATGCCAGACCTTGGCCACTCCACAGCGCCCTAATTGCTGGGCAATTTGCCCTCGCTTCAGTGGCTTTTAGTGCTTCACTTTGTGTGACTCACTCGGCTGAACTGTCATCTTTAAGCAAAGCTTCCCTTTTAAGGCATGTTAAGGGGAAGCACCTCTAACCTTACTCACTGAATAGACTCCCCTGCGGAAGAGAATGTGTTGCCTGCCCTTTGAAGGGCTTTCCTGGACAAGGGTGAAAAATGAAAAAACTTCTCACATTTCTCTTTAAGAGGGCTTGGCCTTTGCCTTGCAAAGATCTAGCAGAGCCTGGTACATCCCCACCCCATGCTGACCAGCTGGAAAATATGAATGAGAGAGATTTAAAAGCCCTCATTGACATACGTATGCACTCAACATTACTCAAGCAAGATAAGGTCATCTTGGTTCACGGCTGGTTTTATAATTCATAGCATGTTAAGCCATGGATGGCCAACTCCAGCATTTTCCCTCTAGACAACATCCCAAGGGCTAGGCCAGCACTGGGGAATTTTTTTAGCATGGGGGCCATGTTTCCTTCTGGAGGGCCACATGCCCGTGTTGGGCAGGGGCTAGAAGTGAAAGTGGTCAGAGCATCAATGTCAGTTTTACTTTTGTACAATCAGCATGGACCTTTGCATGGTTTTCTCCCCCTGCCTATTCTGTACTGAGCAGGCAGAGAGTGGTACCTTATGGGATGGTGGCCACCAATGGATTCTTTTTTTTCACTACAAGAAGGGACATTGTGGGCAAAAGAGAGAGCAGGCAAGATGATCAAACAGCCTGGGAATCAAGTATGAAACTTGGGAAGGGAGGGACAGGAGCACTCTTGGGTACATGCATTATTCGCCCATCCAGAGATAGCTAACTCAGGGGCTGGTGTAAGTCAGGCATGGCATCCCTCAGCAGGGGCTAGTTTCTGCACAACCTCACAACCCCTCTGCATCCTCCATTCAGCTAAGCAAGAAGCATATCAGAGTTCAAGGATACATTCCAACCAGACAAAAAGATTTGGAGGGTGAAGCAGTGGGGTTTGCAGCTTGGGGAGCAAAGGGGTGACTTGAGGAAAGTCCTGAGGCCCAGACAGAGAGGCTTGGAGGGCCACATTGAACCCCATGCCTGAAGTACTCATGAGTCAACCATATGAATTAGCCTCCCTCTTTCTTCTTCTTCTTCTTCTTCTTCATCATCATCATCATCATCATTATTTCATTTATTTCACACACTTCACCAGCAGGTTCCAAGGTGGGTTACTACAATTTAGAATTGAACAAATTACAGTTAAAACTAACAGTCACAGAAACAGGGCCCAATACAAGTACAATGCATGTAATAAGTGGGTTTACTGAGTTTGTGGTGGTCACAATGGCTTTGTTGTTGTTGTTTAGTCGTGTCCGACTCTTTGTGATAGCGTGGACCAGAGCACACCAGGCACTCCTGTCTTCCACTGCCTCCCGCAGTTTGGTCAAACTCATGTTAGTAGCTTTGAGAACACTGTCCAACCATCTCATCCTCCTGTCGTCCCCTTCTCCTTGTGCCCTCCATCTTTCCCAACATCAGGGTCTTTTCCAGGGAGTCTTGTCTTCTCATGAGGTGGCCAAAGTATTGGAGCCTCAGCTTCAGGATCTGTCCTTCCAGTGAGCACTCAGGGCTGATTTCCTTAAGAATGGATACGTTTGATCTTCTTGCAGTCCATGGGACTCTCAAGAGTCTCCTCCAGCACCCTAATTCAAAAGCATCAATTCTTCGGCGATCAGCCTTCTTTATGGTGCAGCTCTCACTTCCATACATCACTGCTGGGAAAACCATAGCTTTAACTATATGGACCTTTGTCGGCAAGGCTGGTGTCTCTGCTTTTTAAGATGTTGTCTAGGTTTGTCATTGCTTTTCTCCCAAGAAGCAGGCGTCTTTTAGGATGTTATTTTATGAAATCATCGCTCTGGCATTTAGACTACAGAAGAAGGGAGCACATCCTTCTCCCTGGCATTTACCTGTATGGGGATAGGGCAGGGTAATAGGACAATGAGCCTGGGGGCCAGGCCTGTGTGGGTGCACCAGTGGTGGCAATCCAGTGCTCACACTGGTGTGTCTGCACAACCATGACCTCACTGCCACCCTGCCCCATCCCCATCCAGACAACCTGCAGTGATGCCAATGACTGCCCCACCACAGATGCAATTCTGAAAATATGTTGCACATTTGCACAGGGTGGCACTACGTCTAATACTGACATAGAAGTGGCATTAGGAGAGAAAAGGCATCTAACATCTGTGGAGAGGGAGAAAAGAGGCGACTAGCCCAAATCATGTGAATGTGATGATCCTGCCGAAATCACATTCCTGGAATGGTTTGGAAACCAGTGTTCTCAGAAAGGTATCCGTCTTGTTGCTAGAGAATATATCTTGAAGGTTCAGGTTCAAGCAATTTCTTCTCTTGGGGAAACTTTTGTTTAAAATTTCAAAAAGCAGCTGAAATTTCAAAAAAACAGGGAACATAATATATGTCAGGTCCTGGGTATATACTGTACATGCTTCTGGAGAAACAGAAAACATGGTGTGCTTTATTTCTGAAACAACCTTTTTGGGTTTTTAACTAAAGAAACAGAAAACATTTTGTATCAAAAGCCTTGAAAATAGTGCCTTAATGGGCAGCATCAAGTGGAGCCTAATGGATGCTTCTGCTGCCCTCTGGTGGAGCATCATTGGCTTTGCCTCTCAGCACTCGGAAGGTCTTGTCTGAGCAGCCACACACTTCTCAGAGGGTGAATATCAGTTGTGGAGCTACAACCTTTACCTGGCCTGATCCAGGGAAATAGCATGAATCCACCCAATGGCTTCATACTGAGCCATATTTTGCAGGGAGGGTGGCAGAAAAGAGCATTATTACACTTCTGGAATTGACTAGCTGAAAGTGAACAATACTGGCAAACAATAGCACCTGTTCCTAGGCGGTCTGAACGGCATGGTTGTGTGTGGCAGAACACACTGTCATCTTCCAAGTTCCTCTCTGTCCTACCTCATTTGTTGGAGATAACAGCTGATGCTTCTCTTGACTATGGGCATAGAGTTCCAGTTGCTCATCCACAGGAAAAGTTCTGTCCTAAATAGAGGTTTTCTCAAACCTCCATAGACTTCCCAGAACTTAGATTGCAACTCTCAGCAGTCCCAGCCAATGAAGTGTACTGCTGGGGCTGCTTTGAAGAATGCCGACTTTTAAGGAAATTGGACTGTTTCAAGGCCAGTCTGGATATTGCATTTGCCATATAGAATTCTTTGCAAAAGGACCGTAGCAACTCTCCCTATCTGTGACACCTGGAGAAGCTTCATTGGTAACTTGTAGAAGTTTCATTGATACCTTGCATGGAATCCTTAAACTAGCAAACCCAAACTTCCCTGTAGATGCCCTTCTTCCCTGTAAGATGCCCTTTCAGAGTCCACATTCAAGGCAAGATTCTGGAATTCCACAGCAAAGCTCCTCAATTCTTTAATAAGAAGAATAATGCAAATAAGCTAATGTGTATACAGTGGGTTAATTTGCATTACAGTTATGAAGCAGCCACCATATAGAATGAGGCTCAAGTGCACACAGATATGTTATGATTGTGATACAGGAAATGATAGAGGAAGAAAACGCAACAGATGCTAGGAAGAACTTTATTGTTAAGGGCTGTTGCCTTCATGTTCTGTTTGTCTTTCTGTTCTGAACACCTTTATCTTGTACCCCACCCAGATATCTGTATTGACAAAGGGCGAGTTATAAATATTCATAATAAAATTATTAACTGTCCTGATTGTATGTTTCCCATAAGCATTTGGCTGCCACTGTGGGAACAAAATGCTAGACAGGATGGACCTATACACCCAGTTCAAACACAACAATAAATATTTGTTTATTATCACATGCTGCTTCTCTCTTCTCCAGCATAGCTCCAAAGAGGTGATTAAAAGTTTCCAGTTCCACTTTTTATTAACCACAGTTTAATGTTGCATCCAATTCCTAAACCGTGGCTAATTTTAACTATGTTTTTTTAATAAAACAACAACAACAAAAAACACACAAGCCAGCTTCATAAGCTAAGGTTTGGAGTTAGCTTGTTTCAATGACTATAGTTGAGACTAATCACAATGTTTCAGGGTTTCAGACTTGCAGTTAGTCTAAAGCAAAAGTGAAACTTCTGAGCTCATCCTTAGGCCAAGGAGTGGGCCTATCTATTGTATTTTAAGAGAGCCTGCCTTTCATCACAGAGCCCCAGAAGAGGTGATAATCATATAATCATGCAGTATTGGAATCCAATTAAACAATTTAAATCAAACTAATAGAGGTCTTACAATTATCAAAGGCTAGGATAAAGAAGTGTGTCTTCAGCAAACAAACAACAGAAACCATATAATGAAGATGCTTGATGCAGCTCTAGTAACCCAGGACATCATTGGCCTACTTGGTGCCAAAAATGGGTTGCATGGAACAGTCCCATTTGGGGAGGGAGGGGAGGCAGACAAAAACCATCCTAACACACAGGTAGGAAATGACATGGGGGAGATGTTCCTTGTATTCTTTCTCTGATGATTCTGTCTTCCCCGTAGGACTCTATGTGCTAATAGGAGCAGGCGTGCTGATGATGACCGTGGGGTTTTTTGGGTGCTGTGGAGCTGCGCGAGAATCTCAGTGCCTGCTTGGAGCAGTAAGTAATGAAATTACGGCTTTTCAGACATAATATTTTGTTACCCCTTTCACCTTGTGGCAGAACCAAAACACCTAGTAAGCGCGAGGTCCTCTCTTTCCCCCTTCCCTTCACACTCCAGCTTTGACACTTCCATCCTAGATTTCTTAAAACCCGAGTTCCCTGTTACATCTGAAAAGGGAGGATCTATACCAATGCAGGGACGCGGACTTATAAAAAATATTGGGGGGGCCCGGGAAAGCTCATGAATAATAAATAAGCTCATGAATATGCAAATAAAGTGGCTCCGGCCCTAAATAGGGCAAGCCACGCCCCCCCAGCCAGCCGATTGGCTGGCTGGGAGGTGTGGCCAGTCGGGATTCCCCTGTTCTCGCGGGGGCTGAAACCGCCAGGAGGAAGGAAATTCCCCCCGGCAGTGCCTTGGCAGTGGCGGTGGTGCTGCGAAGCAGCGAGGCAGGAGCCCCCGCCCCCGGCGCCCGAGATTATTGGGGGGGCTGAGCCCCCCCAAAAAAATTTTTGAGGGGGCTCGAGCCCCCTCAAGCCCCATGGAGTCGGCGCCTATGTACCAATGTCAGTTTACTAGCTAGAATCTTAAACCAAGATCAAACTATGATTTAAGATCCTCCATAATAAATCAACATTAAACAGGATTTCCTCTGTTTTGGACATACATAGGTTGCTATCTTATACTGAGTCAGACCATTGGTCCATAATGCACAATATTTTCTACACTAAGAATGGCTCTTAAGCAGGAATCCTTCCCAGCCCTCCCTGGAGATGATGGGAACTGAACCTGGGGCCTTCTGCATGCAAAGCAGATGTCACAGCCCTTCCCTTTTACCCTGTGGCCTGTGTAATATATTTACTGCAGATCATCAGGAGAAGGTTGTATGACCTAAGCCTGTAATCCTGTCTCCATCCTTTTGCAGTTCTTTACCTGTTTGCTGGTGATTTTTGCTGCTGAAGTCACGGCAGGAGTTTTTGCTTTTCTTGGCAAGAAAGCGGTGAGTTAAATGTTTGCTGTGCACCACCCCATCCCCCAGAGTCTCATGCTAACGAGTAGTTGTATAAATGTATAAAACAAACAAAAGGTAAATGTGTCTTTGATGATAAACAGAGGAGGTTAGAACCAGATGAACATGTTATGATATAAGGAGCTGTCATGGGTGTAGAAGTCCCATTGATTCCAGCGCATTTGAAGGTTTACACTTAAAAACAGTGTGAATTAAACAAACACATGAAGACTTTTCAGGGAGCCACTCAATGGCAAATTCAAGTTTGCTGCCGGTGGAAACATTTCTTTCTTGCATAAAGCAGACTAAGTAGTTTATTACCCCAAGTACAAAACTACAGTGCCCTGGCAGATTTTTCTTGCCCTTCACCCATTTGCTTCACTTAACATGTTTGGTTGTGAGTGTGGTGGTGTTCCATATGAGAAAGCTCAGTTGGTAGAGCATGAGACTCTTAATCTCAGAGTTGTGGGTTTGAGCCTCACATTGGACAAAAGATTCCTGCATTGCAAAGGGTCGGACAAGATGACCCTTGTGGTCCCTTCCAACTTTATAGTTCTATGATTCTAGGAAATCTGCCAACCCAAAAGGTGGTCAAATTCCTGCCTAGCCTTTCTCCTTTGGTACCTTCTTAGCCAAGTCCAGCCCCCAGGTCATGCTGTGCCTCTGAGTTTTCATTTCTTTAAAGCTGTGCAGTAAAGTCAGATTTCTTCCCTTCTGCTTGTCTTTTTTTCACTCATCTCTCCTTCCTGTCAAGTAGTAGAGGGACCAAGAGCCTAGAGGGAAGCCAAGAAACTGCAGAATAGCCCCTCCAATTGTCACCATCGTGATCTCATTGAGGTTGTCTGTCTGGTTTACTGCAGGCTGTTGAAGAGGTCCAGCACATCTATGAGGAAGCTTACGAAGACTTTGTGAATAATGTGGGGACAAGCAACAAAACCCTTATCCAGTACCATGAAGCAGTGAGTAGCATCTGAATTCAGATCTTTTGCTTATCAAGGCTGCCTTTATGAAGTTTCAAATGAAGGCTTTAAGTCAGGCATACTGGAATGGAGGTTAAGGCTGGCTTCATCTTTACTGCTCTGACCTGGTAGTGCTCCTTACTTAAAGTACCTGAATTTCCCATCCCACAGGAAGTGGTCAAGATTCCCTATGGCATCTGGCTTAAAGACCTTTAACAATAAAGACCTTCAGTCTATTTATTTACATTTATTTATTACGCTGTTATCCTGCCCTTTTTTCCAACTAGTTCAGGGTGGGGTGCGTAATTTCCTTTTTAAAAAAATCCTCACAATAACCCTGTGAGTTAGGTAGGGATCTGCCATAAGCCAATGCTGAAAGCTAGATAAAAATGGCCTAATCAAGCAGATATTTCTATTTGCATACAGATTGGAATAGTATGTGAACCCTGACTTCAATAAGTCCTTTAGTTTGCATGGTTGTGCTTGAATTCATTTGGCTTAATTGACTTTGCTGAAAATTGAGCTTAATGAAATACATTCAAATTGTCAGGTTCAGCAGATTTTCAGCACTTCTTCCCTCCCCCCCCGACACCCCCCCCCAGCAATAGTGTTTAAAAAAATTTTTTAACAAGAATATGCTAAACATGTCTGCTTAGAAGTCCAATTAATTTCCTAGTTAAGGAGCCTGTTGGAGACACTACCTTTGGCCTAACCTCTGTTACTGCTGTACCAACTAAGGATGTTGTTAGGAACTAATATTGCCTGCATTTTCAGTGCTACAGAAGCCAGTGAGGAATCATCACAGGGAGATATGGACACATCAGGCCAGTTTCAAATCTCTTTAAACTATCATCATGTCCAGCCTACAGCTGTGCTCAGATGAAGGTTTCCCCACTGTTGGTTGCACTAAACCAAGAGTTCAGGAGGTAGTACTCCATCAAAGAGATGCACAATGAACAGAAAAAAACAGTAGTAGAAGGATAGACTCTGGGCAATATTATTGGTGCAAGTATATTTTGGAGCGTATGAAACTTCAGCCTGGAACAAGAGTTTAATGTGAATTTACAAGTTGATGAGAGAACACTGTTATGGACTGACTCATAAATATAATAAAGAAATTTATTATTTACGAGGGGGATTTCTTTATTTAAAAAATCTGTCTGGTGTTTGGTGGTTGTTTTTTAACATGTTATCTCTGTCTTTCCAGCTTCAGTGCTGTGGGAGAGGAGGAAACGATGCTGCAGTGAAGCCCACCTGTCCAAAAGACATTGAACAGCCCAGAGTAAGTGGCTCTGATGGACATGTTGCAAAAAATAGCCCTGGGATGTGATAAGACATGTAAGTCAGAGAAGCTGGTGGGAAGCCAGATGAAATGCTCTGGACAAGGGCCATTTGGCACTGGTCTTTTTTCTTTCCATTAGTCATTTGAGATGCTACTGAGGAGTATGCCAGCAGGACTGACTTTCCAGCAGCTTTTAACCGTGCTAACTCTGGGCACCTTTATAGATCTGAACAATACCACTGCAAAGCACAATCAATACTTAACGAAGGGAAGCCTGCTTGCTTCCCTTATCCTTGATATTTGCTTGCTGATTCACATGTATTCCTGCTCCGTGTCACACCGAGAAACAAGGCCAAATTAGGCAACACGTGGAATACATTTATCTGTTTTTATCTGCGCTTCTTCCCAGGGCAAATGGCAGCTTTGTGGGAGAGATGACTTTCCCTAGGACCACGGCATTGCAGGAAAGGGTAAACCCATGCAGTGCAGTCCTTAAAGGTCTCTTGACAAACAAGAGGCCTAGCAGAATCTGATGGAACCTGGCTGAATTAAATAAAGGTGCCCAAACTTTCATAGCAGGTTCCACCTAGGTAAGCCATGAATCCTCTTGGAGGTCTTAATTCTGTATTGGGTGAAATTAAGCAGCATGCCTTATTCGTAGCATTTGCCGTTGTGGTGTAGATTCAGATTATGCAATTTGTGGCACACCGATTCCCTTCATCTGCACTGTTCCTCTCTGTGCTTCAATTCTTGGCACACAAATGCCACACATCTTTGTGAGAAAACCAAACAGGAAATAACTAGGAGAAGCTGCAATAAGGAAAGGAGAGAAGTAAAGTACCTGGTATGCCCAAGATTGCTTCTTGGATGTTTGTACCTGTCAGAAGGAAGCAGCAGCAGCAAATTGATCCTTGTTTACAGGTTTCACCAAGCAAATTATAAGAAGAGCAACATCAAAATCACAGCAAAACTTTATGGGTGCTATTCAATGCTATTCCTACTCAGAGTTGACCTATTGAAGTTGATGGACATTGCTAACTTAGGCTCTTTACTTTCAGTGGATCTACTCTGAGTAGGCCTTGATTGAATATGTGTATGATCTTAAATGAAGAGTATAGTTTTAATAAATGTCATCAGGGCCCAGGGCTCGGGCATGCTAGAGTGGTGATGTGAGGTCCACTTGGGCTTACAATAAACACAAATATCAAACATTTAGGAGATTATGGTGGTTCAAGCCAGTGCTTCTGTAGTGGTGTGCTGGGTTGCCTGAAAAACCAGAATCCCAACCACAGCAAAGACAAGGAAGGCAAGATGGAGCAGAGAAACAAAGCTGGTGATGTATGGGTGAGAACTGCTGCTGCTGTCAGGAAACTCCTCAAGCCACTCTTCTCAAGGGTAGCTCAGAGGAAGCAAATGTGGGAAGGCAATTTCTACACCAGACAGGACAGTCAGGGGCAGAAGTTGTGAAGAGGAAAGGAGTTTACTAAGGTAGATTTTCCCCATGGTTGCCACCAAGAATGTGTCAACTGGTCCTTAGTAGAAACCGGAAGGGCTCTTCAAGACTGCTTTGATGTTTAAAGCATTGTCAACACCTTCATGTCTCTAACAGAGTTGTCTGACTGAAATCGAGACTCTCATTGACACAAATCTTCGTTTAGTTGGCATTGTTGGGATTGGAATTGCTGGGATCACAGTGAGTAATTATCTGATGACAATACTGGTACTGCTGCTTCTGTTGTTTCTAGCCGTGTGTCTGCGAATCCCCCAGGTCCTTCCAAGCCAGTGGAAATCAGCTTGCTGAGGAGCTCAGAGTATCAATGTAGATGTCCCATGTGTGGAACTTAGGGCTCGTCCTCACTTCTGCTTGTCCTGTGCCTTGAAAGTATGGATCCAAGTGGTCTTCCACTTGGCCTGCTCTTTCTTGGCATGGGTCCAAGCACTTTTGCCTTTGTGCTGCTTCTTTCTTCCAGAAAACACACTCTTTGAAGTTAAATCAGAGCAAGTGGCAGTCCAGGGAAAACATGACAGAGGCAGCCCTGATTATTCACATGTCTGCACCAAGCCCTTCATACTCTCCTGCTTCAGACACCTTTCTCCCCGGGTCAGCTCTGATATTGGAAGTAACTCCTATTAAAATTAGATCCCCAAGCCACTTGTACACACCCCATTTTGCACATGAGTGGGGCAGACATATGAACAACAAAATGGATGCCCTGTTCATGTCTAGTTGGGCCTGACTCAGTGCATCCTGCTGAGAACATTGTTTTCCCCGCTCTGATGCTGGCTACTTAGCAAGTTGTACCATGTAGCCTCTAGGTGTCAGCATTATATCAGTTTGAATGGATTTTATGTCTGTACTGTTGTTTTGAACTCTTTCTTTCTCTCTGTGTGTGCATATTTGAAATTTGCTTCAGGATGCCTCATAGAAAGCAATTCATAAATGAAATAAGTGATAATAATTATACACAAGACTGACAGTTGTAGCCGATCCTCAGGGCCAGAATAAATGTGGCCTTAATTGCATAAAAGGAAGCAATGTGCATGATTTTTTTCAAATGTAAAAAGGCAATGCAGGGAGACCCTGAGTAGGACTGAGACATGGGAGATGGAAAAGTGTGGTTTAACCCCTTCCCCTACACCACAATTTATATGAATAGTCCTCTTCCCCAAAGCTGCTGCCATGCCTCAGAGGGAAGCCAACAGAGGTTTCCCTCACAGGACTAATAGCAGCTCAAGGAATGGGATAGTTTCATCAGGATTGTGATATAAATGACAATATTAAGACCCCACCTACCTAGCATGGTTTAACCCCCACCGCCCAGCAGCTATTTGCATTCTTTAAATGTGCATCTTAAATGCTTTCATGCAACTAGCATTGTATTTTAGTTTGGCTCTAAGTCATCAAATGGGCAGAAACACACATCAAATGAACAGAAATTTGGATTTGTGAGGATTGCTCCAAGCGATATCAGCCATGCCCTGCTTCACATTAAGGATTATGCTCCTCTCTGATGACTCGTCTCTCCACATCTGCCTGAGAGCAATCACTAAAGTTCTCTGAGCTGCCAGGCATAGTGACAAAAATCTCCCTGCGTTTCCTGGGCATCCTTTAAAATATGTTCCTTGTCTTCCAGATCTTTGGCATGGTCTTCAGCATGGTCCTCTGCTGCGCAATCCGGAACACAAGAGACATGCTCTAGAACTCTTGCTTCGTAGCATTATCTTCATCCTAGGGACCAGAGACCGGAGGACTTCTGGATGAATCTGCAAGTGCACTTGTCCGCTCAGCTTAACAACTGTAACCATTTTAATTAGTGGCGTTAACCAACTGACAGAGAGAGAGAATGAGAGGTAGATGTTTGGTGAGCGTGAGAGTTTTACAATGTTTGCATTTAAATTAAGACGAGGAAATCTGAAGCAAACAAATAGGATGGGCATAACAATGTCTTCTTCAATGCAGTGGCAGCATTAGAAACGAAAATTTATTTGAAACATGACTTTGCACATGTGTGCAGGTGATCAGTGCCTATATCTCCATGTTCAAGTACATGTGTGTTTGTTTGTAGGCACACAGATGCATGTGGTGCAGCTGCACAGATATCTGTATATATGGTACTCCATATGATTGTATGTATGTTTCGTGGGTGTCTGTATTTTTGCATGCACATTCCTGCAGTATATATACACTTGGGTGCATACCCAGGCTAAAGCCCTTTCCAAGTGGCCTCCTCATTGCTGATAAGCCATCTCGTTTTTATCCAACAGTGTCCAAAGGTGACTACATTTAACCAATTGGATTGGAAGTAAATGATACACGATTGGCTCTGTTCCTGGACATCTCACCTTGGAGAGTTTCGGTAGCTTTCTTTGTCACATGCAGAATTGTCTTTAATCCCTGAAGGCTCCATGGGGAACACTCTGACCTGCACAAAAGAAAGTAGAGGCTTTTCTTAAAAGATGGCAGCATCCAGTCAAATCAATTAATAAGTGTAAAATGGAATTAACTGGGAACGAGGGAACTTTTTGCGAGACCTGTGCAGCAATGTTTTTGAAAAGGACCTCTCTCTTTTTTCCTTTTCCAAAACTCAGGTTGTCCTTGATGGGGAGCTTAACCTTGTTCTATATACACTGGGCTTCCTGATTGTTGCTGTTTTCTCTAATAAACACCACTTTGTGCCTTTTGATTTAATTATTTTTAGTATCCGCAAAAGGAAAGGTCCTTTCTGCACAATTGAAAAGCTGTGCTCCCAATTACATTGGGTACCTAGCATCATAATCACACAAGTTTCTTTAATGTTTATATCACACCTTCCAACTTTTGGCTATAAAAACTGTGCCTTTCACAACTGTGCACTAATATTTCCATATTCTGTCACACCCATGCCACACAGTCCTAAACACATTTATTCAGACATTACAGTTGTGTCTCTCTGTTCCATATGACTGCAGCCTTCATGAATAAGGATCATAGATTTGCTGCAGGGTATAATCATGGTGCTGTTCACAACTTTTCGTTTGCTGCATGAGCATTTCTGCACTGGCTTAGCACAGAAATAGTTTTAAAAAACAGCAGTAGACAAGCACTGAAAGAGCACTGCAGTATTGTAGTTGCACAGCTGATGAGGACACTGAACCATTTTTTAAATTACATTTAAAGAAAATGTTCCCAATATTTTGCAGACATGGAGTGGAGCAGGTGGGCACGGGGTCACTTGGCATTAATGAGATTTCAGACAACAATCAGTTGGTTCCATGAAGCAGTTATGCTGAGAAGCTACAAGGAAGTTGTTTGAACTCTGTGCAACAAACTGATAATAACTGTGGCAAAAGGATTCTCGCTTGCACAATGGAACTTCCCCCTTCCCGCCCCATGTGTGTCCCATGTCCTCCCCAAATCTGCTCCAGTTGGGCAGTTGGGGAACCCCCAGAACAGGCTTAAGGGTAGGAGGGAAAAGGAAGGGGGGGTCCCATTGCTCATGTGAGAATCCTTGTGTTGACAGGATATTACTTAGCATTCCAGTGAATCCAAGCCTGGACATTTATTTTGCTAAAAAATTGATTGTTTGGAAAGGACTAGAGACAAAAATGAGAAACTCTGGGTGGTTAAAGTACAGCATACTGTGAGCATCCTTCCATGTCATCTGTAGCACAGTAAGATGTGGCTGGCAAACTAGCCTTTAGAGGTTAGTTTTTAAAGTAAATGTCAAATGGTCTATCTTTGCCTTATCCCTGTTTTAGGAATGAAGGTAGTTGACACAGACTTATTGCTTGAACAGAGGCTGCTCAGTCTCCTGGGGCTATATGTGCATAGGATCCACTTTATAAAGGTGATGCCAGTGAAAAAGCTGGCTTCTCTGGCTAACATACACTGACCTTTCTGGAAATCCTGTCCCTGGGGTTCTGGCAAACCGAGTGGGGGGGGGTCAAGATTTTGGAATGAGAGAAGTAGCAATACAACACTCTTTATTTCCACCAATTCTTTCTGAGAATCTGAGGCTGGCTTCCAGCAGGGCATTTCAGTTAGGTCCTCGTCCTACGTGTGCCCAAGTCATGCTATTATTGTCCAAGATGCATTGTGGGTGAAAAAGAACACTGTATGATTGAAATACCTCAGGAGTTAGTTTACTGTTTGCCTCTGTGTTTTACATTGTTTCTATTTATTTCTACTAAAAATGTTGCATGGAGAAAAATAATCTGATGGAATTAAACCAGCCAGTCGGTGGAAAATATTTTATGGTGCAGTCTTGATTCATCACAATCACTGGGGCCTTGAGCTGCATCCTTGGAATATTTATATATATGGAGCCCATTTCTGGCAAGCTGCCATTTTGGGAGTCAGAACTCTGTTATTTTGTCCTTTTTAATATTCAGTTCTTTTGTTTTGTTTCATGTGAGAGTAGGCCTTCAAAAAGAACAGGTTAGTGAAAGAGCACATGTTTTCTAAAATGCTATGTACCCCATGAGCCTTTGTTCCATCAAAATTTCTTCAAAGGTTTGAGAATTTAGGGAAAGTGTAGTGTGCACCCAAGTGTGTATGTGTGCATATGTGTCAGAGAGAGAGAGAGAAACACCAAGTTGTGTGTAACCTTTTCTTCCCATTTCCCCAAACATATGTTCATGTGCACCCCATTTCCCCTAGATTTCAGTTAAACCACTTTATCAGCCTCTACTGCTTGGCCCAGTTCAGATATCTGGACACACGGTAATGCCTTTCACATGTTGGTGGGCTAGGCACAGTCTCAGGAATCCATGCATCATGTGCACAATTCGCCCGACTCACACAAGAGGCCATTTGCTGCAGGCCGCACATGTTCCTAGCGCCCAAGCCCAGCTCCCAGCTTATGAAAGACACTTCCAAGACCCTGAGAGGCTCAACAAGGTCCCTGTTTTGGCATTGAAGCAGAATTGTCTGCATCGCACATCATTTTTATCTGAGATTTTCAGGTGGGGGTGGTCAGAAATAGCTGGATATACCGTCGTCTGTGTGTTGAGAGGGTGTGCATCGTTGCTCCAAAATTGTCATCTAGATGAAAATATTTTAAAATGAAGACTTCAGGAATTTCTGCCAATTTTCCATGTGAAACATAAGATTTTGGCAGGGAGAGTAAAGCCCACTGTAGCTGCGAGTGGTATATGTGTCCTTTTATTTATTTCTAAGCATCTCTACTTTGCTCTTCTCTTTGAATAATTAGTATTTCCCTTAGGAGTCAGGTCTTCTCTATTAAAATGCCCACAAATTCTCAAATGAAGCCAAATGCGGAACAGTCACTAGAGAACAAGAACTTCTGGGCCTTTCCATACACTACCCTATCCTTCCATCTGTGAGCTCTGCTTTTGTCCCTGCCTCCTCCATTTTCCTTTCTTTTGTCCCTGACAACTCAGGGACAACTTGTGCATTTGGATCCCATTTCAGGAACTAGGAGTGTTGTCCCAGACCCTGTAATACAACTTTCTACAGTGTTTTCACACTTGTGCTGATCCTTGTCAGCTACCATCCACTCTTTGAAATGCCTTGCCCCCCCAGTTTTATGCTTCAGGGTCAACCCAGGAAGCCCCATTTAGCTGAGCCCTATTTTCATTTGCATACCTGCCTTATACTTATGAGACAAGTGAGCCATTAACCTAAATGCAGCTTGAAGGAAGAGTTCTACTCTGCTTCATTCTGACTGTCACATTCCTTACTGGCAGAGAGAACTATACCTACTCCCTCTGCTAAATGGAAACTATGAATACCAGAGCAAAGTCGTGGGATGGCACCAGTTCAGAAAAGACTCCAAGCTGGCAACTTCTCCACTTTTGTCATTTCTGTGGAATGGCTCTGTCCTGTGCAGACCTCACCCTTGTCTGCTGAATAGTGCTGATAACTGAGCCGTGGGTTGCAAGCCAAGGGTGGGGATGTGGTATCCACACAGACAGATTGGGCAGTGCTGTGAAAGTAGAGCAGCAGGGATATACACATGCACACACACACCATTATTTTGAATTAATGGGCACTGCTTGTTCGGCCTCAGAGCAGCAATGACATTCTGGCTTTTGTCTCTTTCATCACCGACTTCATCAGAGTTGCCAAGCTTGGAGAAATCAGTCTTGCTTCCCAAATACCATCTGTTGTTGCTTGGTTGCTTTTTTTTTTTTTTACCTCCAAGTGCCTTCTTGGAAACAGGGCTGGGAGCCAGTTCTGCAAGTAGACCTGTCTTTTTCTTTCTTTTTAATCAAAGTCAGGCTTGAACTCTACTGCTTTCTGGTGAATTTTCACTTCCCTGCATGTCTTTCTATGCATGAAATTGTTATACCAATCCTCAGCTGCTTTCCAGAAATAATAAAATGATTAGTTTGGAATTTTAGATCAGAAGAAATGTAGTGGCACCTGGTGCCTATTTTTCTGGATTATTTTTGTGTGTGTGTGTGTGTCCCAGAAAGCAGCATATATTAAGTCTATTGGTGCCTTTAAAAAGTTCACAGCTGTAGCCTTCCCACCTCACCATGTCAGAAATTATTTACAATTGCATACTGAAGGATATATCGGCAAATACTGGTGAATTATTATTTAGTTCTATCACTTTCTTAACCTTTGTACTTTTCTAAGGTGTTTACTAATGGTATGCAATCAGGGAGCATGCTGTCAGTCTGTTTTTGGAAACACGGGTTCCAAACGATTGCCCAGGCTGCAGGCATTGTTTCAACCAAGTTGGCAGCTTGGCACACTCAGATGACCATACCAGGCCTTGATGAGAGTAGCACAAAGAATCATGAGAGCTTCTCCCTCACATTTAGTAGACCTACAATAATGTTTACAGTGAACGAGAGCTGTGCCTATTGGTGGTCATTGCTGTGGCAGGCAGGTGCCACCTTGGGTTCCTGTGGGGAATTTCCCCCTTTCAGTGTGCTGCTACTTCTGTGCCTGAAGCATGATAATATTCTCTTTCTATTTCCAAGCTCTGATAAGGAGTGCAGTGTCTTTCCTAGGAGGGATTAATGTGAGAAATGTAGGGATCCAGCAGGAACACCAGACAGCAGATAGAGGACACTTTGGAGCTAGTGTGGTCAGATTCTCCCAAATGTCTTCAGGATATCACTGCTGCTGAGCAAGCGACACTCCCCAAGCTACCAAACACAGCACATGTGGTCTACCTCAGCACTAGGACTCTGCAGACTCACCAAGCGACGCCGTGCTGCTTTAAGCAAGGGAGGGTGAAAGAACAATTTGAGAGCCCTTTAAAATACATTGAATAAGCCCCTACTTGGAGGGGAAGCTTTTCTAACCTTTGTCCCTTGTGGAGCCATGGGTACATTATGCATCTAATAGATGCTCTGTCCTCCTGCCTAATGTAAATATGGGCATTCTCACTAGCCATGGGAATGACTGTTTACACTGAGTTCGGACCTTTGGTAAGTGGTGTGTCGAAGTGTCTATTGAAGAGTAGCACCTGGCCACTCCTGGGAACTTGCAGGGATCAAAGCAAGGCCTGAAGACACAGAGCTGCAAAATAGCCGTGCCTCCTGTGCTGATACCCCCACTGGAAACTCGTGCCCAGTTTCTAGTGAAATGGATGTGCAAAACTGTTTTTATTTCCACCTTTTAAAGCCTATGTGTTAAAGTTTGTATAAGAGACTTCATTAACTCTTCAAATGTTAGTAGAAATATAAATAAACATAGTCCTCCTTCGCAGCGTGGTTGATATCTGACAGCATCAGTGCATCAAGTTCCTATCATGGGAAAGCAAATATGTTCACCATCTAGCCATTCCCTCTGGCTGTGAATGTTATTAGCCCTTGTTCTGTTAATGAAACGTGTTCTAGTTTGGCCTGCTTTCTGAATGCATTTTTTATCAGCCTTTCTCTACTGAAGTTGATGCAGAAATCTAATAAAAATAATAATCTGAAATGAAAGTAGTGGTTGTCTCTTTTTGCTGACCAACATTTTAATGCACATTACATGTACAGTGGTACCTCGGGTTACATACGCTTCAGGTTACACACTCCACTAAGCCAGAAATAGTGCTTCAGGTTAAGAACTTTGCTTCAGGATGAGAACAGAAATCGGGCTCCAGCGGCGCGGGAGCAGTGGGAGGCCCCATTAGCTAAAGTGGTGCTTCAGGTTAAGAACAGTTTCAGGTTAAGAACGGACCTCTGGAACGAATTAAGTACTTAACCCGAGGTACCACTGTATTAGCTTCCTTTCTCAGATATATCTCGGGTGGTATGTTGTGAGTGAAACAGACTGGTTTGGGATGTGGAGGGGGAAGTCTTTGGCTCCAAAGAACATTTGCACTAACAATGCAATGAATGTGTGCTAGGCAGTGCTTTTTTTCCTTTAAAAAAATGTTTAGGGGTACTCTCATTTTCCTACTCATATTGAAATACTGCCCCTCAATGAGGCCAAACTTAGATTCGCAAAATGTTTCCCCCCCCCCCAGAAAAAAAGCACTGGTGCTAGGATATATACTAGTAGCATGTTGAGCCATGTGAATGATGGGCATGGCATGTTTTGATCCTGTGCATTACACCTCATTCAAGCTGTAGTTCTGCATAAAGCCCCAATGAACTTAATAGCATATCCAAGTAGATGTGCATAGGGTTGGGCTTTTACTCTCATTTGCCATTTCAATATTTGGTTGCTCTCCTGCAAATCCAAAATACATAGACAACCTGTGGCTCTTTCTTGTAATGCAGTATTGGCTGTGGTGGAGGGTTACTCGCTTTTATCTTCGTGCTGCAATAATGATGTGTAGTTTTCTTCAAATGACTGTATAGTTTGCTTCACTGCTGCCCATTTTCTTAGTATCAATTAGGTGAAGGTAATTCTGCCGTAAACAACAGGTGGCATATCAATGGGAGACATTCCGATGTGGCCATAAAGCTTCAGCCAGAGCCAACGAAACGCGTTTATCCTGCGTCTTTTTCTTTGTTTTCGACTTAAGCAAACATGTCACTTTTGTCGGCAGACTGGTATGTTGTGGTATATGATATTACAAATATACCATGAAAGGGCACTTGCAGAGCAAGGAAAATGCAAGGAAAACAGTTGGAGAGAGCTGTGGTCATATTTATTATAAGGTGTCAAATGGCTGCTGGGTGGTTTTTGCCTGGTTTTTAATATTGGGGCATGTTTATATATGCTTACTCGTAATCTTAAGTCCCTGGAGTGCAGTGGAATACGCGTACTCTCATATAAGTGGGTAATAGGATTGCAGCCTAAAGTGGCTCCATGGTTCGTTGGTACGGGCCTATGCTGCCTCCCTGGTGGCGAGAAGGAGAGGATGGGCTGGATTGGAACGACTAGACAGAAGAGGTAGGTGGAGGATCCCACCTGAATTAAAAGTATGTATGTGTGTTCCTTACCTGTGAATTAAGAGGCTTGGCTGTGAGAGATGTAGTTCAAAACTGTATCAAATCAGCTAGTATGAGCCTCAAGAGCACAGATATCACAAAGAGGTGCCTGTTTCCCCGAAAGTAAGACATCCCCCCAAAACAAGACCTACTTCCAGTTTTGCCTCTCGCTGTAATATAAGGCATCTCCCGAAAATAAGACCTCTCCGATAATAAGGCCTCCCCCGAACATAAGGCCTCCCCAGAATATAAGGCCCCCGAAGCTACCATAAGGCATCTGACTCCTCTGGACCGTAGCGGCAGGCGCCGCTGCACAGCTCACTGATTGGCCGCAGCACAGCCAGAGCTGTTCAGGCAGTGCAAGGTCTCTATAAATCAGAGAGACTGCGCCACCGCCATGACAAGCTGCCACCTGCTGCTCGCTCTGCCCTGACGGAGTCTGGCTGACTCACAATTAGACAATAAATGTGTACCGTATTCTTCTTCATGGAAAAATAAGATATCCCCTGAAAATAAGACCTAGCGCATCTTTGGGAGCAAAAATTAATATAAGACAATGTCTTATTTTCGGGAAAACAGGGTATTTCCAAGCTCTTACAGTGTTTAAATCAGGTGTGAGGAACCTCGCTAAACAACTCCCATCAGCTCCAGCAAGCTGCAAAAGAAGAAGGCATAAACAAAGGGTGAGGAATCTCCATTTGGCCCTCTGAACTCTTCCCCTTGTAACCTGCTTCTCAGCAACACCCTCTCTCCCCCCAGCCACACCTTTCACTAACCTTACCTGTCCCGGAATGGCTGGAATGTATTGCTGAACACTGATAATGCCTCTTGCTTGGCTGGATGGAAGATGGAGCAGATATGTGTGTTTAAAACTGAACTACTGTGCAAAGGTAGCATTTATCGTTGTTGCACCACCCACATTTACCTGGGGCCCTGCCCACCACTGGCATGTGGCCCCCGACAAGTTGCCCAAAAGGAAATGTGGCCTTTGGTCTGAAAAACTTTCCCCACATCTGGTGCAAACTATGGATTTTATCATGCATGCTTTTCTCTCTCATTGACCTTAGCAGCATTCAAGGCTTATGCACCAGTGTACCAAACTGCAGCCAGTAAGAGTAATTGAGCAGTAGGAATAAACTTGCACACAACCACAGCAAGTTTTCAAGGGGGGGGGGGAGAACACTTTTGACACAATTTTATTGATAGACCATCTGCAGATTTTCCTGGAATAGAGGCATACACAATAATTGAAAACGATGTTCCTTTTTGCACTGCTGCTAAAGGTACAAGAGCCCCAATAGAGGCTGAGGAAAGGGGAGAAAGCCAGGGGAAAAATGGAACATTATATGTAAGCCATCCCTTTCTCATTTCTCCCTCAGGCAGTACAGAGTATCAAATAACGCTGAACTGAAGCTGGTCTTGCACTGAGGTATCTGGGCTTGTGCTGAGATGAGCAACTGCCTGCCCCACAAACCAAGTTCCTGAGAAGTTTCACATTACTTCTCCTGGAGAGCCCTATAGCTTTCTCTGCTGCCAAGATACAGCAGGCAGGCATCAGTGGTTTTAAAGCAGGTTTGGGGAACCTTCGACTCTCCAGATGTTGCAAAACCATACCTCTCATCAGTCTCAGCAAGCATGGCCAAGGGCTGAGGGTGACGGGAGGTGTGGTTCAGCAAAATCAGGAAGGCCAAAAGTTCCCCTCACATGTTCTAAACAGAGATGTAACATAACTATTTATCTGAAAAGTAGCCCTTTTCTTTTATCCTAGATGTAGGCTGACAAGGTGGGAAAAAAGCAGGGCTACACCGACCCCCAAAAGACACACACATAAATCTTGCTTTAAGCGCCATCCATGAAACTCTTATTTATTTATTTATTTATTTATTTATATACTACCCTATACCCGATATCTCCTGCCAACCTAGCAGTTCGAAAGCACGTCAAATGCAAGTAGATAAATAGGTACCGCTCCGGTGGGGAGGTAAACGATGTTTCCATGCACTGCTCTGGTTCGCCAGAAGCGGCTTAGTCATGCTGGCCACATGACCCAGAAGCTGTACGCCGGCTCTTTCGGCCAGTAAAGCGAGATGAGCGCCGCAACCCCAGAGTCGGTCACGACTGGACCTAATGGTCAGGGGTCCCTTTACCTTTATACCCGATATATAAATTCTTGCCTGCATCGTTGCACTGGCTCAAGTGGGGTGCCTTCTCATCTTACATTTTTACGGTAACCCATCCAATACCTTCAGCAGAAACTATTCCCAAAATATTGGCAGGTACGTTGCAGCAACATTGGACAAAGGAGTGCACAAGAAAGCAGGAATTCATGTGGACTTGTAGCAGCCCGTTCAAACGGCTCTGTTGGTTCCGAGATCATGGCAGCTGGCCTTGTTGCCAGCCACCTGCAGAATGAAGCTTTTGATTGATTGCTCACCAATCAAAACACACACAAGCTGCCCCTTTAAAATATGCTCCAGGCTGAGGACCTGGAAGAGCGGAGCTGCGAGTGCAGAAGGAAGGAGTGGAGCGCTGAAAGGAAGGAGATTAACGGGGAACGGGCTGCCAACTTGACCCATAGAGTATTTTGAGCAGCGCGCCTTTACTGACGGCGACTGAGCGGGACCGGGGGAAGCGAGCGAGCCCAGCCTCTTCCTACCATTGGGTGGGTTGCGGCAGCTCTGGCCAATCGCAGCGCGCCTTCTGTAGAGGCGGGAGACGCACAGCCGGCTGAGCAGCAGCGGCGGCGGCGGCCGTTCTTTCCTACCTGTCTGTCAATGGAGCGGCGGCTCTTCTCGCGGCGGCTGGGTGAGTAAATGCGTAGAATTTGAAACCGAGAGCCGTTGGCCGTCAGTTGACCCGAGGGGAGGGACAGCTCGTGTTGCCTGGTCACCGCTCCGTTGCCATTTGATTTCAAATACCGAGCCCTCCTTGGCATGGCATATAAGGGCTAAGAATATTCATGGCCAAGGGTGGCTCCTTGAGATAAATGGTACTGAGGGGCAGGGATATGGGCAGGGCCGGGTTTAGGTTTGATGAGGCCCTAAGCTCCTGAAGGTAATGGGGCCCTTTATATGTCCAGCTGTCCTTTGTCAACAACAAATTGTCGCCGTTTTTTTGTGTTGAATATATGCTAAACAGTACGGTAATTTATGGACCAATTGCTCATGACAAAATATATATTTTATCGAAGTAATTGTTGAACTGAAAAACAATTAAGAAGTATATTAATAGTGAAATAATTATTAAGCTCTAACTTAAAATGATTTTTATTCATAACAAACTTAATGCAAACACATGGGCATTTGGAAATAACAAAAGTTCCTTTAGATACCCAGTTTACAAAGACTCATCTATTTTAGTTGTTTTTTATCTTATATTTTGGAAATGTACATCCAAGTTTTGTTTTTTCTTTAATTTTTTTCGGGGGGGTTGGCCAAGAAAGTGCGGCCCTAAGCTATAGCTTGTTTACCTTATACGTAAATCCGGCACTAGATATGGGTACGTGTATTTGTGTTAAAATGCCCTTTTCTAGAGCTCCTGTGTCTCGCTGAACTGCTGGCTGACAGGTGGAAAAACAGATGTTCCTCATGCTGCATTGATAAAGCTGCACTAAACACAATTTTTATGTCTGCTGTGCAGCTGTGAAAAGGGGGGGGGATTATGGCGCCCTTTCTTGAAGCCTGTTAGCTGTTTGTCAGCGAGAGGGTGATAGCCACCCACATAATTTCCAAGAGGGTGAGCTGTTCTAAGTCCGTTGGCAGCAAAAATAAGGAACGGGTGGCTCCTTAAAACCACCTCATTTATTATAGCTTAAGTTTTTGTGGGGTATAGTCCATCAGAGGCATGGTGTTTGTGAAATGGCACTCTTACCTACCCACCGCCAGGGGATGAGAAAAGTGGGGAGAAGCAACATAACCACTAGCCCTGCCCCACCCCATGTACGTTCTGTGCAGACCTCTCCCCACCCAACCTCACCTTCTCTGCTTGGGAAAATAAGAGGAATCAACCACAAAAGGGTAGTGGGGCTGGTACCACTTTTTGTTTTTGCAAATAATATTAAACTTGACAGCACAAACATCCTGCCATTGCTTTCCCCTGCATGCCTGTAGTTGAGCCTTTAGTTATTTGATGTTCCCAGAATGGCTTGCATAAAACCAGGTGGATTAGTGAAACAATAAAAGCAGAACAGTTGAGCACAATTAAGACCCTACTGTGGGACTTACTCCAAAGTAAGTGAGTATATGACTGCAATTTAAATGCCTCCCCTTTAAATCCACATTTAAAAAGCATGGAAAAGCCTGGAGGATGTAGAAAGTATCAACTTTTGTCAAAAAGAAAAGGATACAGAAATGTGACAAATGCAGCCTGTCATGACGGTTTAATGATGGAGAGTGCTTTATGTGTATAACTGTTGCCAGGGCATGGAGCTGTTAAAAGACCCAGGAGACCTGCCAGAAAAAGGCTGTAAACTTAGAACGGCATGCAGAGTATATGGACTAGAATTACCAGGAGCGTTTTGTAGGATGCAGGTTGAGAGAGCCAGTACAGTGGTACCTCGGGTTACATACGCTTCAGGTTACAGACTCCGCTAACCCAGAAATAGTACTGAAATAGTTAAGAACTTTGCTTCAGGATGACAACAGAAATCGTGCTCCGGCGGCGCAGTAGCAGCAGGAGGCCCCATTAGCTAAAGTGGTGCTTCAGGTTAAGAACAGTTTCAGGTTAAGAACGGACCTCCGGAACGAATTAAGTACTTAACCCGAGGTACCACTGTACTTGTATGTAGACCATCGTTGGGTGAATTTGAAGGAAGCAGCCGTGGACAGGGCTGAAATAAGCTATCATTGCTGGGCTCATCACTTGCAACCCTGTACATGGTGTCCTCTGTTGTACTCCCAGCAGAAAGTCTGCTGGCAAAATGCTTCAGAAAAAATAGACTTGACTAGAAGTTCTAACCAATTCAGAACCAACTACTGTTGTTCTAACTACAGTACTTCCTACTTCTGCCTCCTGCTGCTGGAAGGAGTGAAATTTCATGCATATAAGTGTTAGTGTGTCTCTCCCCACCCAAATTGGTAATGGCCCAGAACTGAGCCTTGGAACCAGCTCAGAACACCCTGGGCTTGCCTTGCATTCTAGAAGTTGAGCCCCATATCCATTCCTCATTAGTATTCACTTCTGTTCTGATGAAAAGTGGCTTCAGAGCACAACAGCATCTCTTACCACTTTCCTGATTCTTCTACAGTCAGTAGCTTCTCCAAGTTTTGTGTATTGTACCTGCTCTGGGGTGTATGTGTTTAAGGGAGGGATAGTGCTTCTGGTGGGGGACAGGTCCTACTGCTTCTGGGGTAGTTTGTCCACCTTTGATCTCCACCCTGCACTCAGCTCTCACCTGTGGCTCCTAGAAGCTGTCAGAATGCAACAACGGCCACACCCCAGGAACAGCTTCAGCTGGCCAGGTAAACCAGGTGAAGATAGCCGATGGGTCTCAAACCCTCCCTCCATCCAGAGAAGCAAGAGTCTTTATTGGAGTTCAAGGACATATTCCAGCCAGGCAACAGCGCTCCAGGGGAGATGCAGGGCCACTGAGGGGGTGTGGCCAAGGGAGAATTTTAGGGGCTAGGTAAAGAAGCCTGAGGGGTTGCATTCAGCCCCTGTGCCTAAGATTCCCCACCCTGCTCATGTGGTACTGGTATGTTGTTTCTGCTTTCACCCTCCAGCCACTACTATTTTGCAACTGGCTCCAGTTGGTGGACTTCAGGATTTTATTTTATTTTTTAAAAAAGGTCCTGCAAGCCTGAAGGTTCCCACCCCTGAGCTAAAAGCACACTGCACAGACAGAGAGAGTGAATTTCATATCTTACCTCCCTTGGAAGTTGAGAAAGAGTTTCAGGAGCAGTGGAATGTGAATCAGCAGGTTTCAGGATCTCACATATCCAAATAATTGCATTTTAAATAATATTTTGCTATGAGTTTTATTTATCTAATTATTTGTGATGCATGTGTTTTTAGTATAGCTTTGCTAAATTGCACCATTGTGGGAATTTGGTACAAGAAGAATTGACAAAAGAAATATGGGATGAGCAAAGCAGAGATCACTTTTCATTGTTTTTCTTAGGCAAGAGTAATTATATAATTACAACTGCCTTGAGCAGTCACAGGAAAGGATAAATCAAAACTGTCACTCTATTTCTTTGCTGTTGTACAAAATTAAAGAGCCTTTTTGAAACTGGAGACACTTTAATGCCGCAACTGAAATTTCCCTGTGCGCTTTACAGACTATGCGTATCAGATGATCGGATTGTAGGCTAATAATATCTCACTTTTTGTGCAATGTACTCTTCTCTGATGTTAGTAATGGGAACTCTACCTCCAGGCTCGTCATTGCTTCTTGGTCATTTGCTCTTTATTGCATGACACCCCCGGTGGGCACTGGGAATCCCAATTACTAACTTGGCTGCCCATGTGATCGTGGCATTGCTCTGACACATTTTAGCATGGTCTTCCGTGGAAGCACTGGTGTGTTGTCTCATCATGGGAATGGGGAACCCCAACTACTAACCTGGCTGCCCATGTGATAATGGCATTGCTCTGACACATTTCAGCATGGCCTTCCAGGGGTACTTTCCATAATTGCCCTAGGAAATATTATTAGTATTTTCTTCCTCTTCACAGATATGCCCATTCCTTGAAGTCATGCAGTGCAATCCTGTGTATGTTTATACAAAATTTGCTTTACTCCCTTTGAGTTTAGTAGCACTTCCTCCCTAGTAAGTGTTTTTGGATTGCAGCCTAAGTTACTATTTTTTCATTTGTGCTAATAGTACATTATGCTTTTAAATTGTTTTGTGCATGACTTCTCACCCTCAACCCTATGTCACTAAAGATACCATTTTCCCTATAATGTCACAGTTCCTCAGTCATTCCTACATCAATATAATATATTTCAGTTGCATCTCTTACGGTATAAATTAATCACCTAGGTATTAATAACGGATGATGACACTTGGTGTAACAGTAGTGGTTAGAGGGTATTCTGATTTGTCATACTGAATTTGAGATGCTGTGAGCTGTTTGAAATGCCTGTATGGTGAAACAGCCAATGAGATAACTTTGGATTATTTATAGGACCACTGATGGATTTTAAAGCTTCAATTCACTCTGCAGATATTAGACAGAATTGTCTCCTTGAGGAACCAACTTCTCACCATCGGCAGCTTGTATTACTTACTGACCAAAAAGATCTTGGAGCACTTTTTCCTTTGTAATCCCAAAGAAGATGGCTGAGAAACAGATTAGGTATGTGTCCTTCCCAAGTTTTTAGAAATATAGTGAGCCTCGAAGCAGGCATTGGAGAAACAGTGCAATTGATTTACAGAATGAACATGACAACAAATGCTGCAAAATGAAGTATGTAAAATGTTTGGTTTTTTATTTTATTTAATTTGAGGATGGCCATTTGTCCAGTCTAATTTTAATTTTATTTGAATTAATTTTGGGATGCATTTTAATCGATTGTTTGTTTATGTATATTGTGTTTTATATGATTTTAGCTGCTCTGAGCCCAGCTCCAGCAGGGGAGGGCGGGATACAAATAACTTTCTTTCTTTATTTGATCAATAGTTTTATAACAAATTTCAAAGACCTGTTTTTAAAAATATTTGAGATTAAATTGCAACAAAGATGTATTTAAGTTATTCTTACATACCTCATAATAGCTAGAAGTATATATACTCCTGAAGAATAACTTCATGTGGTCTGAAATGTAGCAGGGCAGCTCTCTTCATTCCATAAATAGTCTCTCTTGTCTCTCTAGAGTAGGTGGAATGAGAGATCCAAAGGAACCAGTCTGATTTGACATGGAATAGAGTAAGGGAGACAAGAAAAGAGAGATTGTTGTGGCAGAGAGTCATAAATGTAATGCAAGGCTGTACATATGATGCAGCCCTAACATGCAAGAGTCTCGGTATGATGTGCTTATACCGAGCACATAAGAAGCTCTTTGAGGGATGTACATACATTAAACACATACTTAGAAACACTGCATGTTATGGGCTGTATCCAATACTGCATGAGTGGACTTCTGTTTGTACAACTGGACTTATCCCTGTACAGTCCAAAAAATACATTGTAAAAGGTCCCCAAGACTATGGAACAGATTTTGAGGGTGAGGGGACTGCAGGGGAAAGGAGAAGAGAAGGAAGTTCCATTGTGTGAGTGGAACAGCAGCCTTGGCTACAATCCTGTGTTTTTTCATGTATGTCACAGATTTGTAACCATTGTTGCATATGAAGTGTTCTAAAAGCTTTATTGTAGCAATGCTGAAAGCAACACATAGTCTGTGGCCAATCTCAAGGAAGTCAGAATTTGGTGCATCACAGAGCTGAATTTGATATAAATGAAATAAATATACAGCATAACTCTTCTCCAGCCCCTAGTTCTGGAAATTCTTGATTCAATTGCATACAATGGAATTCTGTTTTCTCTTGTTCAGTTTGCCCGCTAAACTTATTAATGGAGGAGCTGCAGGGATCATTGGCGTTACTTGTATATTTCCAATTGACCTGGTTAAAACCAGGCTACAGAATCAGAGAAGTGGACAGCAAGTCTACAAAAGCATGTAAGTGATCACTGGAAATGTATTGCATCTAGATTGACTTAATATTTGAGCAGCTCTTTCACCATTTGCAAGTACCTACGGATAGATGTAGCTGTTGGGAAAGTAGAAATCCACAGTTATTAATGGAATGATTCCATCAAGTATGGGTCTTTATCTGCATGTATAAAATAAAGAATAATGTATCAGTGAATGAAATAAGGTAAATAGAAAATGAAAAAAATTACTGTAGCCTCATTTTGGATACTAGAGAACAATAAAGGTTATAAATAAGCAACTATATGTTGTATTTAAGTAGCTATAATGAGGTATTATTTTATTTTTCTTCGTAAAATACATATTATTAAGGCTTGATATGATATATTTTTTGTAGTATATATTACATTGGTCACTGCTGCTAAGCTCTAATATCAAATATGACAAGAGTATCTTAGCGACAGGTAATCTCTGACTATAGTGTTGTGTCTTGATCAGGTTGGATTGTCTAATGAAAACCCTGCGTTCAGAAGGCTGTTTTGGAATGTACAGAGGTAAGTCTTTTCCTTGTTTTTGTAATGGCTGTAACTAACACAGTTATACTGCTTCATGATAATTGGGGACTTATTCATTGGGGTCTCATCCATTATGATTAGGGACTCATCTTGAAAGGTCAGAACTGGAGATCTCAATGTATTTACTAGTGAGTTGGCTGCATTGTTTCTGGAGCTTACTTTTAAGTAAACATTCATAGAGCTGTGCTCAGACATTTGAAACAAAGATGCGCAAAATGAGATGCAGTCTGCTCACACAACAGGATTTCCATTTGTTCTCCTTCTGCCACAATCTGCACAATTGCTTTTAAGATTAGAGTTTTGTAAATGACTGTATAACTCCAGTAGTAGTTTCTGGGCTATTTCCAATAACTTTGAAAACTGGAATCTGAGTCCCTGCCACAATAAACGATGTGGGATACCTATAATCAAAATATATTTTAAAACAAAGAAAATCTCCTAATTTCAATTAAGCTTAAGTATGTATTTATTTTTAGGTGCAGCAGTGAATCTGACCCTTGTAACACCCGAGAAGGCTATCAAACTGGCTGCTAATGACTATTTTAGGCACCTTCTTGCCAAGGATGGGTATGTTAACTTGAGATACTAGAGCTGTCTCATTTGTACCGTACATAAGTTAAGTCTGTGTTCGTTGCGGACTCCATTACGTGAATGTGACAAATTGTGCAAAGCTCATTAAATAGTTTTTTGATCACCCTTGAGAGCAGAATGAACAATAATACGTTGATAGCAAGGCATGCAATATTACGAATCTTCTGAATGACCAGAAGACAAGTAATTATTGAAAACAGAAAGCAAAACTTACTGTGCGCTGGATGGACTACTTTGAAGGGCCAATGGGCTGGAAGAACAGGTCATCTTTGTGATGCACATAGTCTAGCTCGTTCTCATGACTTCTGCAATGCACAATCATTTGTGCATTTCTATCCCAAGCCACTCCTTCATTTTCTTGATCATTGCTACCTCCCAAGTTCTTTTGCTGAACTTTGTGAAAGTCCAGATATTGCAAGGAGGATAATATGTATGTATTAAGTACATCTTTGCAAAACTTCATGATTTCAATAACTTGCTGCAGGATGAGCAGGGAAAGGGAGGGAAGATCTAACACAGAGCATTAACATTCCAATATGCAACTCTATATGGACTGACAAAATCTTGTTGACTTTGATTGTAAACATAAATATTATAATCCTATGTCCTGATGGGATATTGACTGCAAGAAGCTAATGTGTCATTTTCAATGGGTTTGATTCTCAAAGCCCCTTGCTAGTCTGAAGATAAACTATGTATTTCCTTTATACAGCCTTTTCCTTTTCTTGGATATTGCATGCTTGTATACTTTAGTGTTTAAAATAATATTTTTAGTATAAATAATACGTTTAATAAATACTCTTCTTATTACAGGGTAGCCCTTTCTTTATCTAAGGAGATGCTGGCCGGTTGTGGTGCTGGAACCTGCCAAGTTATTATCACCACTCCAATGGAGATGCTGAAAATCCAGCTTCAAGATGCAGGACGACTAGGTAACAGTTCTTGCCTATCATCTCTGAGAACAGGTTCTTGGATGATCACACAAAGCTAAAGTAATGGACCCCTGGATGGTTAAGTCCAGTCAAATTTGACTATGGGGTGCAGTGCTCATCTCCACATTCAGGCTGAGGAAGCTGGTGTTTGTCATCAGACAGCTTTCTGAGTCATGTGGCCAGCATGACTAAACCGCTTCTGGCACAACGGGACACCATGCCGAGTGCCAGAGTGCTCGGAAATGCCATTTCATACAATAGTCCAGTTCACACATAACACTAAGCCAAACTATCTAACTATCAACATGTGAGTGTACAAGTACTCATGGTAACAATCATGGTCACTTCACTCTTCCCCAAGTCCTACTACTGCTAGGCTACCTGAGGCTAAGCTATGGTTTGGCTTAGCATTACTTGTGAACCTGGACTTGTAGTCTGTAACAGGAGACAAGGTGCAACTCCATGTTGAGACATAACACTAAGCCAAACTAAGCAAGACCCAGGGGAGGAGTTAAGTAGCTGCAGTTTTTGCTGCAAGTACTGAGTACATATGCACACACCATGATTTGGCTTGGTGTTATGTACAAACTAACATGAACTGTTGAACAAGAGATGTTCAGTTTGGCGTAGGTTTCAATTACCTTTAGTTTTGGCTGTCATAAGCTAGGTCAGTAGTAACTTGGTGGCTTGTAAAACAAGAACGGGGATTGGGAATAATATTGTCCCTACCTGTGTGTGTGTATGTGTAGCATGAGTAAGTGTCTGGTATTTTATCTCATCCTGCTATAAATGGTGGCTGCAGAAAGTTATGTACCATAAGGGATCATTTGAATGTATTGCCTAATTGACAAGAAATGGTAATCTAAGGCACAACAGTGCTTTAATCAGTTCCAGAACTCAGTAATGCTTCTAAGTTATTGAGCCAGATAAGTGAAAAAATGAGTATCAGTACTGTGTTATCTGTATAGGAGCAAAATCTTATGTAGGCAATTTATGACCCAGAAATATGGAACACTGTTAAAGAGCAAGGCAAGACACCAGAAGTCAGCACATAAGCTAGAGCTCCCTGCTGTGCAATCAGGATTTCAGATTGCAGGAGGAACCTATGTGCATATAACAGACTCCCTTCTTCAGACCTTCCCTCAGCTCATAGATGGCAAGGCCAATAGGCATGGCCTGTTCCATGTGGTTGTATCAACACTTATCTTTTGCCCCATGCTTTCCAGGCACAGGTCTGCACTTTAAAGCTCTGTGTCCAAGTTCTTCCCCCCACCCCTGAACTTTTCCTCAAAAACCCACTATTTAAAGCTGAAGCTCAATGAATGGCAATTTAGGTTCTCAACAGATTGTCGTTAGCTTCTATTCAGCAGTAAAGAGCAGGTTTTCACGGTGAAGGCTCCAGAGCAGACAAGAAAGTGCACTCAAACCTTGGCTCCCAAATGCCTCCGTTTTGGAACGTTTTGGCTCCCGAAAGCTGAAAACCTGAAAGTAAATGCTCCAGTTTTCCAACATTTTCCGGAAACCGAACATCCGACACTGCTTCCGCTTGATTGCAGGAAGCTCCTGCAACCAATCAGAAGCCGCCTTGGTTGTTAAACATTTCGGAAGCCGAACGGGTTTCCAGAACAGATTACATTCAAGAACCGAGGTTTGACTGTACTTGGATACAGAGCTTTAAAGCACAGGCCACACCTGGAAAATGTGGAGGAAAGGTAAGAGTGGATAAGCCCTTAGAATGTCCAAATAGTGCTTATGTTTCACTATCACAGAGCTGCTTATAGGAGTTACAGGAGTTGAAGAGATTTCCAGGGATCAGACCTTCAGGTAATCAGATTTAGAATGCATCTCAGACTTGTATATATTTAGGGTGAAATCATAAATTTCAGGAGACCAATGAGCCTGACATATTTTTAATTGTTCTTTCAGCATCTCAGCAGCTTGTGAGCAGAGTTCCTTGTTCATCTCCTGGGTGCAAGCTTCTAGCTGTCAGCCCTGTTCTAGCCAGAGCATACAATGTAGGACCAATTGCCTTTCCAAGGAGGATATCTGCCACACAGATAGCAGTCGAGCTTCTGCATACCCAGGGCATTAAAGGACTCTACAAGGGTCTTGGAGCCACCTTGCTGAGGTAAGGATGGAACATCTTGTCCTTCCCATTCCCAGCCCAGTTTTTACAGTATGTGGCTTTATAAAAATGCAATAACTCTGTATATTAAACTCTTGTGTTCTAGGGATGTCCCATTCTCGGTCATCTATTTCCCGCTGTTTGCCCATCTGAACAGAGCAGGACACAATTCCCTGGAAGAGAAAGCCCCTTTCTTTCGTTCTTTTCTTGCTGGTTGCATGGCCGGTTCAGTGGCAGCTGTGTCTGTCAATCCCTGTGATGGTAAGAGAAGATTTATATCTCATCTCTTATGTGTTTCTGTGTTTCATGTATTTCATGCTTCTCCATACAGTAGTTATAGAGAAATACTGGGAAAAGTGGATTTCCTTGTGAATCTCTGGAAGCTACCCTTCCATCTGTTAGGGCTTTATGTGTAGGGAAGCTTTTTGTCTTCAGAATATCACAGTGCTTTAATAAATGTAGAAAAGAATGAATTTTAATATGCTGTAGTCATAATGTTGTCAGGCTTGCCTGCATTAGTCTTCTAACCTGGCAAACAATATTTTTATTTTGCAGTAATAAAAACTCGTCTTCAGTCAATGGGCAAGGGAAGAAACGAAGAGAGTTATAATGGAATTATTGATTGTGCACGGTAAGTAATAAAAGCACTGTGAATAACTCACTGTTCAGCCAGAGTGTAAGCAAATGTTTATAATGTTAAACAGTATGTTAAATGTGGAGGAGGTTTCCTGTTTGAGAAGACATGAAAAGTACTTACGTGCATTCACACTAGACCTTTTAAGCTGATCTTCAGACATATGAAGGCAGTTTCCCCTAATTTGCCGCTGTAACCTCTGCAGTCAGAAGGCAGCTGTGAATCTGATAAAAGTAGGAGTAACTGACCCTAAGCACATGGCTATAACATTTGGAAGCTACTTCCAACATGATTTATCCTAGAATATGTGCTGAAGAACCAGCTGTCAAATATCACAACCATTGCTTGAAGTATAACCATACAGAAATGCTTTTCAGTAGCTTCCATATGGAAGCTATACCCTTTGAATTGGCCATAAACTTGTAGGAATCATGCCAATTTCTGGTGTGTTCCTTTTAAGACTTCTTTTTATAGGGTGAGAGATGAATTACAGCCGCAGGAGGGAATCAGGTCTTCAAGCTTTTGGCAGGAGAACATATGGAGATTTTTGAGTGAATGTTCAGATCTGGACACAGGAGTTGTGAAATGATACGTGCAGAATTTAGTAGCCAAGTATATATTTGGTATTGTTTTCTCTCTTTCAGGAAACTTTGGATGAAGGAGGGTCCTTTAGCCTTCCTTAAAGGGGCTGGTTGCCGAGCCCTGGTCATTGCACCTCTTTTTGGTATAGCTCAAGGTATTTACTTTATTGGTGTTGGAGAATTTCTTATTGAGCTATACCAGTATGGAAGACTTTCTCCCTAGACTTCCTCCTTGTTCTTTGGACCTACTGGAATGAATCCACAAGAATCACCAGACAAGACACAAGAAAACAGTGAAATTTCAGATTGAATTATCAGTGTTTCTTCTGTCAAAACTTAGACTCAAAGCCAAGTCCACCTGAGCTCTTAATTGTTATCAGGTTTTGGAGCCAGACTGACTGGGCACATAGTTCTCTAATGGTGATGTGTCTCTTTTTCTTATGAAGTAGAAAGCCAAGAGTTGTGACACAGTAGGACAGTCATCTGAATATGTAGAATGCAGGATGCATTCTGGGAGTTAGAAGAATGAAGCCTCTGGTAATGGAATGGCAATGGCTACTTTTTATTAAGCCTGGCTATGGGAGGATGTATCAGAAAACCTTTTTTTATGAGTGGAACAGGAAAAGAAACTTTAAACAAAATTATTGGGGGAGGGCACTTGCAATCGTTCCAAGCATGTTAGCAAAGATTTTAAAAATGGGAACAAATGTTGTGAATTTTTTATATATCTGTCTTTTATAACATAACTTTACATAGAGTAAAGAATTTGGTTCCTGTGGTGACTGCTAAGAACAGAGCAATGTAATACAATACAAGGGTTAACAGGTGAAGGAAGCAAGATAGACTATCAACCTAAAGGTTTTCAGAAATGCTCTCTGGAACCTAGTTATAGGGACTAGCGATCTCTGTAAGCTACATGTTGTGCAAATAAACTGCTAAGCAGTTTTTCTTGGGCTGTTGCAACTATGTTTTTGTGAAGCTATATTGTAGGTTTTACTGTTCATAATTAACTACAAAATTTCTCTATCAAAGGTGTGTGTTTTTTTAATGAATTATAAGATGGTCTCTAGACATACCATGAATAATGTGTTGGCAGCGCAAGAATGATCATTTTTCTTTGCTCTTATCCTGGCGCAATAAAATGGTTCAGACCAGTTCTGTGTGTGTTGTCTTTCCTGTGACTTTGCTAAGTACCCTTTGATATTTACATGTGTTATTGACAACTTGGGTGAAACTCTATTTTTCTTAAATCGCTTATCCTTCTATCGTCACACATTCTTATGAATACATTTGTGTAAGCCTTGCCAATTTTCTAAATGAATTGAAATGACCCCAGTCTTCTGAAAGACCTGCTTTATCCATATAGCTCACTAGGCAACCACCTGTCACTATGTCTGTTCACAGAAGTAACTTTTGCTATGCTCTGGGTGATGGTTCAGTTTCTAGTTATACCCTGCCTGCCCCGTCCCGCCCTGCCCCCCCCAGTTGTCTACCTTCATTATACACATGATTATTTTATATGGCTAATTAACAATGTTACAGTGAACACAACTGGCACTCTAGTCCAAAGAAAACCAAGAGTCCTGTGGTACCTAATTTATTATGGCATGAAATTTCTCAGAATCATAGAGTTGGAAGGGACCCAAGGGTCATCTAGTTCAACCCCCTGCAATGCAAGAATCCCAGCTAAAGCATCCATGACAGATGCTGTCTACAATTATTTGTGATATAGTAAGATAGTCTTTGGAGTGCCACAGGGGTCTTGATCTCCATGGTTATTAATACTTGACACAGCAATGGCAAAGACTGGCAATCAAATCACAGGAGCTAATGAAATATTGGTGTAGCTGTCAGTGCTGAGAACAGCATAGCAATTCTGGCCGAACATACAACTTCCCTCCTCTGTCAAAGCATGAATGGAAGGGGCTGGCTTGTTTTGCTTTTCCTCAGGAAGGAGAATGAATCCAACAAAGAAATGTGGATTCCTTGTGTCTGTACAACCACACGGTCAGAGGCGCCTTTGTAACACTGCTGAAAATTATTTTTGTGTCTGTGAGTCCTAGATAAAATGGAAAACAGCAGCTGATTGTTTTTTTTAAAAAAAATGTCTAAATAATTTTACATAACAAGTGTTGGATATGCTAACCATTCTATTTATTCTTGGATGCCCAAAACTTGCCATGTGACAGGAGGGATAGTGTGTCTTTGTGTGCAAGAGAGAGAAAGAAGGGGCCTTATAGGTTATGTAGCTTCTGAGGTATAGTGCAATAATCAGTGCTGCTTGCCTCATGCACACAGTCGCTGTAGTCAGTGTTGCATTTCCCACACTTGCAGCTCACGGCCACAGGATAGGAATAGTAGGAGACGACATGGTGTTGACAGCCAGGGATCATCACAGTCTTGTACACCATGTCCTTGTATGTGCACACTTCCTGGGACAGGGCGCTCTGGGGCAGCAGCTTCTTACCATTGCTGTCCTGTAAGAGAATGTCAGTGGTTATTGCTTTTTGCTTAATCCTACCCGCATAATTTATGTTGTGCTCAGATAGAAATCTCTCCATCTCACGCCTCCCCAACGGTCACATTTTTGTAACTGCTGCTGAAGCAAGAAAGGCCATTTCATCCTTGTGACGGGTTTTCAAGCTATGACATAGGCACAGTCCCACCATAATGTTGAATTTGTGGTACGAGCTCGGTTCCATGTGTAGTTCCTTGGTATGATTATTTGGGGAAGGGTTGCTGAGCAGGAACAAATTCCTAAATATGCACAGATTGGTTGTGACCTCTTGGCCCTCTTCTTTTGGTTTGTCCCATTACTTTAATAGTTAATCTGAAATTCTGTATTTTGGTTTTTTCACTTTCTGAATTGGCCCTCCACTTTTCTAGTGGCCATTTGCTTTCTGAACATGTGCTCATTCTTTCAACATTTACCTTCATTAAACTGGTGGAACTTTGCTAATCCTGCTTTTCAACCTGTTGCTCAGGTACCCTTTTGAGTGCAATCTTTCGCCATGACCTTTGATTTTTCAGATCCAATTTGTTGCCAATACATACTGCTCTTAGTTCCCACCCATCAGTTATTGATGGTCATCATCGTAATTGCAATTCCCCACCCCACCCCCCGGCCACATTCTTCTCACCTACAGCCCTTCATCGCTGTTCTTTTGTTTTGGTTGCTATTTATGAGTGTCATATTGATTCCACCTCTCTCTACCCACACTCCTGGCACTCCATTACTGAAGACCATGAGGAAGAGCTACTACAACACCAACCCTAAGCCAGCATCACGTAATGGGTGAGGGCCTGCTGTGTGCTGGTGGGGTGAAGTCACATTCTCCACTTCCTTTAGTGTCTCACATGGCTAACCCAAATTTCAGGAGAATTAAAAAAAGCAAAAAATAATTCTTGAATGTGCTCAAGGAAAATAATTTCCTCAAAAATTAAGAAAATGTCATAGTAGAAGCAAGATGATAGTTTGCGACAGATAACTGTCCTTGATCACTTCCATGTCTCTGAAAAGTCCATTGATTCAAAGCCTCAACTACTCCAGCGTCTCCCATGTCACCTCCACATTTAGTATAATGTCTCAAATCATTATATCACCTCATTCGTCTTCTCTGTTGTCTAATAATCCTTTCCTATTTTCTCCTAAGGCCTAAGCTACTTATTAAAACATTTTTTTTTCTAACCAACCAAGAAGGGACTTAATGGTGTGTTGTAAGAACGTACCCGTGTCATGCAATATCCTTCACAGATGGTGGTGTTGATGGCCAGGCAGAAGGCACATTCTCTCTTCTCCACGTGGATGATGTACTCAACGGGGACACAAAGGGACATGCTCTGCCCCAAAGTCAGGGCAAAGACTAGGAAGAGAGAGGTGAAAGGGGCAGGATTCATGCTGCATGCAAAAACAAAGCAAGGCAAAGTCACTTTAGACATTGTGATGTCAGGAGTAGCTTATTAACAGAATATAAGGGACTTTCCCAGTCTCCATTGCCAAACTCTCTGATCTTTTTTCTATGCAATCCGGTACATGGGTTCTCTGTGTACATAAACATAAAGAATAACTAGTAAGCTATTTGTGCCCTAGCTAGATTGAGGGAGGACAGGTCCAAGTGGGAAATTCCTAGTTAAACTATAATATGTACACCTGCAAAGACAAGGAGTATCTTGAAGAAAGACAATTTTCCTGACACAGAGAATCTCTGCATCAAGGCTACCTTGCCCTTCTCTTCCTCCTGTCATTCCCATGCGCTTGCATATCTAAGGATCAGCAATGCTTAAAAAGTACCCTTGAGCTTCAGGGTGCATGCACATATAACTTGGACAATAATGATTATGTTCTGCCAATCATACAGTAGCAAGCATTCTTAAATGTTGGAATAAAGAAGCAATGGTAATTTTTTGAGCCTCCCTTTCTTTAGGCAGAGAAACACATAACATTCAGCACATGGTTGCCTCAGTCTAAAACCTCTGTGCAAACTAAGAACAGCCCCAGTAAAACCAAAGTTAATGATACTGTAAAAAGAGGTCAAACATAATGCTCAGGATTTGCAAGCCATAAGCTAGTATTATAGTATCGCTTGGGAAAATAGAGCTCCTTCTGCTAAGAGTGTCAGGTTGAACGAACAAAGCGATGACAGAATGGCAAGCCTCTGGCTGATGCCACAGAATCCTCCCTAGGAAAAGTCCTTTTTCTGAGGGCTCCTCCAGATGACCTGTTCATTGAACATTCATTCTAATTTGCTTGCAGAAAGCTTACACAGAGGTTATACACTGGGCAGTATCCATTTTCCTTATCCCGTCAGTGCAAGGATAACTACTTGTGCGACAGGATTTTTCCCTGTTTTCTCCCTGCATGCACACTGCAGCCTCACCAAATCTGCTTTGGAGAGTTGGGAGAACCGCCAGAACAGATTTAGCAGGGCACAAGGGAGGAGAAAGGTGAATTCTATTGTGCAAGCAGAAATCCTTGCATTGTGCAGACATTTACTTAGTGCTATAATGGATACAAGCCCAGGTCTGGTCTTTAATGATCACCCATCCTGATTTGCTTGTGCAGTGTCCATACATCTTCCTGCAACTCATTAATTCATTCCATGCTTTTCAGTATATTTCCTGTGACTTTCCTTACTGCAAGCAGCCTGTCTTTAAAAAGGTAGATTTGTTGTACTAGGGTGAGCAAGCAATTTAATTGCACACGTCTAAATTTATGATATACACTTAAATCCCTCCTGCAAAATAGTGGCAGTGTGGATTCTGTAGGCACCCAGACAGTAGGGCACAAGTTGCCAACATCTACAAATATGCAGTCATTCCTGAATTCCCCACATACTTACATAGAGGCAAAACCTGGAACACTGGCCAGACACCCACCTATCAGCCGTGAAGTGATGCCAAACTGGAAAGACCGTCAACCGGCTCTTTCCTTCACACAAGAACCAGATGCTTCATTGATTCTGCTTCAGGCGCAATAAATCCAGCACAAACTCTGAGTGCATTTTATACTCCTCTGGTTAATTCCTGGCTGATCTACCTGTTTATGTAATTGCATTAATTGCTACTTCTAATCTCTGTAATATCTACTGAAGATTCATACTTGTCCATTCAGGAAATGTAATTGAGATATGGAGAACTATAACATCTCCGCCTAGCAGCTGGATGGCACAGCTAATTAATTTAATATTCATTCTTCACTTACCACAACATGAAAATACATATATATGGATTTAGGAAAGCCTTTGTTGACATTGGTAATTGCTGGGAAAGAACTGCCATGGAAGAGAAACAAACCCAGTTTGCAGAACAGTCTTAGGATAGATTTGAATGGTGATGGAAGAACAGAGAGGTCTATATGTGAAATTCTCAGCAACCCTTAACAAACTACAGTGGCCAGAATTATTTGAGAGAAAGAATGTGCTTTGAATGTGCCTTAAAGGTATAGGTATAGGTGGGGACATGGGACATAGGACATGGGTGGAGCTGTGGTGTAAACCACTGAGCCTCTTGGCTTGCCAGTTAGAAGGTCAGCAGTGAGATCCTGTTGCTCTATCCCAGCTCCTGCCAATTGTTTCCATGTGCTCTGTTTTCTGGCACGGTGTTCTTCTGCTGGCCACATGACCCGGAAAACTATCTGTGGACAAACACCGGGTCCCTTGGTCTGAAGGCTAGATGAGCGCCGCAACCCCAATAGTCGCCTTTGACTCAACCGTCCAGGGATCCTTTATCTTTACCTTTTTTAAAAAGGTATAGCATGTATGTGGCCTCAGCTGAATGCATCCCTGTAGTTCAGGACTCTGCCTAGAAATGGTAAGTGTGGATCATGCGAAGTCATTTTCATTATTCAGTCCGTGGGACATTATTTTTTCTCCTCTCTTCTCAAGGTCTCTAAAAATAGATCTACATCATGGCAAAAGGGGCTTAAGTGTCTAAAAGCAACACTAATTAATTTGACTTTCTATAATAAATCTCTCAAACATATGTTATGATGAGTCAAGTACTTTATTACGGTCATAGACCGGCATAAGCAAAACATCTAAATAAATAGCATAACAGTATGAATCTAAGCGAATAATTATTAAATAAATAAGAGCAAGAACCAAACATATACATAGAATACTTAATTAAGCATAGATAATGGGTGAGTAAAATTTTTTAAGAAAAATTGAAAGATCGGTTAACACAGCTATATGGGGTAGGCTTCAGAAGTGCAGATCTAACAATATGGGCCTTCAGTTTAGGATTGAATTGTAGCATAGACCATTCTTCGTCGAATATCTATCATGGCAGCGCAAAAGCTGGCGACTGAATATGTAACTTCTGGGGTCTCATCCTGTAGTAATAGGGAGATGTTGTGTTGTTCTGAATGCCCAGGAAACTTATATAAGATGGGTTGGATAAACCTAGTTCAAATGTCTATATAATATTGGCAATAAAGAAGGGCATGCTCCGTTGTTTCCTGCTGCCCAAAGCCACATGGACATGAGTTTGTTATTATCTCATTGTTAAATAATCTTTCCCAGGTGGCCCTAATTCAGAAATGGGGGCTCTCAGCAGATGGGTGGACCCTGGATTTCTGCAGGAAATAAATTGTGCAAGAGTGAGGAAGTAAGCAGGGGTACATTCAGAGAATGACTGTCAGGTGCTCTGTCTGAGAACCCAGGAGAGTCTTCACATATGATATCTTTGGAACATTGCCACATCTAAATGTAAGTACAGCATCAGTACAATGGTCCTATTAATTTTAGCAATTGGATTGAGTGATGCAATCATCACCATGGGTGAACAATGGGTTTACATGAGCGGGTTCTATTTCTTCTTTTGTTCAGCTTTGAAACACTGGTGGGACATTATTTTATTTATTTAAAACATTTTTATTGCACCCTTCAGCAAAATTTATTCCAAGAAAGGAAGAAAGAAGTGACTAGTATGGAACAGAAAAAGAAGCAATACTTAGAAGTAGGTAAAATGTACTTTTAAAGCCAGTAGATGAACCTTCTAAAAGTTGTTGGACTCCAACTCCTATCGGCTTCAGTTAGCATGGCTGGTAGTCAAAGATGATGGGAGTTGTAGCACAGCAACATCACCTTTTTCTCCAAGATTTTCTCTCTCTGCCCCCCTCAATTCTCACAACAACCTTTGAGGCAAGTTAGACTGAGAGATAGTGGCTGGCCCAATAGACCCACAGTGAACTTCTTGGCCAGGTAGGGATTTGAACCCTGATCTCCTAGACCCTAGTCCAACACTCTAACCACTACACTACATTGGCTCTATACATACTAAGTGTCTAGTTTGCCCTACATCAGATCAAGGTCCGCTTAACATGCCAGGAATATGCATAGCTCTTTAAGTTGTTCCCATGAAGACAAAATTTCATTTATTTATTTTTAAGAGCCTTTGTTTATATCTTGGGTGGAAAGGGAGTGGATGAGGGAGTCTGACCAATGGGGAGAGGATGTGTAACAATACAAGGCAGGGCTTGTAAGCAGGCAAACTTCAGAGGTAGATGTTTTGGACCATTATTGCTTTGCCTAGGTAGGGAAGGGGTGTGAACTGGGGTGTGGAATCTCCTCTTGGGCATCTATCAGATGTGTTTAGCTAAAGAGAAAACAGATATCATCATAGGATGAGGTTGATGCTTGAAATGTGCCTATCCTATGCTTGAGCAAATGCATATTTGGTCTAATGAAATTTGTGAAACGGCTGGCAGGGTTTGTGTAGGCCTTCATGAGAGGTGGGTTGTAAATATTTTAATATAAAAATTTTATTATTATTTATTATTTATGTTAGAATAAATAAAGTATTTAGGTGTCTTAAATACCAGACCAGCTTCACAGCTCCTCAGCTGAAGATTCTGAGGTTTCATCTAGGGGACAAATCCTCACTCCAAGTCCCTTGCACTAGGTTGTAATTATGCCTTTTTCTGAACACACTCCTTTGTCATGTACCAGATCTTTCCACAATTCCCCTCATTAAGAGACCTCTTCAGAATCTACTATACCGTGGTAGTCCAGCTCCATTTCTGTTTTATCTAAGGCACACTTGCTTCCCAGCTGGTTACATGACTTGTCCATGTGCCACCTAAACTCTAGGATCTCCATCCAATGACAGCCAGTTTAAGTATTAATCATTCATCTCTAACCTTTCTCCTAAGCAAAACATCCTTCTCATTGACATCAACGAGTCGCACTTTCATGAAGCAGAAGATACCGCTGCCGTGTTGCCGTCAGATGAGTAATCCCAGGAACCCAAATATCAGGGCACTGGATGTGCCTCAATGATAAGCGACGCTACAGAAAATGCAAAAGATGACTATTTAAAAGCAGGCAAGACAATGATGTCATATTTGTTGTAAAAATGTACCAGTATTCTGAAAAAGATTGTTAAGGGATGCAGACCTAATTATTCTGCTACAGCACACAACGGAGGGACAACGAAACAAATCAAAGCCTGGAAGATTTGTGGGATGAAAAGTTAGGATTTCAGAAGGAAGTCACAATGGGAAATGAAACAGTATGTCTGCCCTGAAACTTTTGCAGGCACAAACACTATTGAAATTGGGATTGCATAGAAGCAGCCAGACACCACCTTGAGCACCAATCATCAGGAGTGTACAGTTAAAAAAAAAAAATCTGGATAGTCCCTAAGTTGTCACAAAATTGAATCTAGGGTCTCTTCAAGTGTCCTTAATGTGCATTCATAATGATCTCTCATCAATAATTGCAATCACCCCCATCCCCAGCATTAGCTGCCACATTATATTGCCCAAGTAGGAACAGATAAATGTTGTCTCCTGTTTTCAAAGTCTAGAAGCTGCAGTGGCTTACACCTTCATTTATAAGTTTCAAAGTACAAATTGTGTTCTTCGGTTATTGTGATTTTTATTATAAAATTATAAACTAAATCTAAATAAGTAAAATAAAATAAATCTAAATAACTATTCCTGCATTTCAGGGGGTTGGACTAGACAGGCATGTCCAACTCCCAAGAGACTGCAATCTACTCCCACTATAAAAAAACTGGGAGTGATTTCTTTATTTTTTGCCAGGATCACACGATCGACCAGGATCAACCAGGGATGCCCCACAATAGACTGGTTGGACATGCCTGAACTAGATGATCCTCAGGGTTGCTCCCAACTCTACAATTCTAAGATTCTAGGAATGCATCAGAATAAGCATAGCATGGGTTGGGGAGGAAAAATGGGCAGCGAGGAAGCAACAGCAGTTTGTGCTTCTGAAGTGAGCATACAGATTATACACAATATTTTGAATGTCCAATTAGGGAGAATTTGTTCCTGAACTAGAACAGGGATTTGCCAGATGTTGGTAGGTTTTGGTTCTAGATTGACACTTCCATATGTGGTATGCTGATGTAGGAGCATTCATTTCCATTATCACCATGGACCAGTATCCACTCCTGGAAAAGTACACTAGTCACAGGTTAATCATTCACTTGCAGTATGAATCATTAAACTGTTTTCGCAGGCCTAATTGGTTAACAATTTGAGTACATTTACTTCCTGCTTATATGTAAGGTAAAGTATTGTTCCCAGAATCTTGGAGCAGATGTGGCTGGTTTCTGAAGGATGAGTACTAGAAAATATTAATGGTGCGGCATTGGACTTGTGGCAGTGACTTCAGAACTATAAGTATGGTTGTTACTTTTTTTCATATGTGAAAGATTGGCTTAGTTTCTAGTCTGAGGAAAATAACCAGCAAACACAAGAGCAGCTTGGTTTGTCAAACAAGATTCATTTTTCAAGACTTTGCTTCTGTTTCCTCATGAATTAGTCTTCTGTTTCTGCTGTGGCAAATCTGGGAGGGGACATCTAGAATGTTCTTGTCATATCTCTGCAGCCCAAGGTAAACCAGACTACAGAATATTGTTGGTTAATTACTACATCTTTCCTAAACTATTTCTGTACTCATCAGAAAACAAACTGGTGAGAAATTCTGGAAGGGTGTCTGTGTCCCCTAAAACAGCCTCTGTTAATGGGCGGCTCTCCAGGTGTGGTTGGAGTACAACTCACATCATCTCTCACTACTGGCTGGGACTGAGGGGAATTGCAGTTCAACAGGCTCTGGAGTGCCACCCATTAGCCACCCATGTGCTAGTTATTTGCACTGAATTCTTTTCACCTTCTGGTTTGTAGCCCTCTTTCTATGCAGATCATGTATCCAACTTTGTTCTGATTTGGAATGTCTCTATGATGCAACTATCATGTGACTTGAGTTTCTCTTCTCTCTTGTTTCTGAAAAATAAGTAGGGCTATGATCAAAAGCACAGTGGCTTTAATACTCTTCTTACTCTTGAGAAGGAAACTGTTTGTTAAAGTCTTCCTTTTAAGAATTGGGAAAGAACATTTCATGGGGATAGTTGTAGAAACTGTTTTGTTGATACACCTGTCATTTCATGTTGTGCTGAAACACAATCTTATGGTACATACATATCATTTCTTGTTAAGTTACTCAGCTATATTCAAATGACAGGCCAGCCCAGCCCAGCCAATAATTGTTCTGCATGACTAACCTTAGAATTCTTTTATAGTTTTCCGTTACCATAGAGATCTCTATGGGCTTTGCCCAGCCCTGCAGTGAACATATCCCAAGTAATTAAACAAACAGAAACACGCTAAGGCTAAGTATCTGTTACTCGGGCCGTTGCTGCCATCATCATCTTTGGTGAGTTTCAAGAGATTTGGATTGTGTGTGTGTGTGTGTGTGTGTGTGTGTGTGTTAGGGGAGTGTATTGCTTTGGATGAATCACAGATCTCAAGCTGAAGAAGAGTCCTTTGGAGGGATTCTGGGCCTGTCTGAGAAGCAGGAGTTACATAAGTATGGGTTTGTCTACACTTCTGCTTGTCTCACCACTTTCCCACAGGAAAACCCACTCCATACTGCTGAATCAGAGCAAATTGGGTCTTCCATGGATTTGTGATTCAGCAGTAGAGAGCAGGTTTTCCTAGAAAAAGCCGTGGGACAAACAGAAAACCACTCAGACCCGTGCCTAGAAAGAACAGGAGAAGTGGAAAACCCCTTGGGCCCGAGCTTTCTAGGCATGGGACAAGAGAAAGTGTAGACAAGCACGTAAATAAAGTAAATAAAAAATCTACTTGCTGCAGTTTCTTGTCAGTTTGCCAGGTTGCGAGCTTGGAATTGCCTTCTAAACTTGAATTATGCTGATGAACTGGAGGAGTAGGCAGACATGCCTTCTGTTGTCCCTCCCTATTCCAGCCTTTGACTTGGCTTGTGCCTCAGGTGGCAGGATCCACTGAAGCAGTGGGTCCCAATGTTGATCTCTCCCCCTGCCCCCGCTCCCGTTCCTGATGTATATCTTTCCTCACCTTTTCTTTCCTGGTGGGGAGGAGAGAGCCATTTTTGGGTCCACCTCAGGTGCCGAAATGTCTTGGGCTGGAATCTATCTTTAGATTCATAATTCAAGTCCTGTTCTTTCCAGCAAGCAGGAGATGGAGAATAAGATGTTTCCTTGTCTCCTGATTCAGCAGTAGATTCAAAGATAAAGGTCAACTACAAGTTAACAACCTGTTAAGCAAATATTGTTTGCATATGGAATCCACTATGGCCATGATTTTCAGTTACCATTGTATTTCATGAATCTGTCTGTCTCTATTGTTGATTATTCACCAAAGCCAGACTAAATGTATTTCCATCAGAAATACTAAATGGCAGACTGTCTGGCATACCCTATCAGAATAGGCTCTCCTTATGTTCTCACGGGTTTTGACTCTATGAAGAATATCCTACTACAATGTAAGCAGTTCAAACAAGCCAGAGATCAATTAATTAAACCCTTATTGGTAAACTTAACTGGAAAATCTGAAACCTTCTACCTTTAAGTACCTCCTTGGAGATATGTCAAACAATACTACCCTGACCGTGGCTAAATTCCTCTTAGAAGTAATAAGAAATAGAAACTTACATGCTCTGGATAAAACATATTGGCCGCCTTGGAATCCTTTCCCTGTATTTCTGTTTTATTTTGCTTTTGAAAATTATTCTGTGGGTCTTTGGACCAAAATAAAGAATGTTATCTTATCTTATAACTTACCAGCATAGTTCTTTTGAATATCTGGTTCTGGTAGTGCTATGAAAACTGTTAAGCCCTTCACATTAACACAGGGTATTCATACCCTAGCAGAGTACAGTGTTGATAAGCCCCAACGGAGGCAAAGGTTACAAATTTTCAGTATGCCAAAGGCCAATTATTATTGTTCCACATTCACAGCTCATGATTACAAACTGCATCAATCATCTTGATCCTATTTGCCCTGTGAGGTCTGACACTACCTTTCACGTGTTACTGATAGGAATCTAAGACTCAGTAAATTAATTGCTCAGGGCTGAATCTAGCATATATCAAAGTTAACCCAAGTCCAAGGAAAACATGCTATCACAGTTGTGACATGATAAGGCTCCATTTATGTATTTCTGCTGAGGTACATGCCTTCAATAAGCCACAGAATTGACAATGAAGCATTGAAATACTTGGTTTAGTTGTAAAGGCTTCTGCTGGCTCTACTCAGAGCATCCATGTTTGTCTCTTACCTCTCAAGGGGCAGAATCAATTGGTAATTACAGGGGATGTGTGTTTCTAATCCTACTTGTCTCTCTCAGTGTCTCTCTCAGACCAGAGAGGTGTATGGCTTATATGAAAGACCTATTAATTGAGAAGATAGAGTTTAATGCCTTCTGCTCTTTTACACCTCTAAGTGCTTTTGCAGAGAACCTAACAGATGCAATTTTAATTTATACTCATAACTCTGTTATTGTTGTTTTAAATATGTTTCCACAGGAGAAAAAGCTAACATAATTGACGAGGAAAAAACAGAAAGCTATGATGGACAAAATAAAATATGTTTGCCTTGTAGTCTCCATCATACTGAAGGCAGTTTCACTTCAGACTACAAACTACATCCCAGCAATGAATACTACATCCAGGACTGAAATGCTGACCGTTTCCAGTACAGAAGCAGGCAACATCACTATATTGCAGAATGGAAGTGCCAGCTTGAGTACATTCACAACAACAGTGAATATTACCAACTTTCCTACGCTTCTACAAAGCACCCATTCTCCTCATACAGAAACATCAGCTATGACTGCTGAAGCCAAAACTGAGATGACATTTCCAACAGAGTCATTCTCTACTAATTCTACACATCAAGCCACAGTTGAAGATTTCAATGTCACAACTTCAGCTACCACATTAAAACCGACAGTCCAGCCTTCTAGTACTGCACCACCTATCACCAGCAAGGGTTACCTTTCAGTTTCAGCAATTCAGTTTCCAGGTAGGTCTGATGGACAAAATATAAAGTTACAGGCAAACACATGTAAACTGAGACCTGATGCTGTGATGTTGTTTTATAGTGAAAAGCTATGTTAAGAGTAGAGAAGTGGCAGGCGGAGGAGTGCTTCCTGTTTATCTGCTCCAAAATCACCCTTCCCACACCTAGCTTTTCCCCTATTGCTTCCAAATAGCATGTTTTCCTAAGAATACTTTTTCCTAAGGTATCCCATCAGACTACAAGGACATATTGGAACAATGTTTACCTTCCTTTGTATGCACATTAGAAGAGTCACTCTTAAATTGTTTGATATTGAAAATGATACATGATGAAAGCATCTGTAGCAATAACTAGACTATTTTAAGTAGTGACCCCCAAGACCCTAAATATCTAGAAGTCCCATTATCATTGATTGGACAAATGTTTGAATAAACATCCACACTGATTTGCAGTCAGCAGCACACTAAGCTATTTCAAACTAATAATAATAATAATAATAATAATAATAATAATAATAATAATAATAATAATTATATTTATATCCTGCCCATCTGGCTGAGTTTCCCCAGCCACTCTGGGCAGCTCCCAATCGAGTATTAAAAACAATACAGTATTAAATATTAAAAACTTCCATAAACAGGGCTGCCTTCAGGTGTCTTTTAAAAATAGGATACTGTAGTTGCTTATTTCCTTGACATCTGACGGTAGGGCGTTCCAGAGGGCGGGCGCCACTACCTAGAAGGCCCTCTGTCTGGTTCCCTGTAACCTCTTCTCACAATGAGGGAACCACCAGAAGGCCCTCGGTGCTGAATCTCAGTGTTTGAGCTGAATGATGGGGGTGGAGACGCTCCTTCAGGTATACAGGACCAAGGCCATTTAGGGCTTTAAAGGTCAGAACCAGCACATTTAATTGTGCTCAGAAATGTACTGGGAACCAATACAGATCTCTTCAAAGGTAGCCCCACGAAGAGCACATTGCAGTAGTCCAAGCGGGAGATAACTAGAGCATGCACAACTCTGGGCAGGTAGGTCTAAGTTTTACTGAGCTTTTTCAAACTAAGTATTAGTAGGCTTTCTGTATTATTTCATTGCAGCAGAAGGAGCTGGTTTGAGCAATTCAGATACCATCCTAACCATATTTTTTGCCATTGTTCTCGCACTGACAATTCTCGGATTCATTATATATATTTTCAATAAATATCGAAAACGAAGAGACCAATTTTCCCATCATCCACTCTATGATGCCTCTTTTGAAACAGGTTAGTATATTTTAAATCAAATACCAATATCATGTACAAGACTAGTGAGTAATTATGGGAAGGGGCAATACTCAGCTTTTTATTTTCATTCATAGTAGCTGTCTTCCCTTAGTCACTTACCAACCACTACATGCTAAATAATGGAATGGCACAGCAAATGGTAACAATTTAAAACAGCTCCAAGAGGTACTACTGCTGTTTCTCAGTCTAGTGGTAAAATTAGCTGTTTGCTGTGTGGAGTGTATAGTCTGAAATGGAAGTGGAGTTTCAGCAACAGGAAACATTGGGTTTACCAGACAATGTGACAGTTTCCTGTAGGGAAAGGATACAGCCTAAATGCATGCATGAGAGAAAAGGAGACAGAAATGTATGAGAGAGTTTTTGAGTATCAATGTTTAGCTTTAAAAAATATTTCTGGTGGTTTTTTTAAAAATATGTAAAGGAATAATGTTTATAGCCAAGGGCCTGGGGCACAGAGTACTGGGAGCACACATGCAAAAAACTTATTTATGCTCATATCAAAGCCCCCTGAGCCTCTTGAGGTGCTACTGCAAAAGGCAAATGACCCTTTTGACCAGTGTAAGGGGCTGCCTCTGAAAGAAGGAACTAGAACATTCACATGTGCTGCTTTGAATCCATGCCAACATATTTCTATCCTCACTGGATATGTTGTACATCTGAACTGGATACTGGCAATTTTCTATGAATACTACTTAAATTGTATCATTGCACAATGAAGATTTTAAGTCTTTAGCTTTTTGGATTCATCATTTCCCAGTAATATTTATTTTTAAAAACTGTTTACAGTGGACAGATATGCTACTCCAGATGACACACTTGTAATATCAGGAGGCTTATATGATGCACCAAGAATTTCTAATTCCAACATGACAGTGTATGACGATGATGAGCTTCAGATTGATCAGTTACCATTTAGTGCTCAACCTGGACAATACAGACTGGAGTTTTTGCCTGGTGAAAAAGAAGTGGACTTTTCTTCAACTTATGAGGGAACATTTCAAATACCACCAGGAGGCATATAATTGTTGGAGCACAGGAACTCTTTTAAAGTGGCTTCAATAAATATTTGAACTTCTATCCAGCTCAATAAAAATAAGAAAATAAAATTAATAAACTATATTTATTTGAAAACAAGGAACACTTCCAGCAGTGGAATACAGTTATCTGCTACTCAGTGACAACGAATGACTTTCAATTTCATTGGTAATATTGTGCTTAATTAAATAACATGAGCCTTTTTTGATTCATTCTTTCACTAACCTTACATTTCTAATCTGTTTATGTTAACCTATACATGCAAATGAGCATGCAGGAGAGGATTGGCAGAGGACTTAGTGGAGCACTATTTCCTTCTTCTGTCCCCTGCTGGTCCTTAGCTGATCATAGAATGCTATGCATTGGTCATTACTTACAACCCTGATCAAGCCTACCATGTATGCATCCAGCTAATCTTTTCTCCTGATGGCCCTGTGCAAAAGTACTCTAGATCCAGCAAGGGAGGGATGGGAAGAAAGAGGACTCTACTGAGCCCTACATTGATTCTTTTCCACACATGCACCTGTACCTACAGGAGATAGATCAGAACATAAGTTCTTGGGGAAGCTTATAATATTTAAATTATTCCAACACTTCCTGCCCTTTTAACAGACTCAGGACACCCTATTTTTTAAAAAAAAGTTACTGGAACAAAAATGAAATGAAGGCAGAGTATTCAAATATGATAAACTAAACAATTAGTTCAACATTACAGTAAGTTTCACTTATGCAAAAAGTTTTCCAGCTTCTTTCATTTTTTTCTTTCTATCCACTTTGGAGATTGCAGTCCATCCAGCATCTCGCATCTTTCTTAAAGCTGCAACCTTAACAGAAGATCCAGGAGTTTTCAAAGTTGGTGGCATGTGAACCTGTACACAAAAATGAAAACTTCACTTAATTTTATTAACACGGCAATTGTGATATATGTTTTGGCTTTTAGTAAAATTGTGAAGATACCTTTTTTGGTGTCATGACACATAGGCAAGAAGTTTGTGGATAATCTTTATACAGCTTTTTAAACATTTCTTCCTCTGAAACGATGCTCTTGAAAAGAAATTATTTTTTTTTAATAAATGCATAGTAACATCTAGAGTCTTTCTTTTCCTTTTTCAATATACAACATGGAAAAATTATTTCATTACACACATCCAGTTTAAGAATAAGGGAAAACATCCTATGACTTTTTAAACCTAGAGGCCCTAGTTCACAGATCTTTGTGTGCAGCATTATGCTAGGTACATATCAATAGTACTGGATGGATTATGGGTCTAACCTGATGTAAGGCAGCTCCTTATGCTTTATGTTATCACTATGTATGTTGGTCCAGAACCAAGAAGGAAACAAAATGTGGTATTCAACTGAGCTTCAGTCAAAGTAGACCTATTGAAATAAGTAGACCTAACTTAGCCATGTTTACTAATTTCATTTGGTCTAATCTGATTAAAACTTAGCTGGACACCACCCAAAGAGAAGAGCACTGAGAGGGCTTAGCTGGGAATAGCTAAGAACTGGAGTGCAGCCACAAGGCCGGGGCTTTATAAGCTGTTTTCTGGGAACTAAAACAGGCTGAGTGGCAATGCTGTTTGCTTTAGGAGACTGCTTGCTTCTTGTATTTATATAGGAAAAAAACAAAGAAACAATTATTACAAGAATCTCTAGCTCTCTCATTAAGGAAATGAAACCCTATAGCACTGCTTCTAGACCGTCTCTAGACCATCTCACTGTTCAGAGAACTGGGGAACACATAACAATATTATGCAATCTAAAAACAGTCTTATGTTTCATATAAGTATGTAATGGAAACTACAGAAGACTGGATAGACATGACTTTCATTACACACCAAGAAATAATTTGGTTAGTTATATTACTCTATGACATTTCAAATTAGGAAGAATTTCTGATAACAATTAGAAAGATCTTTGGAAAGCTCTAAATCAGGGACATGTAATCCTCCAGATGTTGTTGGACTTCAGCTTTCATAACACCCAGTCAGCATGGCCAAGAGTCAGTAATGATAGGAGTCCAGCATCTGTGGGGGGGGGTTCAATCCAAGGGGTTGGGTATCAAAAGAAATTTACCAAACATAATATATGCCTCTATCTAAGGTTTTTTTTTTGTTCAGACCTATGTGAACCTTGAGGGGAAAATGATCTGGCTAGGTTAGTTGTTACTTCATAGGTTCCAAGGGCATCTGATCAAGGAGTAGTAATCATCTGTTCTGGTGAGAAAAGATAATCCATGGAATCATTTATATGGCTAGGAGGGGGGCATATTTTTATGTTGTAAAGCAAAAGAAATGGCATGTGATAACAAAAAGCACTTCAAATGCCTCTTTACACACACACACACACACACACACACACACACACACACACATATTTCTTATTTTCAAACTAATACCAGGAGGTCGTTCTCAGAGGTATCTGACTGAGTATCCAGTTCTAAAAGAACTTTTCTTTTTTTCTTTGTTACTTCTTCTGAAAGTAGGCTGGTGCTTTCTCTTAGTAATTTAGATTTTGGAGGTGTTTTCACAGTGTAAGTCTATATAGAATAAAAGAAATATTTTTTAAAAAATCCATGATGCTAACTTTAACCTTTTTTTAAAAAAGACTCTTTTAAACCTAGAAGCCCTTGTTCACAGATCCTTTTCTTTAGAATTACGCTATGTACAGATAGTACTGTCAGGCAGCTCCTTATGCCCTGTAATTTCTGGGCATGTGAGACCTGTCCCAATATAAGAAACCATGAATGCAGCCCCAAAATATGGAGATTCAACTACATATGTAACAATTTTTGTGTGCACAGAAGACTTGATTTGTAAGGAAATTTGTAGGTCTTGATTGGTTAAGGTGAAAAACATTTAGATTAATGAGAAAGGAAAATATTAATCCCAAAAGATATATGTAGATTGTAAAGGAGTGGTCCCTACAAACTTTCTTAGGCTTTCCCCAAAATAAAAATTTGTTGTGAAATAAATGCATGTGGTTGAAGTGGATTCCAACTTTTTTTTCTCAGCTAGCACTGCATAAGTATAAGCAACTTGCCTAGTGGATGGGAAATGCAAAGCTAGCTTTCCAGCCTGCACTGTATTCCCTCTGAGTAAGTGGCTGTGCTGCTGCTGGCAAGGTAGCATTGCAGCTCTGCACCACTGAGTGAGCCGCTTCTGTGTATGGGTTACAGATGCCTATTGGCTGGTTGCAATGATGAGTGTTCTCTCTGTGTGTGTGTATGTTGCCTTAAGACATATATGTGGAAGGCAATTATGAAGTAACAACAAGAGTGGCAAGTGATCTTCCCCAGTACGTAACTCTGCAACCCAGCTATCTTATCAGTATTAAATGATGGGGGCTATTTTCGCTAGTACTCTACCATCTGGGTGCTTAGTGAAGCTTTGATAGATGACAGACCTACACATTAAACAAGTTAATGTCAGTGGATGGAGCTTCTGATCTATATTGCTTACTTACAGCATTTAAAAGTGACAAGCTACATTACTGGTTAGCTGAGGATAGAGGAGCCATCAAATCACAATAAAGTGAAGGAATATTGCATCACTCATTAATTACATAAAGTGGTAAATAGACAACACAAAAAATAAAATAATCAGAAATCTGGAAATAAAGGTAACACAAGACAACAAAGACATGGATCTACAAGCAGCCAGTGCAGTGGGGCAATGCCATGCCACTGCCCTCCTGACAGTGACACTGTTGCCACTTACCAGATGGGGCAGGGCAGCAGTGAAGTTTGGAGAATAGAAACTTTAAGCTAAATATTACTTTCTAAATAGTGATTTTTTTAAAAGAAAAACAAAATCTACTTTTTCATACAAAATTTAGAAATGAGAATCTTCAATCAAACCCTGAACAAATATAGATAAACAAGTAGATAACAAACAAGTACATAAAACTAAAACATAATATATTAAGAAACAAACCCTGGCAGGTGTCCAAGAAGACTTTTCTTTGTATTCCAACTTGTTCACATTAGCAGGTGTAAATTTTTGGGATATTTTCTTTTTGGAATGAAGAGATGGAGAATCTAGGCTATTGGTTTTAGGTGTTTCCATGAAGGATGTTTGTGTTTTCTACAATTAATTACAGAAAGCATTAAAATATGGAGTAAGTATGAGAAGAACACAACTACCATAACAACAAATATTACTGGAAAATTTTACTACTTCACAATGCATGTATCAGGTAGCTTATGCAATAAAAGTTGAATGCTATATTGTAGCAAAGCATAATAATTTTGAAAAACAGAAGTAATGGTCACCTGATGCCTTTTTTCTTTTTTAGAAATGTCACCTTTATTTGCTTCTCTTGCTAGCTTTTCCTAGACAGAGGGAAATAGTGCAACTTAAAAAAAACTTTTGAAGTTTTCTATTTAAATATACTTTTTTATTAGCACAAGACGATAAGGGAGCATTCAAGTGAGAAGCTCAGAAAACCATTATCAGCTCTACCACAGTTGTTTTTTAAAAGTTAAAATCAGCTATGAAGGACCCCCTACACCCCAAGTGGATTAGGTTCGTGCACTGTGGAAAGAATGTGCTTACCCCACCACCAAAGCTGCTGTACATTCCATGAGGCAAAAACAAAACAAAACACAGGTTCCAAAGTGTAGGATTTCAGATTTCACACATTTGTCTATCTTAATATAGGGAGTCATCTTCCATTTAGTAGGGAATGATCTTAGAAGATCAGAAATCTGATTCACTGCTTGTGGAATAGCAGAAAATAGAATGGTGGTTTCAAACTGTTCTTGAGGTCTAATACTCCAATTCCTCAAAAGACAGACAAAATGGATTTAAGCTAATGGCTCCTACAATAACCTGTTGCTCTCCTGACAGGAGCAGCCAATGCGAAGGTTGAGTGGGGGGGGGGGCAACTGCATGACCTGGCCTCCTGGCAGCAGTGTTGTTGCAGTTTATCAGGAGGGAAAGAGGAATAGGCAAGGTGGTGGGGAGGTTGGCATTCAGCAAACACACCAGCAGGACAGCTGGACTGGCTCCACCAGTACATTTCATAGCACCAAACTCCCTGCCATCTTGCCGCTTCCTCCCTCCCTCCCTCCCTCTCTCCCTCCCTCCCAGTGATTTACCAATACCATGAGGCCAGGTCTGCACCATTGCCCCTTTCTGATGGCCATCCTAGCCTCCAAATGTTGTTGTACTCCAACTCCCACCAGTCCCAGGCAGCATGGCTAACGGTCAAGGTTCAAGGACATTATAGTCCAAAAATGACTAAAGACATGGGCTAGATACCTCTAGTATAGGGGAACCCTGGGGCCAATTAAAATTATCCTTTATCTTTGGTGAAGCATTACCTAGATGAGAACTACATAGTCAAGCTAGATCAAATAATTTTTAAGGTCCAAAAATATATTTCTTTTAATCTTGCCCTGACCTCACTGAGTATATGCTACCTAGCACAAAAGTATCACTGCAAATCTGCGGGAAACTAATGAACTAAGTACTTCATTTTTGTTTCTGCAATTTCTATGTAAGGATTTCCAGGGTAATTCTCTTTACTGTGCCAGAAGTGGCTTACTTGGTGGGATAGCTGCAATGCTAGCTTCTTGACAGCCAGGTTGCTACTGTTTGACAGGTAGGGTGCTGGAATGCTGGATTGGCTCGACTGGTGCACCTAAACCATGCCAGTTTCCCCATCACCTCAGCCTCCCCCCACTTTCTCATCATAAGCACCAGTGATCCCAAAGCCAAGACTTACAGCTATACTGCCCCCCAGGCATCCTCATGAACTTGGTAAAAATTGCTTCTAGTGATTTATTTGATTGGCCTATCACTTGGGTGCTTAATACAAATTGACAAGTCTGAATTCCATTTCAATCTGAATGTGATTTGCTCAGCTTGCATCACCACCACTTTTACAGAGCAGGTCTCTACGTAGCACAGATGAACTGTGCATGGCTAAGCATGTTATATATATCATAAATGCATTGCTGCACATCACTCCAATCTCTGAGGAGTGCAAGATTCCAGCGGTTCCAGGTGCTTACCCAGGGTTTCTATTTCCACTGGAATGAGGGACAGCGGAGACTGTGGTGTCTTTGTGATACATGGTTTATTTACACATATATATAACCTGGGCCTCGAATGGAGGGGTTCACAGCATTAACAACCCAAGAGGGACTTGCTTCTCCCAGGAATTCAAACAACCTGCTGCCTCCAGCTTCTATCTCACATAACTCAACTCTCCACTCTGGCCTGTCTTTCTAATTACCAGTGAGTTGAGGGAGGGGGACTGACCCATTTGCTGTCTGGCACAGAGGCACATTCTTTGTTACCTTTATGGCCTATTACCTCACCACGAGGCAGCAGCAGAGCTAGCCGCTCAGGTACTGGGAGCGGCACACATGCTGTGCACCTGGGGGTGAGGCGAGCCACCTATGGGGGCAGGGAGATCCACCCAGGGGGCGGGGCGATCGGCGCAGTGGCACAATCCTCCCGGGGGCCAATCATGGCGTTGTGATACAATCCTCCCGGTGGAGGGCCAATTGCAGCACAGCAGCACAATCCACCCAGGGGGGATTTTGTCACCCCCCCTCTGTGATGACACCCAGGGTTCATTGCACCCACCGCACCCCCCTTCCTACGCCCCTGCCACGATGCTGTTCCAGAAATTTGAAAACTTACTTAGAGTTTAACACTTGCTGGATCCAGGAATTGCAGTCTAATAGACCCCCACTCCTCAAAAAAAAAAACTCATAACAGTATGCTTTATGTCAACAGTTTGAACAATTTACTGAACAATACTGTTAATGAAGCTTTTGTGCTTTTATTATTAAAAAACAACTCCTATTTTCCTTCCCTCCCTTTTCCTTCAGGTGTTTAACAAGCATTTGCTTAAAAAGCACTTTTTATAAGTCAGACAATGGTTGTCTTAAAAAGGCAAATTCATCATTATTCCTTAGAAGCATATTGCCACTGGTTGTCATTCACTCTTCTTTAGGGCTATTTAAAATTAAAAAGAACTCCTAGACATAAAGTAACCCAGATTATTTTCACAGAATTGTGTGCATAAAATTAAAAAACCAGAAGATATACCTTCTCTTCCATTTCTATTTTAAGTTGCTCCTGAAGGGAGGAGAGTTCCTGTTTCTTATTGGAAAGTTCACTTTTCTGAGAATGATAATTAGATAAAAACTTAGTAGCTCAGACTCTATTTAAAAACTCATTCACATGCTCAACTTTTTCAGAAAAAATACATTTAATTAAATTAAATACAATTTTAAAAAATTTAACTCAACCTTTCTTTGTTAAAGGATTGCAAAATAAAGTGCCTCTCTCTGCATGGCAGATAGTGATCTGACAGCTACAGTAAAAGCCACATTATTGAATTCAATTCACCATCAATATATATCTTCATCAGTACTCCTTGTCTCGTTTATTTTCATTTCAGTTTGTCCCTCATGTTTCCTATAGATGTACAGGAGTACTATAAATAGTTATAACATTTGTCTACATTTAAGAAAGCTGCCGGTTTCATTTTGACTCAAAATTGGACAGTGACTTCTAGTTCCCACACAAAAATTCCTCCATTGGATTAAAGAAACTGCAGTGAATCATAATAAAATATAGAAATAGGTACTGATGGGACAGTAATGGATAACCTGTAGCCACACCATGGCTGAAATAGTTTAGGAGATATTCTTACCAAAGATCCTATTGTTGATGATACCTCTTGTTCTTTTGTCTTATAGCATTCTAATATTGCATCTTTTTCTTCAACTGTCTTATCATATTGATGCTGCATAGAGGAGATGGTCATATGTTAATTCACATATAATATTTAACTGCTTATTCTGCCTGCTTGCAGCAGAGGAAGGTGGTAAGCAGCACCAGTCTATTAGCTCTGCTGAGAGACCAGCTCCAGTTGCTTTCCCTCTCCCTGAATTGTTTTCATTTCAGCTGATAATTAGCAGCATAATATCTGTTTACGCACAAATCCTAATGGAATTCAATCAGGCTTATTCTGAGGTAAGTGAGTATATAATCCTAGCCTAAAAGAATGGGTGCTTCCAGATGGGTGTAGATTTTGTCTGATTCCTCCCCTCCACTTTAGTATACATGTATATTTATTTATATGAATATAAGCACTAATTTCACAATGGGAAAAAGATGTAAAAAAACAAAACAAAATATTAAGTATACAAGTGAACGCAAGTGGAGGAAATATTTGAATGAATGCAACCAAACACTGGTAAGGACTCATTATCAAGCCTACCCAGTGGCAGTGAAGGCAGCAAAGAAGGCATACTTTGCTGCCTCCATTGCATCTTCATCATGTAGTCCAGCAGAGCTTTTCCGGGTTGTATGAGGCCTTTTACAGGCTGGCTCAAAGGAGGTGATAGAACCAATAGTAGCTCACTGTGACTTGTTTTGCAAAGCATTTTGAGGATAAAATTGCTTGCATCCACCAAGACCTTGACTCTGTTGTTATAGCAGATGAATCTCATGGGGTGTCCAGAGCACAGTCTAGTCCTGTTGTGTTGGATGAGTTTCAGTTGGACAAGGTCCTCGGATCAGTCAGGGTGACCACTTCCTCTCTAGACCCTTGTACTTCTTGGCTGATAAAATCCAGCAGGGAGGGAACAGTTGGCTATGCCAAGGAGGTGACTGATGCCTCTTTACGAGAGGGGGTGGTCCCTGCCTGTTTGAAGAAGGCAGTGGTAAAACCACTCCTTAAAAAAACCTTCCCTGGATTCAGAAAACCTAACAAACTACTGGACAGTTGCTATTCTCCCTTTCTTAGGCAAGGTTCTGGAGCAAGTGATCGCTTGGGGGGGGTTATTGAGTTGTTGTTTTTATTTTTATTTTATGCATTTGATATTTTATGTGAACTGCCCTGAGACCTTCAGGTATAGGGTGGTATAGAAATGAAATAAATAAATAAATAAATACATGTTGAAAGATTAATGTCACATATATCAAGGTAATTTTATTCTGCTTTAGTATTTTAACTTGGATATGTTTTTAAGTATGGTTGTATTTTTTTATTTTAATGTTTTACCTTTTGATAGGTTGTATTTTACAATCACGCAGTGCACAAATTTTATGAAATAAATAAATCAATATAACACCTACACCCCCATCAGATAATACACACAACCACGATTTCAGACACCCCAGTTTTTGGGGTTTTTTTTTAATAAATAAATAAATAAATAACTGACACACCAAAGTAGGCGGGAATTAAATACCTCATGAAAATGCAAATGTTTAAATTGCTACAACTGGAGCTACACTTACTTTTTTGCTGCAGCAGATCTCACTATTTAAAAGTACCTTTTAATATATATAATATAAATAATAGCTCGTGTGTTGGAAAATGAGAACCAATGCAGCAAATATAGCAATCTCCAGCTCCATCCCACATGGCCCTTCTCTTGATTCTTGTATGTATAAAAATAAGTTGTGTTTACCTTATGCTTTTCCATAAGTGCTACCATTTCAGTTATTTTGTGCTGACATTGAATGTCGATTTCTTTCTGCTTTGCTACTGCTTCATCAGCTACGAATTTCATTCTCTCTGCCTATTAATATCATATGTGAATGAAATAGTTTAATGAAATAATATTGATATTCAATAATTATATGTGGAACCTATGAGTTAAATTCAGTGGCTGCACAAATGGAACAGACCATCTGAACCAATATGGATAAAAATAAATCATTTTTTAAAGTAACAATTAAAGACTAAATTTTAACCAAAAAACCCAAATCTGTTTCTTTTATTATAAAAAGTTGTAGATTCTAAGAGAGTAATTAATCCAACCACCCTAGTTCTAGTTAGTGGATCAAACAGCAGGCTTTGAATGAACAGTGATGCTACACTGGCAAGTGAAATACCTGAGTCATAACAAAGTTCCTGATCATGGTATAATACTACTGTGCCTTTAATACAGTCTAGGAGGGTAACACTTATTCTATGGAATTAGCCTTAGTATCTTTTATACTTGTGAAAGGAACTCCCAGTACTTTGGGAGGCAGGAGAGATCCCTCATCAATCCAAGTTTCATTTCTCTCATCTCAGAAATCAAACACCCACAGCTCAAGATTGTAGGATAAACCTTTCCTTTGGCTGACCAAGGCACAGAGCTTAAAGCTCTTTTTCCATCAGGTTTTCCCAGTGTGAAAGTAGCTTTTAAGCTCTCTACCTGAAAGAAAAACCTGCATTTGATGCTTCCTGTCCTCATCCCAAACCATAACATGTGGGGTACATTATGAGTAAGACAGATCAGAGTATGATAAACAGAGACTGCTAGGAACTGATAAGCAGATTGATAAATCCCAATCATGTAAATAAAAACGAGTTTAACTTACGCAAATTATGCAAGTTTACAAAATGTAAAAAAACTTGAACTCTTACCTCTTTAAAAAGTTTTTCTTCTGCTTCTCTAGCCTTCTCTATTTCATTTTTATAGTTGTCAGTTGTTTCTTTATGCAATTTCTTTATATTTTCCAACTCTAATTGTAATTTATTCACCTGTAAATAAAAATATTTGACTCAATCACAAAAGTCAAAAGACTGGCCTATGCAATCTCTAATCTGCTGGATATATTTTAGCACAGGCATCCACAACCTGCGGCCCTCCAGATGTTTTGGCCTACAACTTCCATGAACCCTAGCTAACAAGACCAGTGGTCAGGGATGATGTGAATTGTAGTCCAAAACATCTGGAGGAGCGAAAGTTGGGGATGCCTGTTTTAGCATACTGTGAACACCCCTGTCATTTTTGGGTTTTCCCTTGCAGTGATCCAAAGGAGAAGAAAAGTATTCCCAAATGGACTTTTGAAGTAACTGCAATTGAAGCAGCAGTAAGGAAACAGCAACCAGTGAAGCCTTCAAAAAGGAAAGTAGCTCTTATTCTGTTATTAGATGAAGTACTGTATGTTATATTCACAGAGCTCTTTTTCTCTACTGAAAGCATATATCAGCAGAGTTTTAGAGAATTAGTAGCAGTGAACCCATATGCAGAATCAGATCTGCTGCCATTTTCCGATGAAAGTGGTGGAGTGCCAAGGAAGATATGAAGTACAGCTTCAATCCCAAGCATCTCTAGGTTCAGTACCAGGCATCTCTAGGCAAGGGCAGGGGAAGGGGTTTGTGGTAGATGTGGGTCACCCTGGGTGTCACCACTGAGGGGGTGACAAAATGCCGGGAGGCACTCACTGCAGGGCTTGCAGCACACCCGAGCCACGCATCTCTCCTGGGAGAGACACGGTGGCTTGAGTGCATGCAGGCTCCGCGCTGCCCAAATGGTCCGTCCACTGCCTCCCCCCCCCCAGCTGTACGGTGGCTGAGTGGGAGGAGGCAGGCAGACTCCGGAGGCCCCGCGGTGTGCCCCGCCCCTATGGGCAGCTCGCCCCACCCCTGGGCACGCCACCCCAGGGGCCTGAGCGGCTTCCTCCGCCACTGTCTCTAGGTAGGAGTGGGAGATACTCCTGTCTAAAATCCTGGAGAGCCACCTTCAGTTCGTATAGATAACGCAGAACTAGATGGACCAATGGTCTGACTCAGTATAAGGCAGCTTCCTATGTCTCTGGTTGCTCTTTTAAAGATGACAAACTGTATCTCCACTTTTCAGAGACAAACATGTACTTGTAATTTAACTGCTCTATATCCCAGTTCTACTGGAAGATCATATCAGGGCAATTTACTTACATGTTGAATGATCTTGGTGCTCTCCTGACTAATCAAACAAGTATTGAAGACATTCCAGAAGAACAAAACTAGAACTTGAAATGGACTATAATTATTATTATTAATTTATTTATTTATACCCCACCCATCTGGCTGGGATTCCCTAGCCACTGACTAGTTCATTCACAATAATGAACATCTTGTAGGTCTTAATTCTTCAAGTTTTATATTTCTTTTCTCTGCAACTATTATTCAAATGACATAGAAATCAAACATCTTACTTTTTCTTCCGTAATACTTAATTGCTTGCTCTCTGCTGCAACTTTCTTTCGCAAAGCCTTGTTCTGTTAACAAGTAAGGTTTTATATTTATGAAATTAAAGTTATATTGTGATTTTCTGCCACTAAAGCTATGATACATAATAAGCAAATTGAGCCAGTAAAAATATTCAGTTATTTTGTCTTTATTTTTTCCCAACAATGTGGAGCATTCAACAGTATGACCAGTGCGCGCACGCACGCACACACACATATTGGTGTACTGAATTCTGAGAAAATTCATAAAGACTGTGGGTAGCCAACCACATATGGCTGTAAAAGAACAGCAGTTCTACTCTATGCTACCAGAAGTTGTTTGAGGATCCTTCCTGGTACCCTGGTATACAATAACATTTTTTAAATGATATAATTCTATATCTATATTTTTATAACTCTAAAACAGTACTTACATCTTGCTGCAATTCTTCAATATTCCTGGATTTTGTTTCAATTTGTTTCTTTAAACTGTTAATCTAAAAATTGATAAAAATATATTTCAAACAATAAGATACCAAATGAGTACTTAATGATCACTTTACTTTTGTTAAAACATCTGACAAACATGTACCCTACTGATGTTCTGTTTGTTTGTTTCTGCCTTGTTCTGATAACTTCAATAAAAATGATTTTTTAAAGAAAACGCAGGTAGATATTACAATATTAATTTTAGTTGGAATTATTTGGTTAGAACAAATCCTTTTGCATAGAATTTACTCGTGAGCTTGTTAAGCTTGCTGTTGTGAACAGTTATCTCTTTATAAATCCACTGAAGTAAACGCGGCATATATAGGCAGGATTGTAACCTAGAGTAGTTGTGCTAAGATTATTTTAATTTGTATTTAAGTATGTGTATAAAATAATTTGCTTACCTATAACTACTTTCTGAGACATGTACATCTATAAGTTATCTTAATAATCATTAAACTATGAAATCATTAAAAATGAAATGATAAACCAGTAATGATTGCAACAAGCATTTCAGTTATGCATATGCTTTTTTTCTATGTAAATATTGTTTCTGAAAAACTGAAACATTGTAGAATAAAGCATTGAACAAACATGAAGTAAATTATAGTTTCATACCTTGCTTTCAAATGTTTTAAGTTGCTTTTCCTTTTTAGAAATTTCATTTTCAATGTTTCGAACCTGAAATTATATTGTAAAATCTGACATTTTTTTTAAAAATGATATTTTCATAATTTAAAATCCTGCCTTTTACTGTCTTTAAGCGTACCAAAAAACCTCACATCCAGCTTTCAATATAACACTTTATCTATACAGAAAGTAATCACAATTATTGAAAAAGGTATAAACAAGATTCCTGAATTGCATTAATTTATGATCAAGAACAATCACACGTAACATATATGAACTGGGGGTTAACCTTGGGTTAGCCATCCCTGATGTAGATAGTAAGGGGCTTATCCTAACCCTCCTGCTCTTGCCAAGTAACATTAAAAGGAACATTTGTTTCTTACATTGTTTTAATTAATGTTCCAACATTGTAAACTTTATAATAAATAAATAATTTTTTAGCTCATCAGTTTACAACTAAAATATTTACATAAGAAGGACCAATATCATACATTGTCTTCACTTTCATCAAGTTTGCTTTTTGCCTCTTCATTTTTCTTTTTCATCTCTTCTTTTAGGCACTTTAATTCATTGCTACATGTCAAATTAACAGAAAGGGTTATTACAGTTAACAAATAGCTGACTAAATATATAGAACAGGAAAAGTGGCTTTATTTAAGTCCAATGTTATTGAGGTATGATCCTGTGAAAGTTTGAAGAACTTTCTGGCAATAAGAGCCATTTGACAATAGAACAGACAATAGAAGATGGTGGACTCTTCATTGTTGGTTTTAAAGCAGAGTCATGGACACTTTCATTGAGATTCCTGCATTGCAGGGGATTCGACTACATGACGCTCATCGTTCCTTCCAACTATACAATTCTATTATTCTATTATTCTACTTTCCTTCCTATATGGACATCCTTTTGCATGGCAAGTTCTTTCCACTGCCCCCATCCAACCGATTGGTTCTTTGAACTTAACCCCCCCCAAAAAAAGAAACAACTTTGAAGGGTATGTTTGGTGTTGGGAATTTTGGCCCTCCAGATATTGCTGATCTGCAACTCCCATCATCCCTGGCCATTGCCCATGCTTGCTGTGACTGATGGAAGTTTTAGTTCATCAACATCTGCAGAGCCAAAGGTTCCCCAAATGCTTCTCTTCAAAGGAGAAGCAAGCATTAGAAACCTCAAAATTCTTGTCTGACTCAGATCAAAATCTGAGCCAGAAGACTTCCTGACTGACTCCTTCTTTGCAGATCTGATCCTGGAGAACATCATGGGGAGGTGGGATAAAAGTCCACAGGGAACCCTTTTATCCCTGAAAGGGTGGGTGGAATTTTGCCCAGTAAATTTAGACTGTGTACCTAACATACCTTTAAACCACAAACACATTTTTACCCTCAAAGAATTATAGGTAGTGTAGTTTACTACTTACAGAATTATAATACAGTACCCAGAAACCCTTAACAAATGCTGAGAATTCTTTGAAGGAAAGAATGTGCTTCAGATGTGTTTAAAGGTATAGTATATACACAGCTTCAGTTTTCGCTAAGCCAACTATTAAAAGCTTCTACCTAGCAAGGCAATTACGTGATCAGAATAGAGCCCAACCTAGTTAATCCCTCGTCAACCTACGGAAATGTCTCTTTTCATTTTGCTACATGCTGCATTGAAGAACTGAGACAAGGGGGTCCCCCAGTGAGGTGGGCTTTTCCCTCTATCAGCAGGGTGTGGTGTTTTTTTTGTGGAACAGTCTTTGAAAGTAAGACAATGTTTTAGGGAGGTGGTCTTATTTTCAATGTCTCAGGCAATGAACCAATTGTTTTGATAATAATTTGATTCATTTTTGGTGAAGAAATCTAGTGTCCAATGATGGATACAAGGGTTCAACTGGACAAGGCCCATTATTTAATAAGATATCATTAATCTTTACACCTATTTCATTTCCACATTTTAAATGTGAGGGTAAATTAAATTGATTTGAAATTTTAAAAACTTTTAGTAACAGCTAAGAACTGATTCTGAATAATGTACTAATTTCAAACTGATCTATATCAGCTAAGTTTAACAAAAGAGACATTAGTATATAAGAATAAAGACAATGGGCTGAGTCCAGATTTAACCTGCACTTTAAAGCTCAGTTGGAGCAAATGGCAATCTGTGGAAAACCCAAATTGATGTTTGCTCTGATTGAGAGGATTTTTGTGGGGAAAGCTCCAGGGTAAAAACAACAACAACATTCAGACACAGAGCTTTTAGTCATGGACCTGTGCTTGGAAAAAGTGAGGCAAAGGCTATGTATGGATAAGCCCTTAGTTGCACTTAGTTCCTAAGAAAGTCAATAGGTCTTAAGTCATGACTAACTGGATCCATCATTTTCAATAGGACTTGAACTATCTTACAAAGCAATCCTAACCGAGTCAAGTCAGATGTAAGGCCTGCTGAATTCAAAGGGGTTTACTCCCAGGTTAGTAAGGTTAGGATTGCAGCAAGAACCTAATACTGTGAAATTATAATATAAACTGAAAATATTCTATAGGAAAACATTCTATAATATAGTGAAAAGATTCTCATTTTTTCTTGCCTTAACTGGAAGTTTGTTTCTTTTAGGTTTTGTATTTGCTTTTCAGCTTTTTCTCCAATCTTTTTATTGTCCTGAAAAGAAAAAAAAGCAATCTGTTACTGAAAATAGGTGTGATGTGCATGGAACTTTATATACTAATATAAAAATGGCCACAAATGGAACATTTACCTTGGATAGCCCACTGCCACAAATAAATTTCACAATATAATATGCAAACATAGTAAAAATGTGAATGCAATATATAATATGTAATAGAGAAAGCAACAAGGGTGTGAGCGCCATCTTCTGATATTCTGAAGAGAATGGGTTGCTACTGAGTGAGAGGCAGAAGTCACAATGTGTTTCCAATTCTAGATGCCCAGGGGAATGCCATGGAGAGGAACAACTTTGGTAAGAACTTGGATGAGCTGTTCCTGTTTACACACTTGGATAACCATAGATAATGATGTATGTTGCCACTGAAATGCCAGATTGGTTGCAAATATTGCATTTTGACTGTTGGGAAGGACATAATGAGCACAGTGGGATATGGTGGAGTAAGCATGGTGAGGTGGTGGGTATTGGCATCATGTTTCTGGAAGGGGAAGGTATTATATGGTAAAGTATAGGTATCATAAAAAATAGAGAGGGGGATTGGCTGCAGGCTGCTCCCTCTACCTTGCAGCCAAGTAACTGGTGATTTGGTGATTGGTGGAACTGTTATTCAATGCCAGGTACATAATAAGTCCACCCTCATCTATAATTTAATTATGGATGAGAGAGCTGAATTTGCTTGTATAAGCAAGACCTGGTTGGTAAGGTGGGTGGAGTAGATTTGACAAAGTTATTCCCACCCTGACACACACACCTCTAGGTATTCAGTACAGCACCAACCAAGGTTGAAGGACTAGGGGTCGAGAGTCTCTGTGGTCCATCTCTTCTGCTTAGAAATCCCTGTTTGCCTTGCAGTGCACCCTGTGGGATACTACCTGTTGTTAGGTCAACAGGACTGGGGTTGCAGATGGTGTACCTACTGCCTCCCTGATTGAGCTCATTCAAAACACTACCCAACCCTTTGTCATGTATATGCAAAACTGATAACAATACAAACAACATAACAGACTGTAACTATATAAATTCTTTTTCAAGTGCGATTCAACATATCATATCAAAATATATGGTTCTATAGACCAACTTATCATATAAACAAAACATATTATGAGAAATTAAAGTCCAGCAGATTGACCAGGAAATACAATCTATTCAGTTCTTATATTAGCAATATCCACGGTGTGGAATTCTTATATCAATCTTGTAGTGTTCCACGTGAAGATGCTTTTAAGAATTCTAGCTTTCCTTGTATGCAGGTATCAGACAAAGAACTTAGAAGAATGGCACATACAGAAAATAAGACAAGGATTCCAGGATAATTCCTTGTTTCGCCCAACCAGGCTTCATCAGCTGTGCATACTCTGGATTATATAAACGAATATACATAATGAGATGCCTGTAGAACCATATATTTTGATATGATATGTTGAATCACACTTGAAAAAGAATTTATATAGCTACATACAGCCTGTTACGTTGTTTGTGTTGTTATCCTTGATTGAGCTGGCAGAACATGGTGCAGACAGTGGTTCTGGATGACTTTAACATTCACACAGAGGTTGCCTAGCTTGGACCAGCTCAATACTTCAAGGCCTCCATGACATCTATGGAGCTGTTTCAAGTTGTCTTGGGCCAATACACAGTACATGCTTGATATACTATTTACTTCAGGGCAAGTTAAGAATAGTTTGAATAGTGGAAGAATAGAGCTGACCCATTTGTTATGACTAGACCTCTGTCTGATAAAGTTTGGACTTAAGACACCAGCCCTTTATGTAGAGGTAGGAGATTTATTTGGATGGTTCATCCCTGGAGATTTGTGGAATCTGATAAATATTCCAGTAACAACAGTTGATGAACCTGTGAAAATCCTTAAATCATTTTGGTACAGTGAGATGAGGAGGGCTATTGGCGTTATAGTTTTGGACTACCCCACTCCAACACTGGGTAGCTCGTTGTGCTCCTTGGTTTTCCTCTGAGTGATGAGCAATGAAACAGGTTGGATGAGGGCTAGAGAGTAAGTGATGTAAGATTCAGTGTGAAGCCAATAAAACTCTGGTTAGAGCAAATAACCGCCTCTACCATGTAGCAGTTGTCAGCAAAAAATAACCATTGATGCCTCCATGTCCTCAAGTAGTCACTCAACAGAGCTCTTTTGTGTGGTAAAAAAGTTGGTATCATCTGTCCCTGTTAATAGGACACTGAAACAGTCAAAGCCTTTGCTGTGGTCATTTTGCTAGGCACTTTGAGGACAAAATCTATCATTTTCATGCTGATCTTTATGCCAGTGATAATATAGGCTCTGGTGAGGAACCCAGTATGATATCTTATTCAATTCTATATTATCATTTCCAGTTATTGAGGCCTGATGTGGACAATGTACTTTTGTCCTTCCGTCCCATTTCTTACTGTTTCAGTCCTTGCCCATCCTGGCTTGTTCATGAAAATTTGGTGAGTGAGGCAAGGTGGATTCAGTGGGTGGTTAAAGCATTCTTGTGTTGGGCAGTCCTCACCACCTTGAAGGAGGTGTGTTCACTCCTGGAAAAAACCTTCCTGGACCCTGAGGTACTTGATAACTACTGCCCAGTTGCTCATACCCGGGGGGGGGATGTTCAAGAGGGTGGTGCCAGTTCAACTACAGACCTTTTTTGGAAGAAATTGATTATATGGACCATTGCAATCTGGGTTTAGGCCTGGCTTGGCAGAGAATTAGCCTTGGTCACCTGGACAAATGACAATCTCCAGAGGATGGACAGACACAGTGCAACCATATTGCTTCTGCTGGATCTCTCAGCAACTTTTAGTATCATTGATCATGGTATCCTCCTGAAGAGTTTTTGTGAATTGGTGGTTAGGATTATTGTTCCACGTAGCTCCATTCCTTCTTGCATAGCCAGTCTCCGATGATAGCACAGGGGCTATGTGACTATACCCTGACAACTCAGTAACAGGGTGCCAAAAAGCACTGTTGTATGCCTAATGTTATTTAACAAACTATTTGAAGCCATTGGGTGTTGGTGTGTTGTGTCCCTTGCTGGGCACATATCACAGCAGGCCTAAGGGATGTGCTCTGGCTACCTGTTGACCATCCATCTCTGTTCTGGCTAGCTGTTAGCCATCCCAAATCTTTCTTTTCTTGATACTTACATATAAACAACTCTGAATCACATTAGTGAAATACCAACATCTCCTACATTGCCAGGTAAAACTGTCAACAAATGGAACTCAGTTAACTGCAATATTATTTAATGGTGTTGTTTTACTATAATTATTTTAATTATGGATGTCTACATTTTAACATTGGTGGGATCATAAGCAGCTTATAAAATATAAAAAATAAGTCAATTTTGGCATTAAACAATATAAAAATAAATCATAACCATATTTCATTATTACAATGAAAATAAGGGAAACCTGCCTTAAGATCTCCTTGAAGCTTTTTAAAATCAATAACTATATTATTTTTCTCTGTTGCAATGCATTCCTTGTCCAATAAAAGTCTACTCAAATCCAGGCTTAGTTGCTCATTCTTTAATCTATTAGAATAATAAAGAAATATTAGAAATAATGATTTTATATGTACTTCGCAAGTGTGTGATTATAGACACAATCTATACATTGAGTGGTATCCAACAAAGTGCTTCTAATAGTTCAATGATTTCCACTTGTGCAATGGAACTTCTGCCTCTCCTCTCCCTCCCCCCTCCCCCCACTCCTGTGCTAGCAAAAGCACTTCATCAGATACCACCTACAGTTAAATAGTTTCATAGAGAGAGGTTTATACAATGCTACTATTTGGTGAAATCAGTAGGCTGGATTGTGTCCCACTGTCTGTTTTTAGCTTGCATCAGATAGAATAATGTGAATGTTTTATTTTTATTTATACATTATTCATATATAAATAAAAATAGTATTAATGTGAGCTGGAATGTATATAAGAAATTTAATGTGTAGTAAAGTCAATGTAGATTTTGCAACTGCAATATTGTCTGCTTGGGGACACAGCTCCTGGATCTACTACTGTCAATGGAGGCACACTTCAGTGACTTTCTACCACCTTTGCCTGGTGGCCCAGCTAAGTTCCTATCTGGATAGGATACCTGGCTTCAGTAATCTCGACTCAAGTGACCTATAGATTAAATTAGTGCAATGCACTATATGTGGGGCTGCATTTAAAGACAACTTGGAAATCACAGCTGATGCAGAATGCAGCAGCAAGAGAGTTAACAGGAACAATGCAGAATAAGCATATAATACCAGCTCTGGCACATCTTCACTGACTGCAACTTGAACATATTAGGACCCTGTGTTCATCACCTGAGTCCTTCTCCATGTACCGCCTCTGAAAAAAGTTCAGAGGATGGTGACAAGGGAAAGGGCCTTTTTGGATGTGGTCCTTGTCTATGGAATGCTTTACCCAACAAGGTCCACCTGGCACCAACATTAACATCCTTTCAGAGCTATGTTTAAATGTACCTCTTCTCCCAAAATTCTAAGGGGATATGATTATCATGCTTATTGCAGTTTCTGTACATATGCATGAGATGCTATTTTGATTTTACATGGTCAAATGTGATGGTTTTTTAAAAACTGTGCAAGTTGCCAAGAGAACCTTTTTATTATGTGACAAACTGAAATAATAAACAGTAATAATAAAAATAAAACAATTTTTGTTAGGGTATTACATGTCATAGTTCACTAAAAACAAAACATGATATGAAATAGCCTTTCATAAGCAATGTTTTGCTAGTTTTTATGTATAATAAGAACATACTTTTCTTTTTCGAGCTCTGCTGTCACTGCTGTAAGCTGCGCTAAGGAATTTTGTTTATTTTCAAATGCTCTAGATAACTCCATTTCCAAGTCATGCATTTTTTTCTGCAGATAAAAAAAGTATGAAAGAATTTGCACTTTACACCTACTGTGTCCAACAACTTCAATGAAACAGGTTGTGTTATATTAGTTGAAGTTTTCCCACAGCAGACAGGGCAGTTTAGAAAAGTGTGAAAACTGAAGGATACCTGCTTAAAATGTGGATGGAATGAAATCCTTGACTAGCACTAGTTCATGCACCCCACATCTCCATTCATTTCTCCCTCTATACATGGTCAAGATACTGGTAGTTTGGAGCTCAAGTAACTTGACAGTGAGTTAGATTGAGCACACAGATCTTCCACTCTCTGGGTTGCCCTGGCCACTACCATGTGTGCACATGCTAAGAACAGGAAACAGGGCTCTGCAAAGCCCCATGGTGCTCTGTATGAGTTTTATGCTCAGAGCATGATCCAGCGAAACAGTGCAATCCAAATCCCAAACATACCAGGATGAAAGAGGGTCTGGAGCTTTCTTGGTTCAGCCAAGCTATGTCAGCATAAGTCCCTTACCCTGGCTGAGCCAGAGATACACCAGCATACGTTCTTCACCACAGCTCAGTTGTGGTGTAGTTCCACAAAAACGGGCATCCCAGGATATGGCAGGGCATGAAGACACTTAACACCTATTCCAAACCCCTTTCAAAGTGGTCACATGATCTAGCAACTTCAGTCATAACTGAGGTTATACGACTCCCCATCAATTGATCATTATCCTACACTTTCTCATGCATTTCCCATCACTTTCCTTTTGTCTGATTTTTTGTTAAGTGGGTTTGCTGCACAAAACAACAACAAAGAAAATTAAACAAGCTAACCTGAATAGTAGAGTCATCAGCAGTTCTAGATTCCTTTTCCTTTATTAATTGATTTTTTTCTGACTGTGCATACTCCAACTGGTTCTTCAAATCTTTTTGAACTTTGATTGAACTTTCCTAAATAATACAGATATTTTAAAACCATATAGTAATAATATATTTTAAATACCAATTATGTTTAACACAAAGAAGACAATGATTATTGTGAACTTGGATAATGGCCTGAGATTATAAAATTGTAGGCAATATATACTTGGATCACAATCAATGGAGAGTTGAACATAGGACAAGTATGTTTTACTATGTGTATGAATGGTTCTTGTGTATTTTGGTAATTAAAATAAATTGGTAGAGGTTTGAAGAATTAATCCACAGTATAATGAAGGAAATGAAACTTTTAATAAGACTAACTGGTGAAGTGGTGTAAATAAGAGGTCCCTTACCAAGGCTATTTCCATTTCTTCAAGTTGTTTTTCTTTATCATTTTTCAGTTTGACCATTGTTTCTGCAACAAATATAAATGCAAATAATACAAAATAATGCATTCTTTGTTGAGAAGTCGCATATATTATTTGCTTTTAAGTTCAACTCAGCAAGTTACTGAAGTTATCTCAAATGTGTTGTGGGATTAGTTTGCTAATAGAACAGATGCTGTGGAAAGAGTACTGTCAACTATACTCTTGATCATGTGCCTTCTTGACTTGTGCCTGATATTTTTTTACTGTGTGTACATATCTGTATCTATTTTATTATACTGTTTTAATGATGTATTTTTGTAAACTGTTCACACATTTTAAGTATTAAGTAGTTTAGAAATGCTTTTATATAAATAAAATAGTAAGTATTGAGCAATAGCCAATGATAGGTGGAGCAGACCCTTTAAGAGCACCCTTTGTATTTTTAAAATGTTTTAAATGTATACCCAAAGATAAAGTACAAGCAACAATGAGTCAGGATCTGCAGGGGCAAAAACGGCTCCAAATCAAGTTTACAGACTGACATTACATGTATACAGTTGGATTTTTCAAAACAAACACAACACCTGATATTTACTTTGATCCATATTGTTAAGTTGTGGGTGAACATATAAGATGACACAGCAATTCTTCAGACAGCTCTTGTTTATTCACAGGCCAGAACAGAACTGAGCTGAAGAGTTCAGCCAACCTTCTTATATACAGTGGTACCTCAGGTTAAGTACTTAATTCGTTCCGGAGGTCCGTACTTAACCTGAAACTGTTCTTAACCTGAAGCACCACTTTAGCTAATGGGGCCTCCTGCTGCTGCCGTGCAGCCGGAGCACGATTTCTGTTCTCATCCTGAAGCAAAGTTCTTAACCTGAAGCACTATTTCTGGGTTAGCGGAATCTGTAACCTGAAGCGTATGTAACCTGAGGTACCACTGTAGAGCTCAACTACAACACAACAGTAACAACTTTCTGTAACTATCCAATCACTGAGAGTCACTTTCAATTCCTTATTTGCATATGTGGACCTGAGTGAAAACTATCTACAGTATCCCCCTGCTGGCCCAGGGTGAGAACTTCAGTACATAACATATATCTGCTAACATGAATCTAAATCTACCTGCAAAATAAAGATATCAATCTGCACAAAGAGGGTATAGACACCAATTTTTTGGGCCTCATTCCCCACTCCATCAATTTTGTTTGTGCCTCAGACTATCCAAGCCTGAGGTTGAGCTGTATTAGGCCCCTCTGAGGGCCAGTTTTCATCAGGACCACAATGTGCTGAGATGTTGTTACAGCATGAGACTCTTAATCTCAGGCTCATGGGTTCTAGCCCCACATTGGGTGAAAGATTCCTGCATTGCAGGGGGTTGGACTAAAAGACACTTGTGGTCCCTTCCAACTCTACAAGTCTGTGATTCTGTGCCCTATCTCTCTCCTGCTTCCAGTCCTAGCAGATAAAATTCTCTAACAAAGACTTCCCTCCTAGAGCTAATAGGAAGTGTGTGAGTGGATTTTTCAATGAGGCATGGTGGGGGAGGAAAGAATTAAACCTCCCCTCCCTGCATGCTGAAATCAAGGCAAAAATCAGTTCCCCAGAACCATCTATTTACTCCCCTCCGACCCCAACCAATGTGGTTACCAATGCTGAATTTAGCATCATGTTTGGCCCCAACACAGAGCCACTGATACTCAAAAATGAAAGATAGAATTACTCGATTTCCCTGGAAAGAAATCACTGTGTATTGAATAGAGAGAATATTAAAACTTCCTACCTAAGAGAAAGAGAAGGATTAGCAGAAAAAAAATTGAGAACCATCATTGTTGATTCTAAACAACTGGCTCCTTCTTTCTTGCCTAACAAAGTAAACAATAACTGCTACACTACTGAATTACCATACTGAACACAGGACTTAGATGAATATTCATATAATAGAACTATCACTGCTAATAATAATAATTAGTTTAAAAAAAAACACAGTACCTCTATTTCCTCAACATACCTAATTCAGCTGATTTCTTTTGGAGTTCCAAAACCAATATATCTGAATCATCCCTGAGTTCCTTCTGTCTATTAAATTCATTGAAAACATTCAGCGTATGATTTAATAAGAAATAAAAAATTGATTAAATCAGCAAATCATATAGCAATGAACTTGGGAGAGAAACATATTTGTATAACTGTTAAGAGACATATATTTACTGCTTGAAATTCCTATTAATGGTAGAAATTGTCACAGCTAAAAATTGGCTGCTGTTTCTTTAATGCTAGAAGAACTACCGTAAGTAAGCATGAGTCAGTGGCCTACAATGACTTATGCAACCTTTCACCTAATTGTACCTGTATATATAGAGTGGTCAATGTTAGTGTTTGGTGTGGGTTGGTTGGATGGTAGAAAGCTGGTTGCGTTTGGTGTGTGTAAAAGCTGTTGGTCGTGGTTGGAGAAGAAGACTTTTTAAGAATAAAAGCAGCAATACTCTGCAAGAATACTCTTTCTCAAAGACTCTTTTGTGCCAACTAAGGTACGAGGACTAGGCAAAGGAGTAAAAAGGAGGTCAGAACCTTTTCTTTTTCAAACACTGATAGAAATGTCTATAGAAACATGGCTGTAAAGATGCATTAAACCTGAGTGGCAGGTTGAGTAACAGACCTAACTTTTCTTTCCCATCCTCAGCTGACTTTGCCCCATCTTTCCTATCTCTTGGTCAACAAACAAACAGAAAAGTAAGGATGTTTTAAATAATTTTATAAAAACAAAATATATCATTGGAATTCCTTAAATAGTATTACTATGTGTGAAGTTTTTGGTTTTGAGACTTGGGACTTTGACACAAGAAATGGCTCCAGAAAAGGTGAGGACCCTGGGCAGTTCCCAGTAACCCTGCTGACTGAGCTTTACAACAAAGAGCTGAGATTTTGTGAAGACTTGTGTAGGCAAACAAAGCTTATTCTGCAGTTGGCCTTGACCACTTGAAGAGCTGGGTGTGCTGATTTAAAGGACCCTTGTCAGATTCTACAGGCACTTCTACACTTGTGCACAGAGAAAATAACATCTTAAAGCAAATTAAAGTGGATAAATGGAGTTGCAAAGGTTAACTGGTTCCAGTCACTGTATCACTTCCTTGATCAAATTAGCAGATCCCCCACTCTTACCACATTTAGTTTAAAAAAAATCAAAAACAATTGGAAGTTAGTCATGGATCTCCCAGCACACTGTGCTTTGGCCTTAAAGCAGAGTTTCCCAAACTTGGGTGTCCAGATGTTTTTGGACTTCAATAACCATCATCCCTGATCACTGGTCCTGCTAGCTAGGGATGATGGAAGCTGTAGTTAAACAACAGGTGCAGACGCAAGATTGGGAAACCATGTTCTAAAGTAATACGTTAAATCCAGTCAAATATCATATTTTTCCATTTCCATATCCTCAACTATAATACATACTACATGTATACAAGTTATATACAAATGGATGTTCCATGCACACTTCCTCCCCCTGATCCCATTCTGGGTTTGTTTTTAAACAGATGATATAGTGGGAGCTGATCAGGATGAGTACCACAATGCATGGAGAGAGGGGGTTAACCTTTTGCTTCATGAAATTGTCCTAAGAACAATCCCCTGCAAAAAAATTCAAAAACAGCATTTTTTTCAGTTTTGTAAAGTCATGAGTAACAATGAGTGGATATCAACTGCAAATATATTAGGCCAACTTGGCAGTTAATCTTTTTTAACTTTGTTTACTAAACAGAAGTAAAATAAATATGCTAAATTAGATCACTCTCTATGAGTCTAGGGCAGTGGTTCCCAATTACCTAAGTACTGTGGACTTAAGCCCCTACTTTTGAAAATTTTGATATTTCTATGGTAGCTTTATGTGAATGTTGCTATGGACCCCCTGAGGTCCACAGACCACCATTTGGGACCCGTTGGTCTAGGACATTAGCAAATTTTCCAGTGCATATTACCCCAAGAAAACTACCCTAATTTTTTGGGAAAACCCGCCTCATTAGTCACACCAAAGCTATTATTCACCCTTATGAGGGAAACTGCTAGGTTTCCCCTCCCATGTTCCATGATCCGGATTGTGATCCCCACCTCCCATGCATGCTTGCTATTTAAAGAAGAAACACAAACCATGGGGATACTGTTTCTACGTAACATGTACTTTAACCCTTAGAGAACAAATAATCATATCTGAAAGCTATTTGGGAATGGGGAGTATTTATTTTGTCCTGACTATATACCTGAACAAATACTCCTTTTCAAAGAGGGTTTCATATGTAAAGACTTGGGCAAAGCTTGTAATTACCGTAAGTGACAGATTCTCAATGTTCTTGTCATTCTGTGAAACCCTGTTATCACCAATAGTGCTATTCTTTCTTATGTATGCATTTTTACCTCATTTCTTCTTTTTCTAGCAGTTCCTTCAAACTGGAAATTTTAGCCTGGAGATCATCAATAACTGATGCACTTGTTCCTTTAAATTCTTTAAATTCTTCTATTGTTGCTTCCTTTTGTTCAGTTACTTGAATTAATGTTTTTACTGCAGTTTGCAACTCAGTTTCTAAACCCTTACAAGTATTCTAAACAGAATAAAGAATATATATTGAAATTAAGATACAATTCAGAAAATTTTCACTTCTATTCTGTATTATTGTACAAAAAATATTGCAAGTCCATACCTCTGCCTTTTGCAAAGAACTTTTAGTTTCTTCCAGTTCAGTCAATAAGTCATTTTGTTTAGTCTGTGCTTTTTTTAACGCTTCATCATGTTGTTCTAAATTTAAAAGTAAAAGACAACACATTTTCAGACGTTTCTGAGGTTTGGGGCAATCACGATAGGTAGATCTCAGTTGTGTGAAAAAACCTGCCTGGCAGGAAGAGCAAACTCAGGCTCCTGTTTGGAATTGCTTTGACTCACATTCCATGTGCTCGGATCTTCCCTGGGCAGGATTTCAGGGGTCACACACACACACACACACACACTCCAGTCCCAGATCCTTCGGCATATCCATGCTTTATGTCTATCTATCTGTCAGGGACTCGCCCTGACTTTGTGTATTAGATTTGTTTAATAAAAAAATAAAGCTATTAATCCCATGGACTGCAAGAAGATCCAACCTATTCATTCTGAAGGAAATCAGTCCTGAGTGCTCACTGGAAGGAAAGATCGTGAAGCTGAGGCTCCAATGCTTTGGCCACCTCATGAGAAGAGAAGACTCCCTGGAAAAGACCCTGATGTTGGGAAAGATGGAGGGCACAAGGAGAAGGGGACGACAGAGGACAAGATGGTTGGACAGTGTTCTCGAGGCTACCAGCATGAGTTTGACCAAACTGCGGGAGGCAGTGGAGGACAGAAGTGCCTGGCGTGCTCTGGTGCATGGGGTCACGAAGAGTCGGACACGACTAAACGACTAAACAACAACAAAATGTGAATATAATCATTGTGTTCATTAAATAATATTAACAATATTGCAAACACTTTACTTAGTGATATGGAAATTTAATTCAGTGTGTGGCCTGTGGGTTCTGTGTCAAAGTCTTTTGCAGCCCACTTGGTCTATGAGGTTGGACTGCTCTGATCTAAACTGTACAGTATAGGTCAGTGTGAGCATATGTAAGGGAGTGTACATTAAAAGTCACCCATAGGTGGCACTGCATGCCAGTGAGGCTTTACCAAATGACATCTCAACAAATTGTTGCCATGCAGGTGGAGGTAAAGGTACCTTCTACCATTTCTGGTGGGAAACCCAAGGATCTGTAAGTTTTATCCATAAAGAAATGTCTAAAATCTATAAAACTGATGTCTCCTGAACTTGCTTTGTTGAATTTATGGGATAGACATATGGGTACTTTATAACTTTTTGTAAACTACTTTGAGGTTTTCTCCAATCAAGCGGTATATACCGTACATTTCATGAAATTAAATAAATAATAAATAACTGAAGGATTTAGTAACATGGATGCTAGCTGCAGCTATTATTTCAAGGACACAAAAATGGAAAGATTTAAAGAACTTGTAAATCAAACTCTGTTAAGAACATGTGGACAATAGCCATTTCATTTCATTTGCAAATACTACAGGTTCCAATGCACAAATTTGTCTGTATGCATCAATGAGAGAAATTTGGGTAGCTTATACAATCTCTGTATCAATATCACTGGTATATCAAAGATGGTAGTTATCTGTATAATCATCAGTTTACAACATTTGCAATTTTTTGTTTGTTATTAGTGTTTATAAATAAAATCTTTTTAAAAAAAATCTGAGGGCAACCAGTTGGTTCAGTATGCTGTACCACTACTTCTAATAATGCTATTTGGAATAAAATTATAAAAATGCTTACTTTTTATTTCTTTTAACTCAGCAATGAACTCTCTTGATTCTTGTAACTGTAGGTTTATGTATTTCATTTTATTATCTTTTTCACCATTTTGCACTGCCAAGTCTGACACCTAATAAAAAGAATAATTTATGCACATAAATAGCCATGCTTGCCATTTCAGTTTCACATTTCTGTTATGCACATGGTTTAATATTTGCCTTTTTAGATTATCAGTTACAGGAGATATGAGAAAGATCATCCTACAACATAATCTTACATTGCTGCATTCAGACAAAAGACTAAACCATTATTTAGAATTATGAATTTCATATTGGGCTTGCATGCTCCTCCTCCTGCACAGCCATGAAGAGATCAGAAGCTTCCACTTCTGTTTTAGATTAATCACAATTTAGCATTTATTTCAAACTCTAAGCTGTGTTTAATGTTAATCATGATTACTGGTACTTGAAGCAAGCTAGTCTCATAAGTTATCATCTGAAATCAGTTTGTTGCAACTAACCATAGTTAAAATTAGCTGCAGTTCAGATTCAAGGCATTACACAGCCACCATGACTAACAATCACTGATAGCCTTTTCCTCCATGCATTGGTCTAATCCTTTTATAAAGTCATCCAAGCTGGTGATCATTATTGAATCTTGTGCCAGTGCAGTCCATAGTTTAACTATATACTATGTGAAGAAGTGAATCCTTTTGCTGTTCTGAATCTTCTAACATTCATTGAATGACTCCAGATTCTAGTGTTATGAGAGTTGGAGAAAAATGTCTCTCTATACATTTTTACCACCATGCAAAATTTTACATGCCTTTATCAATAATTAACCACAGTGTTGTGTCATCTTAACTGGGATCTGTGGTTAGTTTAAACCAGTGATGGCTAACACCCAGTTCAGAGGTCTAATCTGGCTCCCAAGACCCAACTGATTGGCAAAAAGAAGAAAATGTAAAGTAGACAGCACTGAGGTGGGCAAAGTCCAGCACCCTGAAGCAGATACAAATTGGCCATTCCTGGTTCTCAGATTGATCATTTGATGGAGGAGGGCATTAAAACCCCCACCATCAGTTGATCTACATGGATCAGGTGAGGAGGTTGAGCTATATGCCTCTGTGTGAGTGAGTGAGTGAGTGAGTGAGTGAGTGAGTGAGTGAGTGAATGAGTGAGTGAGTGTACATATTCAAGAATGTGGGATGGTCACGCAGTTAGAGTAGAAAAACCCCCAAATAGCTCAATGAAGACTGAGGAATGCTGAATAACTGTTGTGGCAGGGGGGTGGGGGGAGAGAGATGTAAAACCAGGTATAAAACTGCACCAGATGGGAAACTGCAAGATTTTGCTGCATGTTCCACTTATTGGTCTTATTTTTTACAAAATGTAACTCATGTGACTAAGAAACACATTCACTCTTATAAAAAGGCAGGATTAAGACATCCCACTGACTGCCTGAGGCCACAGCTAATTAAAAGCCAACAGCCTGGCAAAAAAGAAATGTTCTGGCCTGGCACCTAAAGGTAGATAATGATGGCACCAGGTGTGCCTCCCCACAAAAACATTCAGTAAGTGGGAAGCCACCACTAAGAAGGCCCTTTCTTGTGCTGACACCCTCCCTCTGAGGAGTCACATGAAAAAGGGCCTTGGATTATGAATACAGAGTCTTGGTTGGTTCATGTGGAGTCTTGTTAATAACTAACATAATGTTATTAATCTCAGTAACAATAAAACAAACCTGTTTTTCCATTGCATCCATCTCTCTTTTGTGGACTTTTTCAAGTTGTCCTATTTTTTCTGCTTCTTCTTTTACTTCCAAAATAAAAATCATGGATATTTTTAGTAACTACATGACAATAAACATACTAAAAGAGGAAGATGATTCACACATTTATATATATCACTCATTTATATGTCAATGTTCACACATCCTGCTAAACCAATTATGGAGAACCTGTTTCAGCTTCAAAGCTACATTCACTCATGGCAACTTTTCAGGAATCACATACCAGTGGCTGATGGGCCAGAAGCAAAAGTGGACAGATCAATAAATGTTGTTTGTTTGTTTTTTTGCTTTGTACAATAGGCTGTTCTACACAGATTCACTCATCCCTCTCTATCTTCCAATCAAGAGGCATTATCAGAGGTCAGCTAGTCTCAAAACACTCAATGAGAGTATAAAGCAGGATCAGTGGGAGAGTGGGTGTGGCTCAGGAGGGATGTGGGTCAACCAAGGACCAGATAGAGAGCTGTGAACTACTACCATTTGGCTACAATGCCTGAGGTTTCTCACCCCTATGTTAAATTATAGTTTAGCACCACATGTATGACCCAGAATGAGTTGCAGCATGAATCTAGCTGGTGCGCTCTCCTTGGCTTGCTTTTGTTTTAAACAAACCATAATTAATGTTAACCACAGTTTGTTGTTTCAGATGATGCAGGGTAGGAGATGGGGGTACATAAGTAGTGTGAGTATGTAAGTGCAAGATTGCTGCAGATAATTCTGGCTTGTGCACATCATGCTCAGCTCCGCCCTGCTGACTCCCCACCCCAAAAACAGCCCACTTTGAGGTCTGCACTTGCAGAGTCAGGTAAAGTTTAGCAGAGGTAGATGGAATAACACTTCCTAATTTCAGGGATTAGGATTGTTCTGGCCATAAAAGAACAGGAAAAAGGGGGGAGAAACCAGTCCAGTTCAGAAATAAAAACATAGAAGAAGGCACATTCAATAAACACAAAAAGTTGAGCAACTTGACAGCTACCCTTTTCTAATTCCTTTGACTGAAGAGTACTTGAACACTGTAGTTGACAAGAACAAGAAAACTTGGGTGTCTGGTGTACCTGCATTCTAAAACAACATGGCAGGAAGGAATAATTCCTGACACAGCACATGGTTTTGGCATGCATAATGCTCCCCACTAGGAATTTCATGTTACAGAAAATTCTATTATCATCAGCAACAAGTATGAAACACAAGCATTTCCACTGAGTTTGCTTCTTGTGCTTTTATAATAATAGAAAGCCAAACAGGGAATCATAATTGGAAGTTTTAAACCGATTCTTAAAAACTTATTTAAAACATTTTTACCTCTCTCATTCAATTATTTAAGATGGTTTACAAACATGGCAGTTGTATAGAATGAAATGAGAAAATAGGTAAAAATTTCATTTATATCTTTTTCTCAACCCTTTCAAACATAAGATTCCTGCAGCACCAGATCAAAGCCCTGTCTAGCCTAGCATCCTGTTCCCCACAGTACACAACCAGGTGCCTATGAGAAGTCCATAAGCAAAATGTATTGTTCCCTAGTAATGGGTGTACACAGACATGCTGCCTCTTAGAGGTCGCATTTAACTAGTAATCATTAGTAACCAATGGTAAATATATCAAATTCCATTTTAAAGCTAAATCAGTGGCCATCACCACATATTGGCGTAATTCCACAATCCTTAAATAGCCTTTTTCTACTGTATAACAATGGATCTTGATGTAATGTGACATGGCCTGGTTGTGGACCTGTAAAAAGGATCATCTAGGTTCATCTAGTTCAGTTTTCTCTATAGTGCCTGGCAGCAGCTCTCCAGGAATTCAGACAGAAGTATTTCCCAGCCCTACCAGGAAATGCCAAGGATCGAACTTGGGATCTTCTGTATGCAGAGAAGTTACTGTACCACTGAGCTTCAACCAGCCTGTGAGGAGTTGCATGTGGGGCACCACTGCTCTCCAGGCTTCCCAAAACAGTGGATCACTGGCGTTTACTGAAGGAAGGGTGAGGGGTGAGGTGCAGGGAGTTTGGTACAGTGTGTGGCAGTGTTGTTGTGTGCCAAGCTCCCTGTACCTTGCATCTCCCCTCTCTCTCTCAATAAACACCTGCAACCTTCCATGTTGGGAAGCCAGGACAGCAACTGTGAACTACCCGTGCTGCCTTACTAGCTACTACTGATTTCATCATTATCCCAGGCTTCTCCCACCTGTAACCACTTCTCTCAAATAATTACACAAATGCCATAAATTTTAAAAAGATTCTTACATTTAAAAACCATCTCCAATCTGGAGTTTTCTGCTTGTACACGAAGTTCCTCAAAGGCATGTATCATTCTCTAACAGATGTAAAGAAACAATTAGTAACAACAAACTTCCTATAATGCCAGTGAATATATGCTGAATTTATTTTTAAAATATTTAAAATTCACACCAATTGAGTAGGAAATGGGGGGGAGGGGGGTTTGGCATTGCATGTGACATCATGATGTCATGTCCAGGTGTTTCACAGCAGCTTGTTTTCCATGGCCAGCAGCGCTAGCAGCTCCTCCTCCTGCTGCTGCTGCTGCTGCTGCTGCTGCTGCCATGGCCCAGGGGCTGCTTCCCCTCTGCAGCAGCAGCAGGAGGAGCCACTGCAAACCACTGCGGCTGCACTTCCGCATTGGTTTTGGTGTCCTAGCAGGTCTGTTAGTAGCCCAGCATTCCTTATGGCATTAGTAGTGGCATGGGAGGCATTGCGCCGGCAGCCTGGTGGGCCTTGTGTTAGCAGTGGTAGCCACTGCACATCCAGATGCTACAGAATTTTGAGGGGGCCCTGGCCCCTCTTTGAAAATGGGGGGGTCAAAGCCCCCCACCCCGATGGAGCCCCTGACACCAATAGTCATTCACTCAACGGTTAGAACAATCCCTTGATATAAATATTTTTTCTTAAGACATTAAAGAGTACCTACTAATTGAAAGCATTGCTGGATCATCTTTAAAAAGGTAGGTGGAATAGTGTGGTTTTCGAGGGGAGAGGCAACAGATGAGTGAGGAGGGAATAACCCACTCCCCATCTGTTTTTCTGCCAAACACAGCAAACACACATCTACCCTAGCTGGAGGAAAATGTAAGGGAGGAAAAGGGAATAACAAGTGATGGGAAGAATAAGGGCTAAGTGCTCTCCCCACCACCACCACCACCACTTGCCACCTCTCACAGATCATGCACTCTAACCACCTTTTAAATGGTGAGTGGAGACCAAGATTCCCAGATCTGTCTACTATCTAATATTTAATTCATCCCTGAGTTAATGAAATAAACAGTTGCACATCATTACCTTATTGATAATAAGTAATTCCAAACCTATGGAAAATTGCTCTCAGCAACTGCACATAAATATTAAAAAACAGTGCTGACACTTGTAGGATCTCAGGCAATATAACACCTGTAAACCGAAGACCAAATCCTTGAAGGATGCTATCAGCTGAATCCTGGGTTAACCACAGCTCACACCTCTCCTTTTTAAAAGGTTTTTTTTTTTCTATATTTCATTTTTTCAAAGGAAAATGAAACTATGAGAGGCAAGAGTTTGGAGGAAAAAGGAACTGAAAGCAGGTGTGCACCATCACAGAGGACACCAGGGTGCTGTGTGTGTATATATAATGCTACTATAAAATATGTGTCTTTTCTACCTCCGTGTTATTATTAAGATCCACATACATCTGTCTGGTTTCCTCTTGTTCATGTTCATCTAAAACAAAATTAACAATATAAAAGATTAAATATTTATTTTAATATGTAAAAAAAAATCAGAGATAAAGTAATAAGAATAGCAATGACCTGTTATTCTACTAAAACTCCTGAACTCTAGTGAGTCTTTAGAGACAAGTTGTTTTGCAACTAAGGAGTCACAACTCAGAATGCCTTTCTAGTACTCCCATCATATGGAATTGCTCTTCAGTTCATCCCAACAAAATAATGCTCTCCTACTTGTTTTTAAGGATGCGAAGGAACATCTGGAGTTTAAAAATCAGCACTGTGAACTCCTGTTTGTAAGACTATAAGCTGTTGCTTTTCCTGCAGAATTGACTAGCAAAGCAGTTCCCAGTGTAAGGCTAACATGGGAAAGGAGGTTATAAACAGTCTATGAGAATCTTTGCGGGGGGGGGGAATGCAAACACTTTTTAAGAGATATTTACATTTGTTAGACTTCTCCATCAATTGCATGCACTTTTCTTTGAGCAAATTGCACAAATGTCTTGTAGCACTGTTTCTGGGGAGAAAAACAGTTATATCAGCATTATATCCCTAGTATTATTTGTGTCCATTTATACTTTAATGAAAATTTGAAATCCTGTGAAATCTGTATCACCCAGGCTAATAAGGGGAGGGGGGAAATAGTAAAAAAAAAACCAAGATGTCACCCAGTAGACACACCCAATAGACAAACAGCTACAAAGAAACCACAACATTTCCTTATGCACAAGCTGTCATGAGGTACAGATGGGTTGCTTGCCTGGAGAAACCTAGCAACTAGGACAAGGGTTCAAATTGTGCTACAAAACACTGTCTCCATGTAATTTATATAACACTGAGTTCAATACATATGCAGCACTGTCTTTATAAATAAAGCCAGCACTTTGCTTGAACAAGGGAAAGTGGCAAGGAAAAATATAATATATAGAAAGGAGAATTTGATATGGCATTCATCTTGCTTCAGGCCAAGGGAGCTGGCATTTGTCCAGACAGCTTTCCAGGTCATGTGGCCAGCATGACTGAACCGCATCTGGTGCAACGGAACACTGTGACAGAAACCAGAGTGCACTTAAATGCCATTTACCTTCCGCCACAGCGGAACCTATTTATCTACTTGCACTGGTGTGCTTTCAAACTGCTAGGTTAGCAGTAGCTGGGACAGAGCAACAGGAGCTCACCCTGTCGCACAGATTCAAACTGCTGACCTGCTGATCAGCAAGCCCAAGAGGCTCAGTGGTTTACACCATAGCGCCACCCGTGTCCCGCCTACAAAGCACATTAAGACTTATAAAGTGCTAAGAAATATCTCCTAGTAAGGCATTTGTAATTTGATGGAACATGGAATCTGTCAGTTGCAAAGGCTGCCCTTATGGCAAAGGGACAAACTGATCAAAAGGAAACACAGTAATAGATGGGTCTCAAACAGCAAAAGGCAATTAATTACATGAGATGATTGAAACTCATAAAATTCTTCACTTGAAGAACAGAAAGCCACAATAGAAGCTCTTTGTGCTTGCATTTGAGCAGGCCCCTCTTCCTCCAGAACACCTCCACTGCACACCTGTCGCATACAGTCAGGTGGGAGGGAGACAGCCATTGAGTCTGGCCAGTATGTGGTTGAACAGGCTCCACCATATATCAGGCTGTCCACTGATCAACAGCAGCTGGTTTTGCCACAGTCCACCCCACAACTGTGCTGAGAAATGGCTGCTTCCATGGTCAAGTTGGATGGGCGAACTGCAGAAGCCATTGTGGAACTATTATTGGTCATATTCAGCAGGACCACTGAAGTCACACTAGCCATGTTGCCTGCCACTCTCCCATCACCCACTGTTATGGACAAAGTACAAGAGGAGTTGTAATACTCCGATGATATCTAGCACTGCAGCACACTGAGCTTCTTAGAAACCTTGCCCAAGGTTTCAAGCCAAAAGTCACTGATTGCCAAGGAGAAAGGCCCTCTCCACCTGAAAACAACCAGGAAGAGAAGAAATAAGGAGGGGAGGAGCACACAGAAATGCAGTTGTGAAAAGCGGTGTTTTTTTAAACACACTAAAGAAGACACAGAAGAATAGTAAAAAAAAAAAAAAAGCAAACAAAGTATGGCAAAAACATGCAGGTTTTGATTACTTTTTGTGACTTTATGAGCCAGTGTGGTACCAAGGACAGAAGAACAACCTGAAAAACTCGTGAGTCCTAGATAGGAATAGTTCTCCTTTTATAAAAGATAAAGGTTTATCTCACAGATCTCTCATGACAATGAGTGTAATTAGAAGGGGTTATTAATTGCCTCATACTATAGCATAAACAAATGATTACAAAATTATTATCCTAACATTACTTACTCTTTTAGAAGATCTTTATTTTCATGTATTACATCTTCCAGTTTTAAGCTTAGTTTTTCATTTTCAAACTAAATTTATAAAACAAAGATATAAAAAGCATGCTTTTGCCTGGGTGAACTAATAAGTATCACTTTCAAAGGGGGGAAAACATCAGTTTCCCAAAATACATATTTATTAGACTTGGGTATTATTGCGTATATTACATCACAAACTACATGTGCATTGTAAAAGCTTGAAATGAAAGTAAGCTTGAAAGTCACAAAATTCCGGCAAGATCCCATGATTTACATACGTAACCTGTCCAGTACATGTTTTAATTTTACTAATCTTTAGTTAATACCCAAGCAAGAAGTAATCTGTAAGCAAGTAGGTCATCCTTAATAATATATGCAATATGATACTGTACAAATGGACTCCACTTCTTCTTCCTGCAAAATCATGTACAACACCTTTCCCTCAGCTCATGACAGGCATTGGGGGAGAAGAGAGGAGGGCAGGACAATGTCAGCACACATTAACAATCCTAACCCCCACCCGCAGGGCTTTGCAGAATGGTGGAGCCACAATCACATTTACAGCCTGGCCACTCACAGCAGCCACAGCAGACTAGTGGGCAGGACAATAGGGTCTGATCCCTGAACCAGCTTGAGGCTGGCTATGACAATCCCTCCATGTGCAGGCATTGCACCCATGCTGGGATGGACTGTGCCCTAATTTTTTTTTTAAGCATTTTATTCTTATCTTAAAATTATATATTTAAAAATGTTAAAAACACTCGCCTGTAACTCTTGAATAGCTTTACGTAGTGCTTCTATAATCTTTCTGTTTTCTTGCAATTTTCTTTCCTTTTCCTTTAATTCATATTCTGTAGTGACTTTCCATCTCTTGATCTTTTCAGCTTCTTTGTAAAGCCTTGAATAAAGCTCATTCATTGTCTCCATGTTCTATAAAGGCAGGTTTAATAATTTTTATATAATGTTTAATTAAAAGGTTTTTAATGAAATGCCTTTTCATTTAAATTTTGATACCCACATTAGCCATTAAATAAAAACTTTTCCTTGTGTGCACCAAGGACAGTATGAAATATACAATTTAGTAATATGACAGTGACTGAAATTTTATTTATTTAAAACATTTCTATACTGCCTTTTATGAAAACATCTTAAGTCAGTTTAGAATAAAGTCCCTTAAAAATACAACAATGATAAAAATAAGTCAAGTTACCACAAAATGAACTAAAAAGTTATGACAATTAGTTGGTATCAAGAACCAGCAAAGGCCTCTGTGAACAGGAATGTTTTAGCATGTTTAGATAACATGCTAAACAACATAGTTAGTTAAACAACATAGAGGATAAAATTTAACCCTGAGGTTCCATGGGACTGAAAAGCACTCCCCAAGCATCATTCTTTGGAAATGTACATCTAAGTAGGACCAGAACCACTGCAAAGCAGTACCACCCACTCCTAACTTGGACAGCCACTCCAGAAGGATACCACAGTCAATGGTATCAAAAACCATGGAAAGTTCAATGAGAATTAACAAGGACACATTTCCCCCGTCTCTCTCACCCAACAGAAGTCATCATACAGGATAACTAAGGCAGTTTCTGCGCCAGAACAGGACCTAAACCCCGATTGAAATGGATCTATAAAATCAGTTTCTTTCAACAGTGCCTGTATATTCCTAAATTGAGAAACTAGGTGTCAGCGTGGTGAAAGAACATAGGTGAAAAGTTGAGAACCGAAACTAATGTGATCCAAACACATTCAGATAATGTTAATAATAGATTATTTTTATTGTACACTACACAAAATGTAGTGTTATGAGTTTGAGTGTGCCAGGCTCCCCTAAAGGAAGGTGTTAGAATTTAATCAAGTCTTGGGGGGTTAAACTGAATGCCAGATTTTTAATCCCTGGACTCAGGAGATCGCCTGAGAGATGGGCCAATAAGAGAACAAAGGAAAGGTAATGGGTCATTTTAAAAGCTAAGCAGAGGGGGCTCTGTGCCAGAAAGCAAATGGGTGGGGCCCTCCCTCAACTCAAAAGGCCAGAGTTGAGAGTTGGCTATGATGTAACCTAGAGAAAATAATGTTGCAGGCTGGTAAAGGCAACAAGTTGTAGAGAGGGTCAGAACACAATGTTTGATTTCTGTTTGAATCCAAGGCTGCAGCTATGGGAGAAACAAGAGCCTCTTAGGGTGTTGATGTTGTAAACCCCTCCATCATAGGCTCAGGTATGTGTAAATAAACCATATATCCTAAAGAACCACAGTCTCTGCTGTGTCTCATTTCAAAATGGAAACTCTGACCCTGGGTGAGCACCTGGAACCCCTGGGATCTTGCACCACTCAGAGATATGGGTGGCGTGCAACAGTATATTTAACTCACCTCCATTTCTAGCTCAGGCACAGGTTTTACAGGTTCTGGAAATACAACATTTAATGTCTGATTATTTAACAATAAATATGCATAATTATAAGTTACAAACATTATAATAACAATATAACTGAATAACAGTGTTAATTCCTAAATTGCTATGTGTTAGTCTTATTAATAAGTGTATATGAATACAAACATCATAGGCTACAAATGGAATACAGAATATATTGGATTCTGACTCACCAAAAAATAATAGAAAGCAAATGAACGACATATATAACAAAGTGCAATTTTAATACAAACAACACAACTTTAAATACTGCAGAAGTTCTCAGAGATGACTCCAGCACAAACTTGGTCTAGTTCTAATGGTTACTTCACTTTTCAAGGTCTACCATTCCATCTTCTTTAATATTTATTTTTATGTTTTAATCTTACCTATGACTTCTATATGTTTTGACATACTTTTCATCCCAAAAGGCAAGTTATAATCATCTTCAGTTCCCTTGCTAAAATCCTGGGAAAATAAAACATTATAGAAATAATACCTTTTAATGGACATGCTCATCTCCAATCATAAACAGATTACTTGGAAATGCAATATGCTAAAATCAATAGGACTTACTGCCAAGTTATGAAATCAGGTTAAGCTGTCATTAAAACTAATTCTAATTTAAGGGTATTACGGTCTTAGAAAATATATTCATACTGGGCAATTTCATAACTTCACGGACTCCACTCCAAAAGGCTAAGAGTAGGTTATGTAGACGTGGGCAAAGATCAACTCAGATATTTTAATGAGGAAGTAGAACATACGGGGAACTAGGAATTATATTAATAATAATAATAATAATAATAATAATAATAATTTTATTATTTGTACCCCGCCCATCTGACTGGGTTGCCCCAGTCACTCTGGGGCAAACCATAAGTGCAAGTGGAACATATTAGGATATAGGATCATAAACACATAGACACAAATAAACACAGGAAGCCGTATTATAATAGTGTCAGATTATTTGTCCATGTAGCCCAACATTGTCTAGAATGAGTTGAGTGTCTACTTTTGATTTTCATATGAATGGCATTTTCCTTTGGTTTTGTAGTTTCAAATTTCAAAACTTTGGAATGTTGAATTTTGAGTTATCAATGTTTAAGTGTGGATAAATGGAAATACAGGTAATCTTTACTTTTTAAAACACTGGTCAGCTTTTGTAAACTTGCTGTATATATTTTAAAGTAACAGTTTTTATTTACCTGAAAACATCGTCCATCTCGTTTGCTTGTCTGTGGTTTGACTGCAGATACTTGGGTATTATTCAGTATTGGTGGTACAAACAATTTAAAAGATTTCTCCTGTTCCATTTTCTCTCTAAAAGACACAAGAATTAAACTCTCAAAATAACACTAGCAATACTAAATTCATGATAAAATGTACTCAATATGTTGCATTATTTTCAATCCCTTTCTATGTTCTGCAGAACAATATAATTTATCATGCTATTAATCCTTACAGTAGCCCTGTCAAGTAGACTAGTATTGCAATATTGAAAATGGAGAATTATTGATTTATTGGATTTCCCAAGTTAAACAGAAAATAACAGAAAAATAATTCCAACGTTGTCATTTATGCATTATTAGGCCAACACCAACCAAAATATCACAAAACATTGTATATGCTTTCAAACTCTCCTAAAGTCTTTATTCTTTGTTCCTTCTTTCCTGTAGCCCTTGGTGCAACCTGAAAGCTGCATAGTGCTTAAGAAGCCTCCTTTTAATGTTTCCTAACTCCTCCCACATTCCATCTGAAGACTGATGAGATGCAGACTCAATCACTTCCATAGCCAACTTTTTTTCTCCCACCCACTCCACTTTATTTATAATTGGTTTATTTATAAATTTTCTATACCACCATCTGAAGCATAGGAGCCAACTCCTAGGGGCCAATCCAACTTTGCCCGCCCAGCCCCCCAAATTGAGCTCCCCCCCAATTGAACAGCATTGCCATTCAAAAGGTGTGATTGCACATCATCATGTGACTGATTATGCAACGTGGGGCTTGCCTCCTCCCTCCCCAATAAAATTGGCAGCCCTGATCCAAAACTATCACAGGGTAGTTTACAATATAAAAACACAAAAATGCGTACTGTAATAACAAACAAAACCAATACAGTTTAAAATACCATAGATTGTTTAAATGTGTAAATGATTAATAGTTCTGGGGAACTCAAAAGCTTGTAATGCACACTATTTTGTGATATTTTGATTGGGCTAATCAAGGTGTTTCCCTAATACTGTATGGATTTTGGAAATTTTTTTGTAGGCCAACATAGCTATATTTACTTTTTTAAAATTATATACTTTGTGTTTGGAAAACAAGCCTTTTGTAACACTTATAAACCTTTTATTGTGACAAGTTGTATCAGTTGATAGTGTTCATCATTCTCTATTAGAATATTGTAGATCTACTGAATTCAACGTACAGCTCTGTGCAACAAACAATCCAGCACTATTACACTGTATATGAGAATTTAAAATGCATTCCTTGTGAATGATGAACAGAAATATGAAAACAGTTGGGCATAATAATATTCTGCCATAGTACCTCTATCTGAACCAAACAGTTGAAAATTAAAAAATATGACTGCTTCCAAAAAACCTATTTGTTGAGCATTCATCCTAATTTTGTGCCACCAGTTTAGAACATTGTCAAATCAAGTGTTATCCCACATTTTTCAGTACATTTTCCAATGATTTTCCTTAGCACAAAAAACAAATATTTGTGAGAAGTAGGTTTGCTGTGCAAGACTTCCCAATTAACACTAATTGTGTGATGTGAATTTGCAGGTAGGTGGTTGAATTCTACCAGAAAATAGTGAGTCTGAAACTTTTGAACTTTTATGGTGGAAGTGCTTCAAACCTCTGTGAAAGCCATCTTTTCCATCAATTTCCATTCATCTTTTCCATCAAACCTTTTGCATATAACCTCTTGGTCCCCACATAATGTTGTAGCCTAAATGGCTCTTAAAGAACTCCATACCATATTTTCAGTTTACCAGTCTCCATCACTCCCTTCTTTGGTCTCCCTAACGTTATCTAGTTTGTGAAGCAACATGTACATGGACAGTGATAAACCATGAGATACTTCTACAGCAATTATATGTGACTTGTGAATCTTGCTGATGAAATCAGACTCAATTTTAAAGTTTTATATTCCAATTACTGTTGCAAGAAATGCAAAAAAAGAAGAAAAGATTCAAATACAGTAACACAGTTGAGGGTCAAATGAAGCAGCGCTTTCCACACAAGACACTTTCTTGCATTTCCCATGAGTAAACTACAGTAGCTAATATTAGATACATTTCACAATTCTTCCTACCACCTCATTACCAACATTCACGCTTGTACACAAATAGTGCAGGCGCTCCCCCCCCTTTTTTTTTCATTTTGTAAAAACCACAGCAGCGCTGACTGCATCACGTTTTGCTGCCTGAAACTGCGAGTCAGGCGCGCAGATCTAAGAGGTGTTACCCTCTCCCTTCAGACGCACCAACTGACGCGAATGTGGGAGCTAAGACTGAGGGGGAAAGCGAGAGTGCTATAGGCTGAGAAAACGAAGTGGAAGGACAGATATATATGTATATATGTGTGTATGTACCTTCTATGTATATGTGTGTGTATATATACCTTAACGCCTCAAACGGCTGTAGGAGTACAGTACAAAGGAAAAGAAAAGGCGGGAAAAGAGCCCGGTAGCGGCCGTGTGCAAAGGCGCGAGCTGGCGGGTCGGCGGTTTACTTTAACGTGTCCTCTCCCCTCCCTCGAGGGGGCTCCATCAGGATTCCACGGCGTGAGCTGCCCCTTCAGGGGGCGCGGGGGGGGGGGGAAGGAGCGGGATAAATTTCGGCCCCTTGGGAAGGGGAACCACGTGCTTGGCCGGAACGTTGCTCCCCTGGGCTGCTGGGTTCGCGCGCCCGCCGCCCCTTTCATTTGACCACATCCAGGGCCGGGTTTAGGTTTGATGAGGCCCTAAGCTCCTGAAGGTAATGGGGCCCTTTATATGTCCAGCTGTCCTTTGTCAACAACAAATTGTCGCTGTCTTTTGCGTTGAATATATGCTATATGGTAATTTATGGACCTAATAGGTATCTAAAGCCATTTGCACATAACAGAATATGGATTTTATCAAAGCAATTGTCAAACTGAAATACAATTAAGAAGTATACTAATTGTTGTTTTGGTTTAGTCGTGTCCAACTCTTTGTTACCCCATGGACCAGACCACGCCAAGCACTCCTGTCTTCAAGTATTTTAATAGTGAAATACAATTAAGAAGTATATTAATAGTGAAATAATTATTAAGATCTAACTTAAAATGATTGGGGGCCCATTACTTACATCATAGGAGCCTACACAACACAAAGCACTGTTGCTGTATGTAGGTTGTATTTTATTTGTTTTTTATCTTATGTATTGGAAATGTACATCCAGGGGTTTTTTTCCTTTAATTTTTGGGGGGGATCCCAAGAGATTGGGGCCCTAAGCTATAGCTTGTTTAGCTTATACACTGAAGCAAATGACTGCACTATATTTTTTTCATTTAGAGCTGCTTCAATAGTCTCTCAGCGCAACCCTATACAGCTCTGCCCAGAAGTAAGTTCCTACCCTAGTGCATAGAGGACTGCAGCATTCATCACGTCTGGAGGAGTCGGCTTTCAGCTGAGCCCAGCTCAGAGAGGGACTTCTCCAAAGACCCTGTTCACACAATGAAACCAATGGCGAATTGAATGGCGAGGGGAAAGTGAGTGTCAGAACATGGGCTTGGCCGGAGGGTTGCTTGCATCCAGTGTTAGACCTACTGACATTAAGACCCGTTGAAATGAATGGGCATGACTAACAGACCCATTATTTGCACTGCATTCTCTGAGTAGGAGGACTAACACTGAATATAACCCAGAGTAGCCGTGTGTCTTGCCTTACATTGGACAGCCTTCTGTTTGAAAGGCTGTCCTCACAAAGTCAAGTTTAAAGTAAAAGAACCATAAAGGAAAACAAAGGCCTTGAAATTATCCATGAAGAGTTAAGCACCTGGACAGCAGACTGAGTTATTTTATTTGTTTGTTTATTACAATTTATATACCGCTTGATTGTAACAAGAAGAAGCAACAAACAACCTCAAAGTGGTTTCATCTGGTAACTATTACCCCTCTTATGGTGAGATGTGTTGTATTTCTATTTAAATTTAATAACTTTTTTTAATAAAATATAAATAGGCAGATGCAGATTTTAATGCACATCTGCATCACCTTTCGCACTCTTTCTTGTTACTGCACATGCAACCACCGTAGAGAGCTGCTGTCAGTCAGTTTAGGTCAGGGATGGGGAAACTGCCTTCCAAAGCTTGCTGGACTCTCAGTTCACCAGTGATCTCAGACTCTCAGCATGGCCAGTGATCAGTGGTAATGGGAGATGGAGACCCAGCAACATCTCTAGAACCACAGATTCCTCATCCCTGGCTGTTGGCAGTGCTGAACTACATGGACCAATAGCTTGACTCACAAAAAGGCAGCATCTTATGTTAATAATAACAATAATGTTTTTATTATTTAATACCCCACCCATCTGGCATGTTCCTAATATGCAAGGCTGTCACTTTAAAACACCTTTAAGATTCAGCTCACTATCTCATCCAGAATGTAGTGGACAAAAAGGTGAAAATTAATTATTTCCCTTTACTGTTCTCATTTTTTTAGTGTTCATCATAACCAACTGTAACTATTGATATGTTTACATACCATGCTAGGTGGAATGTCCACATTGTTAGAATACTGATTTGTCTGCTCTGAACTAATATGTCAATGACAAAGATACCTTATGTCAGCCTTCACTAAACTGGTGTCCTCCAAATGTTAGGAACCACAACTCTCCTCAGCCACAACCAGTGGCTAGGGCTGCTGGGGGTTTTAATCCAAAACATTTAGGGGCAGGGGAATCAAGATTTGGGAGGGTTGACATGGCAAGGAATCAACCAATTGTGACATCCAAAAACATGCACATTGCATCTTTTATTAAAACTTCTCCACATCAGCTTCTTAATGCAAGAAGGAATGTAAGAGGGCAGATTTCACAGCCTGCACAAAGGCACAAAAGATCATGATTGGACTGTTTATTCCCCCACCCCTCCCATATTTAAAACAGAGACAGAGAGCTTCTAATTTCATTGGAACACATCATTTCCCCGTTTTAAATTGGGATACCCATGAAATTCAGAAAACTAGTTTTAACGTTAAAAAAGCCAGGCAATTACTGCTCTCCTATATCACATATAATTCGATTCTAAAACTGGAGAGTAAATAGGACCACAGTCTCATATTTTAAGCAAGCCATGCTGGGCAACACAATCATCTGTGTTAAGGGCCAAACTGGATGAAGATTTGTGCATTTATGTGTTTCTTACCAGGGTTAGCAACATAGGTGTTTTATTTGCAGAAATTGGCATGGGGATTACTATTGGGCTGGATCTAGACACATCAAAAAAGCATTTCAGTTAAACGCCTTTTAAAGTTTGTATGAGAAATCGGATTGGGGGAAATGGAACTCCACACCGCCATCTGGTGTCACAGGTTTGGAATGCATAAACAACATATATAAAGTGCTTTTTATTTGCCAATGTGGCTGAGTCCTTGTTCTATTGAGCTGTAATCTGCATCAGACTTAACTTGGCTACTATTTGCAGAAAATTGAAAGAGAGGGCTTGAAGCCTCTCCTTCACGTCCAATTTGGCCTTCAGACTAAAATACTGACATTCCTAAAGCTTGCTGCATGTAGACTAACATATAGGTCCCACTTAAATGGCATCTTTGAATCTGGATGGATGACTGAGAAAATGGGATACTTGGAATAAGATCCAGGCTTAATTAGTCATTTATTTATGGCAAAGGTCTATGGCAAAGGTCATATGATAAAATTGGGTCATGGTTGTGGTCTTAATTTTCTTTTCAGTTTCATTTCTATAATTCTTGGGTATCTTTTTCTTCGTATTTTTAACAAAGCATGATACGACTTTAAAGCAAAGGACCATCATGTTGGATGACTAATGATACATACAAAAAACAACTATCTTGCTGCAGAAGACCAGATTGATAGTGCATTTATTACACTTAAATATATATCTGAAAAATATAGACCTATACAAAATATTTCATGTATTAAAATATTAACTATATATTCAGATAAGTTATTTACATTATATTTTAGGTATGAAAAATAATTTTAAAATGCAAAAATAACATAATATAAAAATGCTGAGATTTTTAAGCCATGTTTTTAAAATATTGTTCTAATATCAGGAATTTATATTTTGAAACTGATAGCTGAAATCTGTTTCAAATGTTTGCTACTACATTTGTAAATTCAGTGAACATTCCATTTCAACTTGTAGCATTAACTCACTTCTAGTATGAAATTAAGTAAATTTCTACTTACACAATAAAGGTTTAGCTACACAGTTCTTTTGATTTTAATCCATAGCAGCAAAGGCACTGTACATCAACAAATTCACAGTTTTAAAGGTTTGTTTATAAGCATTCAGAAAAAAATACTGCAACATTTAAGTTTCAAGAAGACTAAAGCAAAACTGGTTCATTATGGTTTATATTTAGCAAAAGAACTGAAGCTGTGAAGAGATGTCCACAAAAACAGATGATAATGTTGAACCATATATTGTAGCAAATTGTAAACAAAGAATTCAAACATGCATGGGGTTTCACTAATTGAACATCCATCAAACTAAATTACCATTGCTTGATCTAAAGGGGGGAAATACATAAAATAATAGCAGATATAGTGAGTTATCTTTCCAGTGCATTCTGTAACTGTTGTTACTGAAAAATTTAATCAAGGACAGACATCTGGACTTCGTACTGGTTATTCTGGCTGTTCCTCAACTAGAACTGGCAAGTAAATAAAAAGATATAACTACCAAATTATTAAAATTTTGGTCTAAACTATAATCAATTAACTATAATCAGTTTGTGGGTTACCAGCTATCCTGGGTGATTATAATTTACTACTCTTTTTCAAAATTGTGTGATATACTAATTACATAACCGATCATTTCATTTTTTTTGTTCTCTAATGGTTATTAGTTAACTTTAATGTTTAATTGCTTACAACTTTGACAAACAAGACGGTGAGTGTTGTGATGTGAATAATGTGGTTTGGAGACATGTACATGTTTACAACAGAAGCACCAGGATCCACTTCAAGTCACTGAGAAAGTTATGTGGTCATAATAGTTGCAGTATCCATCTAAGCCGTAATATATTTCTTATGGCCCATCAGAGCATACACATGTGTAGGCTTGACAGGGCAGGGATCCAGTTCCCTGCTCAACTTTCCATAGTCTCCTGTGTGCTGCCCTATATAAAGGATTTTTCTGCTGTCAACTGTTCTCCCACTCATTTAAAACCTTCCTGGGCAAAGAAAGATATACTTTCTAGAGGTGTCAAACAGCACATGTAAAGAACCTGATCCATACCATTTTAGGCTTGTCTTCCAGATACCCATGCAATTGTGGCAATAAGGTTATATAGGTTATACATGCTCTGATATCTTTTCAACTGCAACAAATGTGTGTGTGTGTTTATAACACAAATGGTATTTTCAATCCTCTCACCAATCTATCTAGGCTTTGGAGCACAGTATTATTACCGGTATTTTTAAAAAAAGAATCTATAGCCATTTAACATAAATGGGATTTTTTTTTAATACAAGCACAACAATTGGGAAAGAGCATATTTTGAGGAAAAAACAGTCCTGTGTAACAACTTAAGTAATTGGCAGATTGTTTAATGCAAGTCCCATATTTCACAAAGTACAGGTATCCGCTTAGGATCCCTTGTTCTCCAGCTTATGAGGACTTCTGAGTGGTTGTGGTTGAGGGTTCTGAGTTCAGTGAGTCGCCCTATGAGACGGGCAAAATGTTGTGGTTCTTCAGGGTGATATATCTTTGAATACTTGTACAGAATTCCTAAAAAGGGTTCCTGGAGTTTCTCCACATGTTGTTTGTTTTTTAGGAGTGGACGATCTGAAAAAAAGGAAAATTAAAATTACATGATCCTATGCATATACATATATTCTCCCAATGTGGTCATGATGCCATAAAAGTATAGAGTGTTATGTTATTTCCAATCCCCATGAGCTTGCACTTACGTAAAATATTTCTGTAAAAAATTATTTTTAGCACTAAAAATGATCAGGATCTGATAGCACAATCTTCTGTCTAGCTACTCAGAATTGTCCTTTGAAGTTTATTAGTGCTTATTTCTAGGTAATGCTGCAATCCTATACCCCTTTACCAGGGAGTAAACACCATTAATTTTAGTAGGTGGTATCCAAGTCCGTCCAGCCACCTGTGAAACAAAATTCTGCTTTCTTCTGCCCCTGCAACCCTCTATGCACCCCCAGAGGATCCTCTTAAGCAGCTCAGTGCAGATTTACTAACATGTAAGTTCAGTTGCAATCAATGGGACTTACAACCAAGATATTAAACCTTGAAAGTATAAATACTTTGATATAATTTTCTTTGACACTATTCAGTTTTAGTATTTGAACACTGTGTATAGTTGCTCTATATACCTGAAAAAAACACAGTAGTTGCAACAAGCAATGCATATTCTCTCTCTGTCACATTGAGTTCTCCCATGCTCCTGTAGAAATAAAATAGTGCAGTGATAAACTCCTCAGTGATACCTGGAAAAAAACCAGAAGATATCAGATGGTAGCTAGACAACATATAATTGACTTATTTATAAGATTAGATAGCATATATAAGATACATATAAGATTATAGGTCAAGCCACTCAGAGGAAAGGGAGTGGAGATAAAATATTAATATGCGACAAAATACCAGGGTGCAGAATTAAGTTTTATCAGGCATTTAAATATATTAGTAGAAGAAGTCACGGATGTCAGGGTGCAGAGAGATGAATCTAGAACATTCAAGAAATGCAGTCTAAAGTGACTAATCAACAAGATCGATAGTCTATTCAGCAGTCTAATCAACAAAATAGATAGTCAAAGAGGTATTCTGGCTGAAAATCAAAAGTATCTTGCTATTAAAAACTCAGTAATCCAGTAAGCAATGATTTAAAAATTTACTAAAAGTATATTTGTGGGACAGGTCAGTTACCTGTTGTAGTAGTTGATGTTGGGCTTTCTTCAGTATGAGACAGTCCTAAGTAAGTACTTTTATCTTGAGCACATATAGCATTGGCAGAAAATTTTACTTGACCTAGAGCAAGGGAAATGAAAGTCTATAAGAGCAGATTTTCCCTTTTAAAGTTACCTTATGATTATCATATTTTTAAATTTGTGTCACAATGTATCATTTGATAAAGTGAGAAGAAAGAACCATTTATCCCAAGGGAAGGTCATATTTGGGAAAGGCCTTAGGGTAAGCCATATCCCACCTCATCAAATGCATATAGTGAAGTGATCATGGCAAGCACGTATACGCATGAATTTATTAAGTTCATCTAATGCTAACATAACTTACTTTCATGGAATGATGACTGGCATTCAATCCCTTGCTCATTGTATATCTGGGCAGAACGTAAAAACATTGTTTCAATTGTGGAGCCTTTCAGCAATGCAATCTGATCATCACTGGCTAAACTTTCGAACCCTATAGAGAAATGAATAGGTAATCAAATTACATTGATTTTTGATGGTAGGTATATTTCTGAAATTTGACAGCTCTTTACTTATATAAGCTTTTTAATCTTGCAAAGAATACATTTTTTTGAGAATCAGATCTAAAGTTTGAAATTTCCAGCTACAAACACTCCCAATTATACCTTTTAATAATGATACATTGATTCAAAATGTTTCAAGTTTTAGGAAAGGTGAGGTAGGAACTTCTATTGGATCTGGCCATTTTCCCACTAAAAATCTTATGCTGCTTTTCTCTTCACTGTGGAAAAAAGTCCTTAGACTTCTAGTGTCACAGTGCTATCATACTCTTTCAGTTAAGCAGTACTGTAATCTATAAGCTTTTTAGCATTAATTCAAAGATACCTTTTAAAAAAGTAATAATAGGGGTTATAAAATGGTGCCCACTACAAAGGTAAATGTGTGCCAAGCTGTAATAAAGTTTGCTTTCTCGGTACATCACTGGGTATATCAAAACAATGTAGCTTTAAAGAGTCAGAAAAAATCCCCTAAGGCTCCAGCCACGAAGCCATTTTGGCCAGTGGAAACATTTGGAATGTTCATAAATGCCTTGGGTGCCAGTCACAAAATGGCTTCTTTGAAGGCATAGCAAAACACAAAATGGCTGCCATGTCTAAAAGAGCACAAAAAGAGACAGGACCACAAAAGGTTGCAGATATCAGCCTTGCCACATAAATGGGGAAAAGGCACTTATATCAGACATTTCTGCAGTCACAGATAAAAGCTCTTTGCAGCTCTCCTCTGTTCAGAACAGAAATAAGGGTGGGTGTTTAATGTTGATATTCAGTGAAATGTGGGCATGTCTGAAAGGGCATGTTCAATGCAAGAGAAGCTGAACCAATGTAAACAGGAGCAGAATAGGAAAAACAGTCTTGCAATCTGGATTTTGAGGGGATATATAGAGACCTTATGTGGGCACCATAGGAGGTATTGGTGGGGGCACCTGTGCCATGATATTTATTCAAAAAAATTGTATATCACTTGATTTCTGTTAATTGCATCTCCTGCACTAAGGTATATACATTTGTGGAGATATCACGACCCTTCCATTATTTCAATATTATTTCAATAACAGCAGTGGACTTTCTGAGAAGAAAAAAACTGGAATAAGCACTGGGAAAAGAAGAAGGGTTGCAAATGGATGATGATGATATGTGCTCACACACCCAGCCCAATAAAATGTGAGTGGCATGGCAGTTCCATGCTAAATGCATAGTGTAGAAGCACCCCAAGAAAATTTCCTGTGGAATGCATTACCTGGAAGTCTTTTTGTAAAATCCACTAGTACCTGGACATGAACCATAGCTGTTTCTGAAAGATGTAGGAAGTTCTCTTCAGGATTGGCAGTTTCCTGCAACTAATTAAAAACATGTATTCACAAGATAAACCAATAGAAAGTTAGGGGTTTTTTTAATTCATAAAATTTATACACTGCTTGATTGTGAAAAACTTCAACGTGCTTTACAAAAAGATCAAACAATGAAATTGGCAGTAAAAACAGTTTAAATATGTTTAAAACATTTTTTTAATGCAATAAACTAAAAACAGATTAACACACAACATACTACATATCTGGGTAGTATAAAAGGACATACAAAAATGTCCTTAAAGGTAAAGGGACCCCTGACCATTAGGTCCAGTTGTAACTGACTCTGGGGTTGCGGCGCTCATCTCGCTTTATTGGCCGAGGGAGCCGGCGTACAGCTTCCGGGTCATGTGGCCAGCATGACTAAGCCGCTTCTGGAGAACCAGAGCAGCGCACGGAAACACCATTTACCTTCCCGCCAGAGCGCCAGAGAGGTACCTATTTATCTACTTGCACTTTGACATGCTTTTGAACTGCTAGGTTGGCAGGAGCAGGGACCGAGCAACAGGAGCTCACCCCGTCGCAAGGATTCGAACCGCCAACAGGCACCAAAAAGTGTACAGTGAAGGTTCCTGCCTAATGTTAATAGGCAGGGAGTTCCAAATTGTAGCTGCTGCCACACTTAAAGATTGATTTTTTTACAAATGCAGAACAGGTATTATGTGGCACCTGTAACAGTGCTAGTTCTACAGACAGAAGCAGTCAAGTGTGCATATATGGCATAAGGTGATCTCGCAGGTTAACTGGTCCCAAGTTGTTACGGCCTTTATATATTAATAGTAACACATTGAACTTGGCCCAGTAGTGAATTGGCAACCAGTGCAGATCTTTGAGCACTGCTAGTATATGCCGACACGGCCTCACTCCTGTCAGCAATTGTGCTGCAGCCTTCTGCACTAACTGCAGCTTCTGGATCAAGTGCAAAGGAGGCCCCACATAAAGCACATTTTAGTAATCCAGTCTGGAAGTAACCAAGGCATGAACTACTGCAGCCAAGCTTTCCCAGGCCAAAATTCACATTTGCTATATTGCTGTTTATGAACACATACAAACTTCTTTGCTTCCTCCAAGGGAATTGTGCATTTTTGATGGGCAGCCAAAATATGGTCAATGAGCTGATGTTCTCCAGGAGTCAGTTCCATTCGCTCCTGCACCTTAGAAAGAAAGATGTGCATGTCTTTAAAGCAAAATACAACAGTTAAAATACAACAATTAACATTATTTTTAAAATACCCTACTTTTAAAGGTTTTGTTGTAGAGGATACATGCTTGTTGTCCACTCCCTCAACTTCCATTTTGATGCTACAAAGGAAGCTACTCTTCTTTCGGAGGCGCTTTGATTTACACTGGACTTCTGTTAGTAGACCTGTAAGAAATGTAAACCAGAGGGGTAAACAACAAGTTCCAGAAAGGCATTGATTTCAAGCATGTTCCCTTGCAAAACATTTAACAGTATATTCCTAGCCATGACTACACCAAAGTAAGTCCTACTGAATTCAGTGGAGTTTACTCTCAGGGAAGGGGTTAGGTTTATAGCCTAAAATTGGTTACTTATGAGATTATCAGCTGCAGGCAAACCACCTCAGATGATAGGAAGCTGCCTTATACCAAAACTCCAGGGTTTCAGACAAGTCTTGTTCAGTTTTACTTAGAGATGCCAGGGATTGAACCTGGGACTGCTTGCATGCAAAGCACATGCTCTACCACTGTGTTATGGCCCTTTGGTGAACAGCAGCTCCACTTTCTAAGAACACATAACTTGCCAAGTTTTTAATTAATTGATTAATTTTTAATATTTTCACACACATTGATTTTTAAGTCATTGTTCAGTAATATGCAGCCCGATTCAGTAATATGCAGAACCATCTTGATGGGTGGGGTGGAGCCTCTATGCGAGCTTCAGAGCAAGTGGGTCACTATTGCTTACCCTGAGGGGTAAGGCTGCAGAGAGGTTGGTGAAGTGCAAACACACCAGTGGGAGCACTGGATTGGTTCCAATGGTGCATTTGCTCCATGCCCACTGCCTCATCCCTCTTTCTCTCCTGGTAAGCTCATATAGCACCCCCAACAACCCACTTCTGCCTGATCCTATACGGAACCCCACTTCTGATGACAGCCCTAGTCTTCTTAATCTAATCAGTGCTAGAATAATAGGTCTGGCAGCCACCATTTTTAATTTTCAATAAAGCCCTCTGTGTAGCATGGCTATGTGAATAAATAGAAGCTGCCTGCTGCTGTCTCATATCAAACAGAATGCTGCCACCAAGTAAGTCTTCTAGAGTTCACCCATATAGGAGGGAGGCTATCAGAGGTAGAGAACACTTTGTGAAGGTCCCACTGTAACCAGCCCTGTGCATACACCCAGACCTGGTTAGCTTCAGCAGAGTTGTTAAATACCTTTATACCATGAGATCAAATTTAGAAACATGTTTCTAAGTACAGATACCTAGCAGAGGTGGAAGTAAATACCAGATGTACTCTAAAGACTAGGAAACTATTCTCTTAGTGAACTCCCCCCACCCCACATGCACACATACTACTTTGGGAGGAATACCATTAGTTGCCTTTAAACATGGCAGGAAAGCAAAATTCCTTAACTCAGCAGCATGTCAGAATTTTTTGTTGTAATTTGGGCACTCACATTCAGCCAGCATTCCCACAGCTTTACATTTCTTTAGGCGACACTCCTGACACTTCCTCCTCATATACATATCCATTTCACAGTGGCCACCATTCTTGCATCTGTAGATGGCATTTTTGGTGATGCTACGTCGAAAAAATCCTAGCATACACATTTGGAACAATGAGCATAAAAATGAGAAATGATACAGCTGATAAGACAGCCTGTTACCCTCGCATGCAGTAGAGGATGCTGTCCTGTCACCATTGTTGAAGTAAGATTTAACTGCCAGTTAAATGGACTACTCTCATCATCCCTGGCCATTGGCCATGCTGGCTGAGGCTGATGGGAGTTGGAGTCCATTAGCATCTAGATTCTACCAAAACATCCTCCTTCTTAGCCCTTCATTTGTAAGCCAGAGCCTGGGACTTTTCTGTCCAGGTTATCCCCATGGAAACCCATGCTGCTTGTCCTTAGGAACATAGACAGCTTCCTTATACTGAGTCAGATCAGTAGTCCCTCTGATCCAGTGCTGGGTGGCAGCTATTCTCTAGTATTTCATACAGGATAGAGTTGCCATATTGACACCAGCTTTTGGAGCTGTTTCCACTGATTTTTCCATCACATTGTCATACATCCAGGTTTTCCCTGACATTTTGCCGATTCGGCAACATTCCCCCCTGACACCATTTTTACACCCCATAACCAGGACATATCAGAAATTTTCCTGATGTATGGCAAGCCTAATACAGGACATTCCTAGGCTGACTTCAAGATGCTGGAGATTGAACTTGGCACCTTCTGCATGCAAAGCAGATGCTCTGCTACTGAGCTACTGCTCGTATCAAAGCTGGGTGTCTATCTTACTACCAGAAATGTAGTCCAACGACATATGGAAGGCCATAGGTTCTCTATCTCTGCCTTATGCACTAGACCTTTCTCCCCAACTTTAACTTTGCACTAGACTTTTCTCCCCAATTTTAACCAGCGGACATTCTCTGATTCACAACATTATTTCCCCATTACCTTTGCAGCCTTCACAGGTGAGTGCGTTGTAATGATATCCTGAAGCCTTGTCCCCACAAACCACACAGAGCTCTTCCTGTCCCTTTATTCGCAAGGCAGAGTGACTAAGCCTGGGTCTTTTGTGTCCAAGATATCCTCCCCCATCATTCTGGGCACCCATGCAGGTGGGCTTACTGAGTTCACAATTGCTGATGATGTATTGCCCATCACTGTATTGAGAATCCAAGTTGTATGTGCTGTACTGTGTTTGGGGAGATGGAGTCTGTAATGCTGCAGGAAACTGAATGGTTGAATACTGACAATAAGGAGCAGCTTGGAAGTCAAGATCTTGCAGTGGATAACTGATGTGTTCTGGGAAGGCATCTAGATTATTTTGAAAAATCACATAGAAAACAGTGGATTAGTTTAGGATTTTACATCTCTAAATTATAGAATATAGTATAACAGAATTGTTTGTAGAAGGGCACCCTGTGTATACAGTTCTGCTGACAATATTACCCTTGATTGGAGGGTTTGCTGTTAATTTTAAAAAATGTCAATAATAATAATAATAATATAATAATAATAATAATACTTTAATTATTTATACCCTGCCCATCTGACTGGGTTTCTGGGTGGCTCCCAACAGAACGCTAAAAACAAAATAAAACTTCAAATATTAAAAACTTCCCTAAACAGGGCTGCCTTCAGATGTATTCTAAAGGTCAGATAGTTGTTTATTTCCTTGACAACTGATGGGATGTCAAGGTGGGCGCCACTACAGAGAAGGCCCTCTGCCTGGTTCCCTGTAACCTCATTGCTCTCAGTGAGGGATCAACCAGAAGGCCCTCAGCGCTGGACCTCAGTGAATTTTATAGTCCAATCATAAAAACACTTACTCAGAAACAACTCTCTAAATTCCATGGGAGTACATTTGCTTCCAGACTATGTTTTTTGAGCATTCATCCTGATTTGTTTGCGAGCAGGTTTCATGACATTGCACCAAGGAGTTATTATTCCACACTTTCCAGTACATTTTACTATCACTTTCCTTACTGCAAAAGTTTTTTTCCTTTGAAGCACATTTGTTGCCCAAGAGTGCTAAATCTAATTCTGCAATCTGAATTAGCCAGTTTGTGATTAAATCCCACTACAAAATAGCAGCAATCTGAAAGCAGCCTCCTATCTGGTGAGTACGTTTAGCACTGCAGCCATTGAATCTGATAGACTTCTAAATAAACATACATAAGATTGAGCTGTAGGTTTTCAAAAGAAACTTTAAAATAATTTCTGCAAAGTGCTGTGGCATTTTGAGACACAACATCAGAGACTAGACTGGTTATGAAACAACATTCTGAAAGGAAGAAAGCTAAAGGGGTGAAGAGACATGCATAAGAAATATGCATCATGTATTTTATATATATAGTATTGCATATAGAAATAGAACCTTTATATACAGCATATATATATAGGTTCTATTTCTATATGCAATTTATCAGGTGCAGATATATATCTTACTTTATTAAATATATAATATAAAGGCCACAACTGGTCTTAAATTGTTTGAATATATCTTCTGAGAATGAAATTAACTGCTTAAGTGAACTTCATTGCATCCACACTGGAGTAGGTTTTTGGATCTTGTACTGTATATCTTTATGTAACCTGAGGGAATTATTTGATGTCTCAATGCAGAAATGGCACACTGGATGGCTTTGAATGTCCTTCATGTATCAAACATATATTTAACAACTGTAGAAATTCGGTTCATACACAGAGAGACATGTGGATAATTGCCTTTTGCTTAACTCACCATAATACTGGATCGGATCACTAAGGCAGTACCCATCAGGTATGGTCACAAAGGTATTTGCCATAGTCTGCTCTAGCTCCCACTGCTTCATTCAGTTTGGAATGTTACCTGCTTTCAAAAAGCTTCTAGTTACTTTAAATTGAAGAGTCAATATGTTGTCAAAGGATAAGATTATTTCCTGAAACAATTTATTGGAGGAAAAGGAGAAATAGTTAGAAAAACTCTACAGAGTGCAATAGAATTAGAAATATTATGTTGTGCTAGTACAAATACAAAGTTACTAAGGATCTGATTCTGTTGAATCTACTGTTCCATTAATCTTACTTGCTTTAAAGGGAATCCACATTTCTATTAATACTTACCCTCAAATATTCTCAGTTCTCACTCCAGCTATTAGCCTGGATCCTGACGGCCTCAGAATGTCATTATTTCTCAGTAGGAATGCAGTTGCTGGGAAATTACTTTTCTACATTTATTATTTCCTTTGCAATCAATGAAGATCTACAAGGCCTGTATTTTTAGTGTCAGGTAAGTAAGGTGGCCATGTGTCCTACCTAAAAGAGGACAGCACCCTATATGAAGTGCAGCCTAAGGACATCTCTGTGTTTGACGATACCTTCTATTCAGTTTCATAAGGTGGGAGAGCATCTTGCCCAACAACTTAGTTAACTGATCTTAGTTAACCTTTGGATCACCTGGGCACAACCTTCTCCATTACTGTGATATACATTTTAAAAATAAATTATAGTAATCTTGTCTAAATTTGCATCTATGTTTATAAATGGCACATGCACATTTTATGCAAATCTATTCCCTTTTTTGACATCTTCCTAGTATAGGATTATTTAATTTCCATGCAAGGTTTATGATCAGTATTTGTTTATATTGCTTTAAAGATCAGGTAGAAAGCTTGTTCTACAATGTTACTTCTCTCTCCTAATTGTTCCTTGGCTGATTATACCTCAACCATTTTGTTTCTGTCTGCCATTACTGAGAACACTGTGAGTGCAATAGTTTAAGCTCTCTCTGGCCTGACTGAGGGTGGACCATGTGGGTGGAGCCATTGATAAGGTTCTGCAAATCTCACTGAAAAGTCTCACAAGAACCTGAAATTTCAGATCTCATGAGATTTGTGCAAAAACATCCACACCTGGGGCTTTTAGCACTGCTGTTCAGATCTACTGCATTAGGAGAGAGGGGGACAGGTAAAATGAAGAAAAGTAATGAGATAATTGCAAAAAATATATATACCGTATTTTTTGCTCTATAAGACTCACTTTCTCCCTCCTAAAAAGTAAGGGGAAATGTGTGTGCGTCTTATGGAGTGTATGCAGGCTGCGCAGCTATCCCAGAAGCCAGAACAGCAAGAGGGATCGCTGCTTTCGCTGCACAGTGATCCCTCTTGTTGTTCTGGCTTCTGAGATTCAGAATATTTTTTTTCTTGTTTTCCTCCTCCAAAAACTAGGTGCGTCTTATGGTCTGGTGCATCTTATAGAGCGAAAAATACGGTAACAACAATATTGTGTAGAAGCCCCTTTAAAAACTAAATAACTATGCAGAAAGATCTGTCTAAAATTATTCCTAGCCTAATGAATCTAGTGGCTTCCACTAGTAAATTGAAAAAGGCTCATCCCTTCAAAGCCCAAGGAGCATCAAGATTTGCATCCTTTCATAGGTACCCTGAGAACATGCCAGTTACTGCAAGCCCAGAAAGAAGTAGTAAAAATGGCTAATTTATATGCAGTACATGTAAAAAACTAAGAGAAGACAGATAAAGAAATCAGTTGTCTAGAATGGGAATGAGCAATGGAAGATCATCCTCCCTGCCAGCACTTCCCTTGGCTCCAACAGTGATCTATATAAAAAAAATAACATGCTACTTCTCAACAATCTCTACCAGAGACCTCTCCTTCTGAGCTGGGTGACTTGTCAGAGAGTTCAAATAGCACATGATGCAAAATAGTGTCTATATCCTGAAAAGATCACAAGTAAAAGTTTGGAGTTTTAGGTATATATTATTAGATTAGTTATTAAAGATAAAAAATAAACATTAAACTTAAGCAAAACAAAATTAGTATCTGAGATGAGATCTTCCCATTTGCTAAGGAGGCAGAATGAAAGATTTCTGTGGATTAATGTGCTTGTTAAAGAACTGAACTGGATAACTTCTGTACATATTTAATACATTTTTGGAAATGGGTTAAATGCCATTTTCATACATTTACAGGGAAGAAAGTTATGCCTTACAGTGATTTGTACAATGCGTGCCTGAAGCAAAATCACAAAGCATATTTCTGGGGAGAAGCACTTTCCAAAGCAAAAAGCCAATGAAAACAGTTTAATAAAACTCCAAGGAAACAGATAAGAACACAGGGCCATCTAGACTAGAGAGCTAGTGCTGATAATATACTTTTGTTTTTCCTCAGTGAGAGGCTGATCCTACTGATGTGAAATCATGTGGGAAATGTTTTTTTGCAAAAAAAAACAAAACAAAAAAACCCTGTGAACAGGAGACTATGTTTCCAATCCTTTTTGATAGTATTTATAAGGATTTTGAATTCCAGTGTGGGGAGTCACTTGGATTCTTCATAAGTATTCTTCATTGAATAAAAAACATTAGGTCACAATTGGCCCTTTCTAGACCATCTATTCACCATCTATTTTCTCTGTTTATTGCTCTTCTGGCAGTGAAGCCTCTGACACTGATTGACTGAGTTGATGTTTAGGCTCAGAATGTTCTTTTGCTCTGGACACTAAAGAGTTTGCAGTTAAGATCCTGTGAGGGAAGCCAATGTTGTCAGTTTGGAACTACTAAACCTTACAAAAAAGTACAGTAGGCTGAAGAGTTGGGAGAGGTCTGGTGTGTGTGGAAGCTGAGAGATAGCTTAGAGACAGAAGGCTCAGAAGCATGGAGGCTAAAGGGAAGGCAGTTCAGAATGGACTTAGAAAGGAACCTGAAGGTAGCTTTCAAAGGGTTATTAAAGAAAAATAGCAGAGGGGTTGGAACTGAGGAAAAGGGCCCAAAAATGGAAGCAGGAAGAACTACCATCGATAGAAGAGTGGAGAATGAAATTAACGGACTACGCAGAATTAGACAAATTAACAGGAAAAGTCTGAAACCGATGAGATCACAAGTTTACTGAGGACTGGAGTAAATTTGTAGATTATATGAAAAGCATATGTGATGAACAAATAACGTTTGTGGGTTTACAGGAAGTTTTGTGAAGAAATAAATATTAGAAACATTGTAAAAAAGGGAACAGGAGGGAGTAGGTTTATTTAATACAAAAGGCAATGTTAAATTTAGAAATGCGGAAAAAAGATTAGAAAATGGAAGATTCGCGGATGAACTGAAGGAGGTCAAAATTATGTATTTGTGATAATACTGAAAATGTATGTTTAAATTTTGTATTGGAAATCAATAAAAAATAATTTAATGGAAATGAGGAAAAGGGAGAAGTGACAGAGAAACTTGGCAGTGCTAAAATAAGCTACAAAAGGAAAGGAGGAAAACAGGCAGCTTCCTTCCTTCCTTCCTTCCTTCCTTCCTTCCTTCCTTCCTTCCTCTCTTCTCTCTCTTCTCTCTCTCTCCTCTCTCTCTCCCTCCCTCCCAAAGGCCACTTCCCCTCTTGGCCAGCCCTCCAGGGGCTGCATGCAGTGAGTATGCCCCCCACCACTCAGGCACACAGCCCCTCCTCCACAGCCGATTCATGCAGATAAACTGAGGAGTGGCGTTATTGCCCGTTCTCCACTTGATCTGTCTAATGACCAGGAATATGCTTCCCCATGAGGGCATCGGGCTTTGCTCTGCCCAGCACTGTATCTCCTTTCCTTTTTATTTTATTTTTATGTTTTGCCAGTGCTAATTAATGGGGTCTTAGTGGGGAAGGAAAAATATTTTGGGGGATAGATCAGGCACCTGAACTGGAGTTTAGCCATCTCTGGGTTAGATCCTGATGAATGTATTCTGCCATTTATGCCCCTGCCTAAGTAGGTTTGGTACATGAAAGCTTATACCAGCCATTACGGTGCTACAAAATTATGTTGCTATTGTGTTCTGGCAATTCTAAGGATGTAGCAAAAGGCAGAAGCAAAAAGAAAATTGGGGGAGGTGGTTGAATTTCTCTGATCAGCCAATACTTTGTCTCCAGACCTCTTGTTTTAATGTAGTTTGTACAGCAAGGATTGCTGGAAGGGCAGAAAAAATGTCTCATGGCCTGTTCAATTTTATTTACAGATTTCTAAAAAGACATTTTTCTGACATGTTCCTCAGACATCCCAGCCCCTTCCACCATAGAGCAGGAAAAGGTGAAACTGTATAGTATGACAAGAATGCTGCCACTTGCTATCTCTGTTTGTAAATGTTTGTTCAAAATAGAAGTGCCTTGATGAATCATGCAACCGTTATCAATGGGATCAGTTGAGCATGTACAAAGTCTACATGTTTTAATCAGCAAATACGCACTTTAAATGGAGCATTGTGTGATTTAAATTACATCATAGTTTTGAATATTGCTTTGAGGGAAATGTTGCTCTTCCTTTAACCAATTCCTGAACAAAATAAAAGAGATAGCAAGGAACTAATTCAGTCACAAAAACAAATCCTTCCTCATTCTCCTGCCTAGGATTCCACTGCTGCCTTTGCTGCACACAAACCACAGTGTGTATTCTTCATAACAGGCATGTACTGAATCATGCTGTGTGATTATATATTATGATACACATATTATATTGAATGCTAAATAGCACTATATTTTTGTATGATTAAATGTAACACAAAAATCATTGGTAATTAAAAAAATGCAATAGTATTTTCTGAACTCGGAAATAAAGTGAGCATTGAACACTTTTACAGGTGTAAACTTCTACTGAAAAATTTCCACTTTAGCCTGTGTCTAAAAAAAAAAAAAGGTCTAATTGTAGGAAGGGAGCCAGCTGAGGCAGCTGGAGGTGTGAAGGAGAGAAAATGGAAAGAGCAAAAATGGAATTGGTTGATGGGCAGTGCATTAGAGAAAGAAATAGAGTGAGGTGAGTCTCTGCCCTCACGTACTTTTGGCTTGGACCCTGCTCACTACTGGATGCAGCCCCTGGAAATTCCCTTCTATGAAATTCAGCCTTTGGGCTAAAATAGGTTTCCCACCTTTGATTTCGATTGAAAATGTGAGTAAATGGGCTAAACCTGTGTCTAGACTGGCACAGTTAGTTTGTTCTGCATTAGCTAAGTGCCACTTGACAACCCATGCATTTTGTGTCATGGATTAGTTGCATGTTTAATGTGTGCAAATGTACAATGGATATAATTCTTTGTATTTTCCCATTTTCATGTAACATTGCATATATTGCCAAAATGACATTGTCCATTCACAAGAGGGAAGTCTAATCAGATTTGGTACAAGAGTACAAAAGAAAATTAGGGCCCCTTTACCCCCTGTCATAGAACTCCAAAAACAGCCCAGTAAGGACTGGGTATGCTCAACTGCCATGGAATGCTGATTGATTTTTCTGTTTCTGAAACTATTATTCTGGACCCAGGCCAGTAGAACATATATCTGAGTAAATGTAAGTAGGATTTGGTCTGTCACAGTGCAAATTACTACTACTACTACTACTACTACTACAGGAATGTGTAAGGAACTTTACAGAGTGCAACAGGACATATCCCTGACCTATCCCTGATTCCAGGGAAATAACAAAGGAACAAATTCACAGCCATAGTGCAAAAAAAAAAGGTAAAATAAAATCCTATACAAGTGTTAATACTAATATGTGTTCAAAGGTAAAATCTAACCATATGGCCACAAAATCTCAGTGGAATCCCTTTGGAGAAAATACCAAACAAAGACACTGCTCAGCTGCTAGCGTATTATTAATGGCAAAAAATATGCAGTGCTTGCTCTATTACAGCATATAGAGCATAGGTCTTGCAGGATACCCTCCAGGGAGTACTTCAGAATGTTTGAACCGACAGTATATTAACATCTATCGTAAATATTTTGACAGTTATGTCAAAAGGGAAATTTCTTCACCAGGGAGAATTTTAGGAATTCAAGCTGAAAGTCTTCTCACATTTCTGAAGTGCACTCATATCCTGGGAAAGAATATGAGGTTGCAGGGCAATCAGATTTAGGCAGTAGATTTTAACCTTGATTTGGATCCTGTCCTAACCTTTTCTTCTGCTCCACATACTGAAACTCTAAATCATGGGTGGGCCAATATTAACTAACTAATGCATGCTTTTGCGTGCATTATCTTTTGTTACCTTTTGCTGCTATCAGAAGAGAGATCAAGCTATAATTCAAATACTTAATCGTACAGAGAAATCTTTCATACTTTCAAAAGCCTGGAAACCATAAATCGAAGTGTGCCTGTAGTTTAATAAGCTTCCAGCTAAGGTTGGTTCTTTCTTAACAGAAAATACCACAACAGAAATATCAAGTGGAACGATTAAGGGTTTTTGTTTTGTTTTGTTTTCACTGCAAACAAGACTCAATTTATGCAAGTAAATACCACAGGAAACTGAAAAAATCCTGTGCATTGATCATCATGTGTGGCAATCACATACACATTTTTTGTGTACAGTGGTGGGAAACAATGCCAATTGTGGCCTACTAGTGTGTATACAGAGCCATCAAAATACATTTGTGTGTTATCATCACACAACATATGGATAATACTGTACTATTTTGCCATGTTTGAAATGATCCTCATTGGGCCTTACTTCCAAGTTAAATGTGCCTGTGATCAGAGATCCAACTCTTAACAAATCTTTATATTATTGGCATCTACAACCACAATGCGTTCTGAGATGCATTCACAGTAACAGAAGGATTTTGTAAAACCTTGTCCAGTTACCTTTTCAATTCAGGGTAACAACAACTCCCTCATTCCAACAGCACAAGGATTTCTACTTGTACAAAGGAACTTCTTTCTTTGTGGGCCCCTTAAATGTGTCCTGGGGGTTCACCAGCTTTCCAGAGTAGACTTGAGGGAGGTGCAAGGAAAGGAGAGGGTGGCGGAATTTTTAGTTGCACAAGCATAAATCCTTGTGCTGATGGAATGAGAGAGCTGAATATCTCCCAGTGTCTCCACTAGTTCTATCCTGAATACATTGATACACTCATTTTATATGATCTAATTGTACTTTCAGGTTGCCGTTCTTTTTTACTTGTGACAATAATGCTAACTGAGCATGCCTGGCACCCACAATCCACGTGGCAACTATACATACATCTCTGTTGACTACTTCTAGCCAATGGACTATTAGGTTCATGATGGGTGCAATATATACTTTTTAAAATGTTAGTTTTCCTTAAAATGCGCTAGTTTTCCTTCCAGTGTATTTAATAAAAAGGAAATTATTATGGTGTGGTAACTCACTTCTTCAGAAAGTAGTGCATGGCAGGTTTTTGCATAGCAAATGAACCTAGGGGGCAACTTTTCAAATTGCCGCTGTAAATTTAGTGATCAGCAGCAATTAGCAGGTAATAACATTTCCCTGCTGACAGGATGATCTTTGGGGGAATTCTTAGCATACATAATAATTTAGTCCCTGACTATACTCTTTATTAAAGACCAAGCTACTTCCAGTTGGGGCTAGACTGTATGCCTGGCCAAACATTTTTTTTTCCAGAATGTTAATTTCATTTCGTTAAAACCCAATAAGCACCTGTCCATTTTAGATAACAAATTTAGCTACCAAATATCTCATTCTTAAAATACTAATACTAAAACTTCATAATTTCAAAATTCATCACACATTAGCTAAGTTGCAAAATCCAATTCTCATGTAAAATGAAAATTTTATTGAACTATTAAAATGATTCAAATGCACTGTGCAGGTAATATCCTCTGGTAGGTATAAATCTAGTATGTGCCAACAACCTGTGCATGCTAAAGCAAAATAGGCTCTGCTCTCCTTACAGACAGTTAAACGTCCTGCTTGTAGACTAATATATACAGTAAATGACACAGCACTTTAGACCAAGAAAATAAAGCATTATGATGGTGGGAGGGGGAAAGAACATATCGAAAATAAAGCATTAGAAAGTAAAATTAACTGTTCAGGTGCATATTTCATTATAATTAGCACTGCATTTAGAAAATCAAACGCCAAACTTGACATAATCATCACATCTCCCAAGTATAGTTGTATGTCAAGACCAGACAATCCTAAGGCATTTACGAAAAACATTAAAATACTTACAGTGCCTAGTTCCGAGGAGCTGTTTTCTTATAGTTCCCCTTTGGGGTGCATCTGGAGCACAGAGAGCCTTTTCTGTATTTATCAGTTTCTTTACATTCACATTGGCTCCAAACACTTTGCAGAGCAGCGCTTCACTCTATCTGAGAGACACAAACTTCCCACACAGCCGTTCTGAGGGTCAAAGCAAGGGCAGCAGCAAGACCACATAAATCAAATAATAACTGAATAATCAGGGACAGAGGCCATTGGGACCCACACGTCACATTTTCCCAGCAACCTCTCTACCCAGTTCTCTAGCAAACTTTTTTTGTTGTCCCGGTTAGAGTCTGGCATTTCCTCATTTTGATTGCTTCACATTTGACAATCTTCACAGTGCAAGGACCACTTAATTGAAAGAAAAACAGCAGTCATTTTATAATGTGAAACATGGTGAAGTGGTTAGTGTATTGAACTCTTGACCAGGGAGGTGGACTTCTTGAGCACATAGTAACTAGCTGAAACCAGATAGCTAAACACTATCGCTTGGCTCCTCAGTGATTTAGATCAGGCTTCCTCAACCTCGGCCCTCCAGATGTTTTGAGACTACAATTCCCAGCATCCCTGACCACTGGTCCTGCTAGCTAGGGATCATGGGAGTTGTAGGCCAAAAACATCTGGAGGGCCAAGGTTGAGGAAGCCTGATTTAGATGCTGCTGTTGCCATAGTACCAACCAAGGTGTCCAATGCAATGTTGAGCCCAGTGTTGTGGAATCATTTCCAATTGATAGGGCCTGAGGCAGTGGAATCGATACTTGAAGTGATACCCCCAACCACCTGCTCATTAGATTCTTGTCCATCCTGGCTTATTAAAGGTAGCCGGAGTGGGGTGATTGAATGGGTAACAGGTGTGGTAAACACATCCTTGTGTGATGGAATGGTGCTTGCAGGCCTCAAAAAGCCAACCTTAGACCCACAGAGTGTAACAACTATAATCCGATTGCCAGCACCCAGAGATCTGATACATTTCAGTTCAGGTTCTTAAGTGAAACCAGAGAAGAAGCTGGTGCTCAAAGCTCATTGATAAAGGTAATCCCCCTACCTCCCAAACTTCATTGTGTTTACCTGTACTCCGTGTTCCTGCAATTGTTCATTACTGCGCTTGTATAAGCAAATATTTAACTATGGAGATTTGCATTCATAGATAAATTTAGTAAGAAAAAGAATCAAATATATATCGTTCAGTTCAATGAGTTATGGGAAGGTGACATTCAGGTCTACAAGTGTAACAGGCAGGTGGATACCTAGCTAGGGGTGAACATTACTTTGGTGATCGTAGAAAAAAAGTTTGGGAAAATTCAATAATTATATTTATTATATAATACAGGCAAAGACAAAGATCACTGGGCAAGGTCCTACATTCTGAACAGAGAAGAATTCTCATTTCTCCCCTTCTTGTGCCCCCTAATCTGTTCCAGAGGGGGCCCCAATCTTCCAGAGCAGATGTTGGCAAAACACAAGAGGCTGTAGAAGGGAGGGGATGAAATGTAAGTCCCTTTTGCACAACTAGAAATCCAATTGTATGTCATCCATTAGTCATATCCTTGAGAACTACTTGAAACCTCCTAATTCTAAAAAAAAGTAAACAAACTTTTTTTCATTAATTCACAATCTGATTTGATTATTCTACTTATCTCTTCAGAGGGACTCTCTCACCACATGACTTCAGACTGTTGTTGTTGACATCTGTCTGTCCTGGGAGACAATGGAGGAGTATGACTTTGGAGTAATGCCAAACCATTGGAGAGTTACAGCACCTGCTGTATCAGAGACTGATAGGGAAAAGAAATGCCATGGTGCATTCTGCAGCTGGGCTTCAGACAATGCAACATTTAAAGGTGCCCATTTTGGGAGGTAACTAACCATTCAACAGTGACTGACTACGATGTAGCCAATGTAGCTGCTACATGATCACTTCTTTTCCAGTCTTTACTTGGTTAACCAGTTGTGTCCTTTCCTGGAGAAGTCAGAACTATCCTCAGTTAACCATGTCTTAGCCACTTCTAGTTTGGATTATTTTAATGCAGTCTCCATAGGTCCACTTTTGAAGACATATGATAAACTTCAACCAGTTCATCATACTGCCATCAGACTTTGCCTAGGATTGGCAGGATCACCCATATTAGGCCAATTTTGTGTCAACTTCAATGGCTTGCGGTCTGTTTCCAGACTCAATTCAAGTGCTAGCTCTGGCCTTTGAAACCCTAATGAACACCACTTGCTGTTTGAATCTGCATGCAGCATTGTATTCTAGAATTAACTGAGACTTGTTCTACGTAGTCCATACGTAATGATAAAATTTATATACAAGATTTGTTGCTAAATTTGTTCTTCAGGTTAAGTGTGAATGATTCTGGATTGAGAAAAACAATGTTTTTGTTCCTCAAAGGTTAGTGTATGAACTGACAGGAAAACAGGAGGGGGGGGAGGATCCCATAGAGGGGTGTAGCCATGACTGGGACACACTGGGGATGCGGAAGGAGAGGTTGGTGTAGGAAGTACTCACAGGGTGGGGGCCAGTGCACAGGAACCAGAGCAGCAGGACCCATTACCAGAGCCAGAGGGGCCTCTGTTTCCATGAACACAGCGGACTCTGAGGCATAGGAAGCAGGGGGTGGCGGCTCTAGGTGGCTTAGTCAGACAAGTGGGGGCTTACTAGCTCTGGGAAGAGGTGTGTGATTCCTAAGCTGGAGTAGGTTTATAACAGGTGAGGGTTACATGCCTCATCAAGTCTAGATGATGCAATCAGTTAAAAGGGAAGCAGAGCTGACATGCTGTGTCTGTTCAGCTTCCCATAAATGGGAACATGCAGCTTGCATGTTCCAAGGAGCTCTTTGGGACTGTTTGTGTGGGACTGGACTGTGTGTTAGCATCCATCATGGGATTGTGCACTCCAGCAGGACTTGCCACCAGGTACTCCATGGTTCAGGACACTCGGTTTCTATAGACCAGGTTTCCTCAACCTTGGCCCTCCAGATGTTTTTGGCCTACAACTCCCATGATCCCTAGCTAGCAGGACCAGTGGTTAGGAATGCTGGGAATTGTAGTCTCAAAAAACATCTGGAGGGCCGAGGTTAAGGAAGCCTGCTATAGACCCTCCTTGTCCCTTCACCAATATGACAGCATGTGAGTTGTGCCTAATGTTTAGACCCTAAACTACGAAATAACCTCCCAAGAAAGTTTCCTTAGCTGGCTTTGCCTACTTTTAAACAAGCTCTTAATACAATTTTATTCCAGCATGCATTTTAGTTAAATATCTGATATATTTTTGTGGTTTTTATAGAGAAGGCTTATGGTGCTGTTCTAGTGCTTTTTCAAATTTTATTTTTAGAGTGGTTTTTAATTTTTGTGATTTGTATTTTTACTTTGTAAATTGCTTTTAGTTTGGTTGTATCTTAGAAAAGCAGGATACAAATGGCCAGGTAAACTAACTATGCTCTTAGTGGTACATGAACATGGAGGGAGAACATGGCAAAGTCAACTTCACTGGATCACCAGTCAGCTCCCCATGTTGATACAGATGCTGTACAATATTATAAGCTACAACATATGGCATGTTGGCTCAAAGCACTTTTGCTAACCCCATTTTAGGCATCAATACTATTTTAAAACTTTTACCACTTGTCAGGGGTGTTGAGAAGAATATACTGGCCAAGCCATCTGTTGGAGGCTAGGACAAGAATGGGAAACTGGCAGGCGGTGATCTGCCTTTCAACTCAAAATCATGTTTTAGCAATCACAGACCTGGCTCAAAAGTAAATGGAACAACTGCTGCCTTACACAGGGGCATCCAGATCCCAGACCATTTCTGCTCAACATTTTTTATCAACAAATTTTATTTCCTTGCCACTGCCATCATATATGATGCGCAGAGGATGACTGTTTCTCAATTGCTCATATATACATATTATGTATCACATACAGCAGGCCATATTCCTTAAACCCAGTAAATGCACTGGGCTTTTAACAATATGAGAATTGTCTGTTCAATTTGGTATTCAAATAGTTAAATAAAAAGCTTCATCCAGTCAGTCCAGCTGGATCATCTCCGCATAACTGACCCTGTCTGCCTGATCTGGTAGTGGATTGTTTACACCACTTTGGTAATTAACCACTATCGGCCTCATTAATGAAACATAAACCACCTCTCCAATTCATTTATAAAGCTCTTGTCAAACATTTAAAACCAAGGGCAAAATCTGAGCAAAGCAGCAGCTCTTTCATAGCTACTGGGACTCTGATTACTGGTGGTCGCTTTGTTGTTGTTTTTCATTTTTTAAAAAATTAAATTATGGAGTAATCTATTGGTCTTGGCTAGCCCCCCAAAAATCCATCTGTGATCTGACATTTAGAAGAGTAACGCTTGGGCAATTATGCTGCGCCCTTCCCTCCCACTACCCCCCCCCCCCCGTGTAGAAGACTGATGTTTTAACTCCTTAACTATAAATCATTTAACTATAAAAGCAAGAATGTAGCCCAAAGCAGGCACCGTTCCTTAGAAGATCCCCTTCCTCGTCCTCCTATAATAGAAGTGGGAACAAAGTTCATGTTGAGGTGCTATATTAGGAGTAACCAACATGGTGCCCTCCCATTGTTGGACTACAATTCCCATCATCCCTTATCATTGACCATGTTGGCTGGGATGATGAGAGCTGGAGTCTAACAGCCATCACGAGGTAACCACATTGTCTACTCCTGTGCTGTACAGGTAACTCACAATTTATGTGCATTTAACTTTGTGTGCATTCAGTTTTATGCGCTTGGCAAAAAAATTAATAGAAGGGGGGGCAGGGTTCTGGGGAAAATGACTTTGGCAATCCTACCCACCATTGAACCCAATATGTTTTGACTATATGTGATTTTGGCTTTATGCTCAGAACAGCATACGTATATTTTCCCCATTGTATAACTAGGTTTATAAGTTGCATCTGAGGAGGAATGGTTGCTTATTGAAAACAATTAATGCTTTATAAATAAATTACACATTGGGTTGCATACAAACTAAGACAGTTGAACATAGGTCCTGTTGTAATTAATAGGACAGGATATTCATTATTTAATTTAAGTCCCTTTAGTTTCAATGGAATTTAAGTTCAGCTAAGACTGTAATCCTATACACATTTAAAGGTAAAGGTAAAGGTACCCCTTCCCGTACGGGCCAGTCATTTCCGACTCTAGGGTTGTGCACCCATCTCACTTAAGAGGCCAGGGGCCAGCGCTGTCCGCAAACACTTCCGGGTCACGTGGCCAGCGTGACGAAGCTGCTCTGGCGAGCCGGCACCAGCACAGCACACGAAAACGCCATTTACCTTCCCACTATAAAGCGGTACCTATTTATCTACTTGCACTTAGGGGTGCT